GTCCAAATCTGATAATTTAAGAGTTTTTGAAAATAGGAGCAGATTTCCTCTTTGGCTAATTGTGGCTCTCAAACCGGTTTGGAATTTGTAACAACAGGAATTGCGTGTTGAATTGAAACTATATTCAGGGGAAAAAATGGAAAAGAAAAGAATACATAGGCCTAAAGTGTGAAGTAACAAATAATTACATGTATGCTTGTATTTAAGAAGTTGTAGCAGTGTGAACAATTTGAAAAAGTGTCATTGGTTGGGAAAATCCTGCTTTTTCCGGATTCTGTTAAACTTCAACTGTTGAAACACAACATATAATTGCCGATACTTTTATAGCAGGACCAAAACCGAAGTATTTACTCAATATGTCAAGGCCTATCAAGCAGTGCGATAATTTATTTTTGTAGCCGGGTTGAGATTGAAACATAGGTTTCAATTTCATTTTTGTGGAAAATTTAAAAAACAAATTAATTTGCTAATTTTTTTTATTTTGATGATTTATCTTATAGTCGTCGGATGCTACCAAGCAATACACATTCAGCAATGTGCCGGAGCTTATACAGAGCTATAGTATCACCAACAATGGGCTGTGCTGCCCTCTACGACATGCTTCTGAGGCACCCAAAGTGGAAACTGAGGAGGAACAGGACACAGGTATAGAGGGAACCAAATTTTAAAAAAAATAACCCCTCCTCTCTCCCCCCCCCCCAAAAAAAATAAATAAGGGAACCTTTTCTGAAATCATGGCTTTGCCTCCAGGTTTGGATTTGTGCTACATTCCTCAAATCAGTTGCTTGATTTAGGAGAGGACACTAATTGTGCAAACCAGACCGGAAACCGAAACCACCCCGACCCGAAACTGACTTCGGGTCGGGTCGGGTCGGTTTGTCATTTGGGAAAAACCCGAAATAAACCAAAATGAACTGAAACAGAATGGAAATTCACATGGTCACTGCGAGCAATGCGACTAAAAATGGTTTGCGGTCTGTCTTGATTGGTTTGTAACATGTAGGCCCATCAGTAGGTCACGTTGTTAGTGCCGCATGGCATGATTCAGTTACTGAAAGCCGACATTTTTTTACACGAAGCGGGTCAGTTCGGGCGCAAGAAGCAGACACATTTGCCGAAGCCAGGTATTCAGGTTTTTTCGGGTCGGTTCGGTTTCGGGTTGGTTCGGGTCGGTTTTCTCTGAATTGTTGTCGAGTCGGGTCGGTGTTAGGTAGTCCAGTTCGGTTTCGGTTCGGATTCGGTTTATAAAATAAATGTCTGGGGTTGGTTTGGCATCGTCAATGCAGCCAGACCCGATACACATCACTGGAGGAAATGCTTTTGTCTCATAAAAACATTCTCATCATATACGACAAAATCCGTGCAATTCAGAGCCAACAATTGGAGTCTTTTCACAAAGTGCTGAACATTTAGGCCCGACCAATGGATCCAAGCCGGGATTTCATAAGTGGCTCTGATTACTGAAGATTGACCATACAGGCTTGAGGAAGGTGGAGCCAAGCCGCTTTATCGTAACATGGGGCTAGCTTCCCCTAGAACCCTAGAACATGAAATTGCCAAAAATGCCAGTAATTTTCTGCATTTGGAAGGATTGTGGTCGGATTCAGGACAGTTCTGGGATACAAAAATACCCGCTGAGATAATCCAACATCCATAATGATTAGGATTAAACCACGTTTTCCTCCTGTTTTGAAATTAAAGATGATGAGCCTCCAATGTCTGAAGATGACGAAACCGACGCCCTCTCCCTGGCCTCGCCCTGTGACATCGCCCTACACGTCTTGCGGTCCCGCCTGGAGCATCTAGACCAGGCGTCCTTGGACAACCAGTTCCTGGAGCGTCTACGGGAGTACATGGGCAGCAAGGCCAGGCAGGATTTCGAGGACATCAAGGCTGGGGCTACAACGGCAATTCATCTGAGGCAGCTGGTTCTGGCCTCGGCGAAAGACTTGACGAGGTAAGGACAGATTATATAAAAAATCTTCCATTTTCTTGAGCTGTCACCCTTTCTACCAGATTTTGAACTGCCATACATTGCTCCGATTCTGCTGGAAGAAATAGAAATACATTATATTGCAAATGTGATGTAAACATAGAGCTATATTAAATTACTAGAGCGCTAACTCGATGTACAAAGTAATGCCTGATGGGCGCATCCATGTTTGTGCACAGACCTATGGAAAACTCGAAATTTTGTACGGCTTTTGTACGGCTATTTGCATATCTGCGTTTGTATTCCATACCGGTGCATCATCAAAGCCGATACGCCCAAAACCAAAACGCACGATCAGCAAATCAGCGTGTCATTTTGCTCTACGCAAACAGCACAACGTGTGTGTGTGTCCCTCCGCTGCAGATGCTTTTCGCCGTGACGTTTTTTGAACCGTCATGACGCGCTTAAGTTGTTTGCATATCTTCTACTTGCGCGTTGCATTTAGAGTACACTTTTATAAAATTCAATCCATCTATTTTGATTGTGTTCCACAAACACGCACATAAGAATGAGGAGTTAGCACTCTAGTAATTTAATATAACTCTATGGATGTAAAAAAAAGAAGAAGGCTGGCCGGGAAAAGAAAGCAGGCAGGGGCAAGCAAGTGGTTTGTGTTGTATTCCTAGACCCTTTGTGTTGAGAAAAAAATGATGCATTTTCAAAATATGGTATGAACTGAGCTGAAATATCGACAGGTTAGTTTTTTATTAACCTGCTGTGACAGATTTATTGTATTGGTTTTTTCCATGAATCGGCAAAAACGCATGCAAATGGGTCCGTTACGTTAACTTTAATTTCTTCTCATTAATTACAAAGTTCCTCCCAGTACTAAAACTGGCCGGTCAAAGTAAAGTATTGCCCTCTCCCTCATACCAATGCAAGGTTTTTTCCCCCGTTGCTAGGGGGATTTTCCCATTAAATTTCCTGACCTAATTATCCCTCAAGTTCAGTTCCCGAGTTATTCCCGTCAATCATCAGGTTCCTGTCACACTATAAGTCCTGCTTTCTTTCTCCCTAAGGACATCGTTTTATAAAACAGCAGGATATAAAGTCATTAGCAAGTTATTTTTTTAATCAGATTTTTGGGGGGTGGGGGGATGAGGGTTTTCAGAAAATTTTTGTAAAACGTGACCTTTTTTTTAGAAAGGAGATGATGTACAGTGTAAAACTTATGTGTAGATATATGATTGTAACTCGTCCTGTATACATTTATCAATATGAAACAGTACAGCGTTGTCATGACGAAGTGTTCTTCAACTTAAAGTGCTAACCCCAAATTCCTAAATCTGCCAAAACTCAACACCAGATTTTGATGTAATTTGATGGATACAAGGCTGTGTGCGCTATGACTTTAGGGAAGGCATTCCTTCATCATTCTTTATTCCCTGTAGGACTGTCTCAGATATTCGATCATCAACCGAACATTCAAATAGCTTTTTTGCTGATTCGGATATTCAACAACAACAAAACTACGCACATTTTTTCGTTTTTCGTAAAGTTGCGGTGCTTTATTGTCAGGTGCCACTTTTTTGTCGACTGTAATTTTTTGGGTCAACAGCGGTTCATTGTTCACGTCCTTTTAGCAGGTTAAAGGGAAAATACAACATTTGCAAACATCAAAAAATAAAACTACCAAATCATTTTGAAATACCTTGCTGGACTGTTAGTGAATGACAGTGTAAAGCATCCTGTAAAATCATGGCACCTGGTATACTATCATTTCAAGAAAAGTGGTATTTTTGTATCAATTTCCAATGCTGGTCGTCCGACCAGCATTGGAAAAAACTGGTTTTTTTTCAAATACTGGCCCCAATTGACCAACGCACTTGTTTGCAATCGATTACACACCTATGAACGGGTACAAGCCAGCTAGACTGGTTCCCTGATCTTACAATTCCCCAATGTATGTAAACTGCTCTGTTTCTTCTTATATGGAGTCAGGGAACCAGACTACAGGAAAATGATTGTTTTTCTTGGTTTTTATGGCATTTTCGAACCCAAAACCTCAAAAAAGTCAGTCTAACTATATTTGCTATATATTTCCAACCCCCCAATTCCATCCATTTCTGAAAATTACAGCAAAAGCAATTGATGTATATTCCCTTTTAAGCTTGTTTACAGTTATATAACACTTACTGCAAGTGCAAAACACTCCAGCGCCACATATCGATCATCGCAAGCAAATTTTTACTGCCACACTCTTTGTGCAACTTTTTACTGGGGCTGCACACAGTTGTACATGTAGCTGGCAGTTTCGACTATCCAAATACTCGGTCACGCGGTTTCGAGTAATGCAATACTAAATTATTCGAAAACGGACAGCTACCTCACCAACTGAGCCATCCAGCTCTTCTTTCTCGTCTTGTGAAATTTGACAATTTAACAATGACTGATTTTGAAACAAGTATGTTTACTTTCAGAATCATTGCTACAAGACTGTTTCTGCTTTTCCTCCTGGCTTTTTGTTTCCATAGGCAGCTGGATTTATTCCTCGCCAAGATTGCGGCGTTGCAGCAACTCTTTGAACTTTCCTCGATCCCCAGCCAGACAAACCTAGCAGATGAGGTAAAACGAAAAGATTGTATTATTAATTCAAAAGAACACCACAAACTCGCAATTGGTCAAGTCCTGACGGGATTTTAATCATTTAATTGCAGGCGTATTATCGCTTTCTGATTTTTTTTTTCTATTGATTTTGAACCGTCATTAGGCATGGCACTAAATCTTGTAACAATATTGGCACGCGCCAAGCGAAAGACCTCTCGTAATTGTGTGTCACTCACTTTTAAGATACACTTCATCTTGACTGAGCCTGGCATGCATGCTGTAGTTAGGCTACAACCACACAGCTTTGATATGATTTCAAAAATTGTCCGTTATCCCTCCTGTAGTCTTTTGCACTTCAATCACAGCCCTTCAAGTTTTGGAAAAAGCATGTTTGCCAATAGAGCTATAGCACCCACACTTCAAATTCCTTTGAGGTGATTTTCTGTGGAGTATGGATTAGCACTTCAAATCCCTGCACAATTCTTTTGTGTGGTTAAAGCTATAGTCCATCATTTGCAGTCATCCGAAAAGTAACTGGCGTAATTATTGTTGAAAAACAAACTTGGTTGAAAGATAGTAAGGGAACTAAACTGTGAAATTATTCTTTCTGGGAAGCTGTCATTTTGAAGTAATCAACGAAAGAAGGCCTTTCCAACGGTGCGTCTTAAGACGCACCGTAGGAAAATTTAAATTAATAGTTCGTTTTGTTATTCGGCGAAGCGCGCGCAAGCATTGGCACGAGGAGGACGCGCGCGCGCGGTTGCTATAATTCGTCGGATCAGTGCGCGACGTCGCGTATAGCTGCAATTCAGAACAATTTAAAACATGATACAGTTACTTTTGATTTGAAATTGAGATCCTAGAATGCTGTTTTTCTCGGAATATACAGCTGAAGCTGAGCTGAAACTTCATCAGGTTAGTTGTTCAGCACCCTTCTTTAGATCTTGAGCCCTTTTGTTGCTTCAAACGAACAAAATGCACAAATTACAAATGATGGACTATATCTTAAGCTCAGGGCAAGCAGGCAGATTCGGTCACGCTTCACTGCTCTCAACAGTACCGTTTTTGTGTGCAGTGACTCTCTGTGTGACACAGTTACTTAAACATTTCATATCCCTTCACCTGAAACTGACCTGCAGGGTTTTAAAGGGTTTTACGTAATATATTGCTCTGAATATTGACTTCCCACTAGGAGGGTAATTACCACTACAAAGAGCAGGTTTCCATCCTTACCCCTACGCCATTTTTGCTAGGAACCATCCTCAATCCTCCAAACCCTCCAAAATTTTGCACTTGTATGTTCAATATATCTGAAGCATAGCCACTGCCAATCCTTCAAAATCCTCCAACAGCCCTGCCTGTCAAAACGCATTCAGCCTCAATCCTCCAAAATCTTCAAATATCTTCAAACATCATTCATCCTCAATCCTCCAAAATCTACCGATACTGAATGGCCATTCGCCCTCAATCCTCCACAATCCTTCAAAATTGTATGTTGCATTCATCCTCAATCCTTGAAAATCGATTGCCCGGAGGACTTTGGAGGATTGATGAAGGTTGGGGTTAATGCTTTTGCTGCATGTGTGAATTGTAAGAACTTGAGGTTTCAATTTGCCTGAAACGAGTTTGTTCCACTTTGGCCATGTTGCTTATTCTTACTTCAATCACAGTAATGCATGTTGCATATAGAGCTTTTTTTGGTTGCACACATTAAAGAAGGCCTGGATGTTGGATGTCCTTGCATACGTGTGAGGACAGGCATCTTGTCTAAGTCCACCTTTGCCGAAAACTTGGCTTTCCTTCCAGCTCTGGCTGTCTCTGGCTTCAGAGGCATTTAGTTGTCTTTAAATGTTCAAACCAAATAGAAACTAAAATTCAGCCTCAATTTATAGGAGTTGATCTTGTTCCTGAACCAGAATGTGAATTAACCCATATCAGGTGCTTTACAGATGCATTCCCCGGCTATTTTCGAGTTTCACTTCGAAAAATAGATTTGTTTTGTTCAATTGCAATTTTCCTAGCAATGTAAAAGTTATTCACTGTTGAATGAAACATCGAACGAAAAACAATCCACTGACGTTTATTTATTGAATTATTTCTTCACAAAATTTGAATTATTACAATAATTAGGTTTTCGTAAGGCGGGTTCATTTGTGTCCAAAACAAAAGCCTTTTTCCAGAAGGTTGAAGACGCCCTTAAAACAAAATATACAAATTGAAATTCGTCAGGAGAAACAAAATTTTGAAGAGCACAGGGTTATGCAACTTTAAAATATCCTGAAGCTAGAGCTGCAGTTGAAATCGAGGTTTCAAAAATTCCCATCATAACTTTGTATTTCGTACCCCCTCATCCAAGGCCACTAAGACAGGCAGTGATTTGAAGCTGCTGTTCAGCCAGCTGGGAGAATGTCAGGCCAGGGTCACGTCCTTAGAAAACAAGGTGAGATACCTCCGACCCTTGACCCCTGGTTTAAACTTTGACCCTAGATTGTTTTCTACATGTAAAACAGGATCTTAGTTAAGCCTCAAACATTAGTAGTTTTTTTAACAAAGTTTTGTGCATGGAGCTTTCTAAAAAAAAAAAATCATCACAAATTTTCTGCCATCGTTTCAAAATTTATCTCGTTCCGCTTATCGATTGCCAAGACGAAAGCCAACCTACATGTACATGGTATATTCTAATATTTGTCACATTTAACGCTTCTTCTTTCTTTCTAACTTTTTGCGCTTTTTAGTCAAAATTTTACTAGCCAGGCCAAAAAGTAAACGATGAAAGCTTACAGCGCTTCTCATTTTAACAAGTCATTCTGCAAATTAGTCCTTTAGCATAAATTGCAAAAGCTGACAAAACGCTCTTACGTGTCGATGCACATCTTCTGAATACACCTGCACCATTGACAAATCTCTTGGTGGTTTTGAATAAACAAAAGAGAATGACAAATCTTTTGATGGTTTCCGCACAATGTCATCGTGATTTGTCAAAACAGACTTCTAAAATCACATTGTGGGCATCACGGACATCCTGTTTACTACAAAAGAGAGGAAGTTGAAATGAAAACATTTGAATGCATTTCTTAAAAGCTGTGGAAATGAAGACGCTTTGAGGTTTCGGTGTTTTGTTGGGACACCCTGTCTGTAGTTGGTTTTTTTGAGCACCGGCCTATATATAGTTTGGCTGCATAGCTTAGTTATGAGTAGCCACATTGTATCAGGATGAACAGCAGGGAGCTAGCAGCTATTCTGTGATGACTTTTGACTGAACTCTTCAACTTGTACACAAACTGTGAACGTCCATTTTTTTTTCTCCAGACTTGACCTTCACTTTGTCTTTGTTTTCTTAATCTTTCCCATCTTACTAATCTCGCCGCTCGTCCAGGCTGTGGCCACCTTCTTGGAGCTCAGCAAGGCCTCGGTTCGAATCCCCACCACCCCATCCAAGCAGGAGCAGGAACTGCCCAGCATTCCGGACTCCGAGCCCGACCCCTTCATGGAGGGTGCCGATACCGCCTACATGTTGGGTCCGGACACCACATACATGGGGGGTCCGGACTCCACCTACATGGGGGGTCCAGACTCCACCTACATGGGGGGTCTGACCACCAGCAACGGGATGGACACGCTGAAACCCCAGCAACTCCCTAACTTGACCATGTCACCCACGGCATTCGAGGTTAGTTCCCTTTCTCATCATATTGACTGGCCACGAGGTCACTAGTGCTCATCTGTGTACCCCGGAGGACCGTCAGTGATCAAACAAGTGTACTATTTCGCAAAGCACTTCAAAAAAAAATTATTCCTATCCCATCCGATCCTCCTTATGAATATGTATTAGCAACATGTACCATGTGACTAGGAATGATGACTTTTCCGTCTCCACTTTTTGACACGGTTTTTCAAAAATTTGAACATTTTGGGAATTTTTTTTTTTTTAGGTCAAAGTTGAAGGGCTGACGGTTGACGCCCTGAAAAACACAAAAGTCAAACTGACAGTTGACGTTTCCCACGGCAACCTGTCGATAATGAAGCATTTTGGGAAGGATATGAAAGAGGAGATGACGTCTTACACGCACGACAACAGTAAGTCATTTGGTGATTGTGTTTCATTTTTACTGTAATCAAACCGTTCGAGATTTGGGATTTAATACACAGTGTAATGCTAAAGTAATCACAAGTCATCACAAGTCATCACAAGTCACCACAAGTCCTTGTAAGTCACCACAAGTCAATGTAAGTCAAATGTCACTGTAAGTCATCACAGCTGATCACAAGTCATCATAAGTCATTGTAAGTCATCACAGGTCGTCGTATCAGAAGTCAGTTGATAGTCTAAAGTGTTAGTCTGTAACAAAATACATCGTTTAGTCGTGTTCATCCCCTGTTCGTCGTACTGGTTATCAACTTGCAAGGATTTTATACCTGTGGTGAACTTTTTTTTTCTTTTTTGGGGGGGAAAAGTTCTTAGATAACTGATGGGGATATCCTGGTAAAATAAAACGTCAATCAATCAATCAACAAAGAAATTAAGTGGAGTGGGGCTTGAACCTTCCACCTTCGGATTACTGCTCCGGTGCTCTACCAACTGAGCTATCCAGCCATATGTTGGCAGTTCCCCAATTTGTCAACGTCTGTGATCAAAGTTGATTACAACATAGAGCAAATTAAAAGAAAACTAGAAAATGATAAAAGGCGGCCAATATTTCTCTAAAACTTCTTTTTTTTACAGTTATGCAGCTGATCAAATCAAGAGGCACAAACACCAAACTCCAAATTCGATTTTCCAACGGCAAGAAGAAAGAGTACAGCTTTGAAGACGCCAAGGTACGTTGCTTGATGTGCAGCGATCAGAAACTTATTCAAAACTTTAACCCTAACCCCCTAGGCCCTTGTTGCTTACAACCATCCTCAATCCTCCAAAATCCTCCAAAATTTTCCAAAATTTTGCAACTCCGCCTAAATTTTTCAAATTTGTCAGACAGTCCTGCCTCAAAATGCATTCATCCTCAATCCTCCAAAATCCTCCTCATCCCAAAACTTTGCACTCGTGTTTAAATGAAGGATAACCAACGCCAAATCCTTCAAAATCATCAGACAGTCCTGCCTCAAAATGCATTCATCCTCAATCCTCCAAAATCCTCTTGTGCTTCAATCACCATTCACCCCTCAATCCTCCAAAATCCTCATTTGATTCAATCACCATTCATCCTCAATCCTCTAGAATCCTCATGTGCTTCAATCACCATTCATCCTCAATCCTCCAGAATCCTCATTTGATTCAATCACCATTCATCCTCAATCCTCTAGAATCCTCCAAAACCGCCAGGAGGATTTTGGAGGAGTGAGGTGGGTTAGGGTTAAGAAAAAGCATTGGCTGCATCAGATTTATCAATATCAAACAAGTTACATTTTTTGGTTTTGTCATTTTGACAGAGGAGGGAGACGTTTTGCCAACTGATCCAGTACATGAAGGTGACCCATTCCAACAGCAAAGAGGTGGACCAGATTACGATTTTCATCGGCACATGGAACATGGGTGAGTCCTGTTCTGAGTTTACTGATATAAAGCATTGTCTATCAGAAACTAAACCCCCCCCCAAAAAAAAAAAGAGAATGGGAATTGTCTTATTTTTGATATTGGGTGTTAAAGGGAATGTACATCATTGGTTTTTGCTGTAATTTTCAGAAATGAACTATTTGAGGGGTTAGTATAATACTTCATAATATATTGATACACTGACATGTTTGAAGTTTTGTGTTCGAAAATGCTGGAAAAACCAAGAAAACCCAAAAATGTCCAAGTAGCCAGGTTCCCCTGACTCCACTAAAGATAAAATGGATCAATTTATAGATGCCGGAAAATTGTAAGGTAAGGGAACCAGTCTAGCTGACCTGCACCCGTTCCTGAACATGTAACCAATAGCAAACAAAATTTGGACTGAAAAAAATGGTAAATTTGGAGCAGTAGTTGAAAAATAGTTAGGTTTTTCCAACGGTGGTCGGCCTTGGAAATGTGTACAGAAATACCATTTTCTTGAAAATGACTTTACACCAGGTGCCCTAATTTTACAGGATGCTTTAGACTGTCATTTACCAACATCCTAGTAAGGTATTTCGTAAAAACTTGGTAGTTTTATTTTTTGATGTTTGCAATATGAGTCTTCAGATAAAAAGGAAAGGCTAAATGCAATTGCAAATTAACAGTGTAGTACGTACATTAAAACTACTAAAAAATTGAATTTAATAATAAAAATGCAAAAAAAATTCACCTACTGATATATACATGTTTGTACCTATGAGCAGCACCCCAATGTCAAATGATGTCCAGCCCTCGACCACCTCAGTCCACCCTTCCCTACCCAAACCACCCTCCTCCCCCCGACACACCCAAACCACCACCCCCTTCCTCCCCCAACCCCACCTGCTTTCCATGAGTGTGCAACAGGCAGAACATTCCAGTAAACCCTCCTCTTTTCCCAACCCGACTACTCCCCCCTCCCTACTAGTACCCCTTTGTCGCCCATTGCCCAAGTCTGAAGTGACCCCTTATATTCCATTTGACAGGTGCGGCCGTGCCACCCCCCAACATTACCTCCTGGATGACGTGCCAAGGCGTAGGCAAGACGAGAGACCTGAGCCTGGCAGCTATGACCCATGACATCTACGTCATCGGCACGCAGGAATTCAAGAGCGCCGCCATCAGCGACAAGGATTGGATCGCCCGGGTCAAGGCGGAGATCAGTAAGCTGAACGGAGTCGGCAAGAAGGAGTATGTCACGGTAAGGCAGTTTGGATTGATGAATATTCATTGATTTATTTGGAATTATTGATTGGTCAGTACTTGTTGATTTTAAAGTAGTTTTGGTTGACCAGATTGATTGACTGGCACTCTCGGGACCCTAGAATTTGTGACGACTTACGCGAATGCCGATATCTGCTGTAAGTCGTCATTTTGCCGACTTACATGAATGGTCTTTTGCACACATGATTCATTGCACTAATTGGCTTCGATTTACCCTGGATTATCTCCTTAATGCTTGAGTTGAATCCAGCAAATTAATCCTCGAATTGTGTCATCACGTTTGGGGTATTGATAGTGGAGACCATGTTACATATGTACGTGCACAGTAACAAATTAAATGTGTGCGTGGTTCGGTATATACCACGCACGCATTGACTGCAGCAGTAGTCATTCAATAAGACGACCCCCAAAATGGACAGAGCGCACGCGTACAGCCTAGAGGGGGTACTGGTATTGATATGCTCACGATGCATATGCGATGTATGCAGTAGGACACCCTTTTTCGACACCGTTGCATGCAGCGATCACGGGCCGTGCGAAACCACTTTTCACTCGACACTTTGCCTACCGCAGTACAGGAAGTCGATGCCAATGCGCGATTTGTTGAATGCCGACTTACACAAAGGATTTTGTAATGCTTTTTATGGAAAGGGGACCGAGATCAACACGACGACTTGAGCGAAATGGCAACTTATAAAAGCCGACTTAGAAATAAAAAATTCAATGGAAATGCATTACGGACAATCGGGACTTTAGTCAGACGGCCGACTTGAGCGATTTGACGAGTTGTACGATGTCGGTTTAGCCGGAGTTTACTGTATTGATTAATATATGGAGTAATTGTGAAGACATTGAAGATATTGACTTTTGAGTTGTTATTAATTGATAAGTATTCATTGATTGATTTGTTTGTAGTTATCAATTGATCAGTAATTATTGCTTATTGATTAATTATTAATTGATTATTTGTAAATGATTGATAAGTAGTTTTTGATTCATTAGTAGTAAATTATTGTTTTTTGACTGATTATCAGTCATTATCAAGTAGTGCTTACATTACTGATCAAATTAGGTTTTGCCCTTCACCGACACTGTATACTCAGTGTGTTACCTCCCGAGTGAAAGTTGGAAAAAATCACTCGGGTGGGACTCGAACCCACGACCTCCTGCTTTCTAGTGGAGATGTCTTACCACTCGAGCTAACGGGATCGGTTGGCCGGTTCGAATCTGATGTACATTGCAGCGGGTACCGCAGTGGTAAGACATCTGCACTAGAAAGCAGGAGGTTGTGGGTTCGAGTCCCACCCGAGTGATTTTTTCCAACTTTCACTCGGGAGGTAACACACTGAGTATACAGGGTTTGAAAACGTCGGTGAAGGGCAAAACCTATTTTGATTTATATCACCCCGACGCAAAATTCCATCTTATAATACATTACTGATGATTTAGTTAATGATTGATTAATAGTAGTCATGATTGAATGATTGATTGTTAGTTTTTGATTGTTTTGTGACTTTGTTTGCAGGTTGCCATGACGTCATTATGGGGTCTGAGGCTAGCCGTCCTAGTCAACCCAGACCACGAGCATCAGATCAGCCACGTCAGGGATTCCTTCGTCAGAACGGGCATCGCAAACACTCTGGGTAAGCTTCGGCTGTGGCTTTGCACTGTAGCATGCTGGTAGCAAGAGCCGCAGCCATGAAATACCTGATGCGAGCATAGCCTCAGACTAGTGTCGGGAGGTCATAATGTTAGTGGCTTCATTGCATAAGTGCGCCCTCTTGTGGCAAAATGGTAAAAGCTGTAAGATGAGGGGACGTAAATCCCATATGATGTCTATGGCCCAAACTTGGGCGTGTTCAGTTAATGGTACTGTTTATATTTGGTGTTTCCCTTTAATTATAATAATAATAATATTTTATTCTTGATATAGCATTTTACATTAAAATCTCAAACGCTTCACAAATTATCCATACCGCTTAAAATGTAAACCAGTTAATTAAATTAAAAAGTAGTTTAAGATAAAACATTTTGAAAAGAAATGTCGTAAGCTGTGATTAAAAAAATCCAAATGCATTAATAATTCTCAAATAAGCTGGAAGTCTATTCCATAGAGTACAGTGCACAGTGCATACCGGTAGATGGTAAAAGCACGGTCACCGTTTTGGACGAACTTTAGGATGATTGTGCTTAACCCCTTGACCAATGTGATTAAAAATCACTGTATGCTCAATGCTGTCTGTCGCCTTGCAAAATAGAAAAATCTCTCTAATTTTCTTGACTGATAGTGAATTATTGATCTTTTCTGAAGGCAACAAAGGGGCGGTGGGCGTGTCCTTCCTCTTCAGCGGTACCTCCTTTTGTTTCATCAACGCACATCTTACCTCAGGAACTGAAAAATGTACAAGGTGAGGTGATATTTTTTAATCAGGCAATCAGGCATCTTCCTCGGATCCGCTGATTTCCTCGTTTGTTACTTCTCATTAATGTCATTACAAATTGAAAAATACTGTACAATGTCTTGTGTGATTTGAAATTTCCTCGTTTTATCTAAATTCCCAGTTACGTGCCTGTTTAATGAATTTTCGCAAGTTATAGATGTTCTCATAATAATGATTATTCAGGCCACTTTACCGTCAACTCCAACAATTATAGAGCATGTATCAAAAGACACAGTTGAAAGACATAAACCCATGGGCGTTGCCAGGATTTTTTCCGGGGGGGGGGGAGCCAAAGAAAATTTTCCCCAAAAATTCCTTAACTTTTTCATTATATTCTCATTTTGTCATTTTTCCCGAGCGTGAGCAGGGGAGCATTTGCCCTACCTCCCCCCCTCAATTAACAGCAATATGGCTTCGCACCTCTTTTCCAAGCGCCCCTCGCCCCCCCCCCCCCCCCCCCTCGTGACGCCCATGCATGAACCTGTTAGTGGCCTACACATTTGGGGATGTTTTGTTCTGTTGCTAGAGAAATGATCAAATTATCTGGGTAACTTCAGGGAGTTCAACAATCGAAATACCCTAATTTAGAATATGTCTGCCGGTCTGTATGTCATTAGTAACATTTGGATGGTGATTGAAAACATGTTTGCCCACTTGTGTCCATTTTATGCCCATACTCCTTTATGAAATATTAATTTGTTTTGGATATTTTTTTCAACCTGCAAAATTGTAGACGCAACAACAACTACCACGACATCCTTCGCGGCTTGTCGCTGAGCTCCAAGGGACTTAGTGTCTTTGATCTGACCAATCAGTTTCACCATCTCTTCTTCCTCGGCGACCTCAACTATCGCATCGAGTGGAACGTTCCTGTAAGCTCAACAATCATTGTTGATGTCAAATCCATCACAAGTCCTCACAAGTTTATCACAAGTCCATTACAAGTCCTCACTAGACCTCACAAGTCCTCACAATGCAATCAAAAGTCCTCACAGGTCCTTACAACTCCATCACAAGTCTCCACAATGCAATCACAAGTCCTCACAATGCAATCACAAGTCCTCACAAGTCCTCACAAGTCTAACAAGTCCTCACAAGTCCTCACAATACCTCACAAGTCCTCACAATGCAATTAAAAGTCCTCACATGTCCTTACCAGTCCATCACAAGTCCTCACAACACAATCACAAGTCCATCACCAGTCCTAACAAGTCATCACAATGCAATTACCAGTCCTCATAGGTCCTCACAATGCAATCACAAGTCCTCACAAGGCTTTACATGTCCTCTTAATTCCTTACAAGTCCTCACAAGTCCTCACTTGTTCAATTTCTCACCTTCCACAACTTTGATCGGGGTATATACCCTGCTTTAGCTGATGGGTTTTTTTTAGTCCCCAGACTGTTTCTGTGTGTTTCCTTTGAATAATTTTCCCATCTCTAATAAAACTGAAACTGTCTTCATCGTCTTTTTAAAGATCTACTGACATATTGATTCATGCAGAACTTTCTAGGAGCTTTTGATAAAAAGTCTGCCTCTGATTATAAAAAAAGGTCCTCGTATATTTTTATATTTTACAATCTACAGTGTCCAAACACTGTGAAATCAATTAGCAACTCCCTATTTTTTCATAATTTAAAATACAATATCCATTGAAATTATGAAATATGAAGTAAAGATTTTATGGGAATAAATGATTTTTTTATTTATTTCCCAGGAAATTCTTGAGAACATTAAACACAAGAACTATGCCGTCCTGTTTGAGCACGAGCAGTTGAAGCGGGAAAAGGACAAGAACAAAATCTTCGTAGATTTCGGTAATATTCAAATATAAGTACCAGTTTGTGTTTGCATCAAACCAAAGACCTTAATTCCGGGGGTTTTTTTTTGTGGAAATGAGAACCCTTTAACGGAACAAATACTAGAACTCAAAAACAAAGTGTTCCCTCAGATATGTCATGGTATTTCACAATTGTGATGCGATCAAGCTACATGAGTCGTTTGTCGGGAATTTTCATTTGGAGATACAGGCCAAAATAGGACCACTTCATCACATCTCTTGGTGTTCCGACTTCCATAATTTTTGAACTAAAGATGGTATCAGCATGTGGTTTTCACAGCAGTAATGCTGATTTTTCAAATCTGTAATAAAAGAAATTTTTACCCGGGGTCGACAAACGACTCATTTAACTTGATCGCATCACAATTATTGTCCTGAGAGTCGGTTCCATGCAGGAACCTGAAATCAAATTATTTGGTTCTGTACTCTCACCGGTGACCATTCCTGGTTGAAGTGAGGCAATTGTTGTAAAGTGTCCTGCTCAAGAACAGGAGACTCGTGCTTCAAATCAAAGATTTACCCACTCACCCTCCCTTGAGTGAGACACCTTAAAGGGAATATACATCATTTGCCTTTGCTGTAATTTTCAGAAATGGATGGATTTGGGGGGTTGGTAATATATAGCAAATATTATTACACTGACTGTTTTGACGTTTTGGGTTCGTAGATGCTTGAAAACCAGGAAAAACAATAATTTTCCTGTAGTCTGGTTCCCTGACTCCATTTAAGATGAAACAGAGCAATTTATAGACATTGGGGAATTGAAAGGTCAGGGAACCAGTCTTGCTGGGTTGTACCTGTTTATAGGTGTGTAATCGATTTTAAACAAATGCGGACTAACTGAATATGGTCAATTGGGGCCAGTATTTGAAAAAAGCCAGTTTTTTCCAACGGTGGGCGGCCAACCAGCGTTTGAAATTGATACAAAAATACCACTTTTCTTAAAAATGACAGTATACCAGGTGCCATGATTTCGCAGGATGCTTAAGACTATCATTCACTAACAGTCCGGCAAGGTATTTCAAAATAATTTGGTAGTTTTATTTGTTGATGTTTGCAAATGTTGTATTTTCTCTTTAATTACTGGCTGTGGCACTCATCAGTTTCAATCGTTTTCTGTCAAAAGCCGAAGTTTGTAATAAGGCTCCTAAAATGTTTTATTTTTTAATTTCTCAGATGAAGAAGATATCAGTTTTCCCCCAACCTACCGGTACAAGCTTGGCAATCGAGACACCTACGACTACAAGAAAATTAAGAAGACCATGGTATGCATTGTTAACCATGTTAACCCCAATCTCCCTTCTGAATATTCAAATCATTGACATTTCAATATTCATACATTCAGTTATGTAAATTGACTCCGCCTTTTTTGTTTGACTGTGACAGGTGCGCATTAATGAGCCCTCGTGGTGTGACAGGGTGATATGGAGGTCCTATCCTATGTATATTCATACATTCAGTTATGTAAATTGACTCCGCCTTTTTTGTTTGACTGTGACAGGTGCGCATTAATGAGCCATCGTGGTGTGACAGGGTGATATGGAGGTCCTATCCTATGTATATTCATACATTCAGTTATGTAAATTGACTCCGCCTTTTTTGTTTGACCGTGACAGGTGCGCATTAATGAGCCATCGTGGTGTGACAGGGTGATATGGAGGTCCTATCCAGGCACGCACATTGTCAACACATCCTACGGTAAGATCATAACCCAAACATTTCCTGGATGTGCTGTATATTTATGAAAGCGTTCATGCCATGAATTTGTCTTATTAGGAACACATTTTGTGCAACTTTCTACTCCTCTTAAATGTATTGACGTCCTGTTTTTGGTTAATTTTATTCAAAAGAGCACTTCGTTTAACATTTAAAAAGAAATACCATGCTTTTCCGGACAACTGAGACTGTTGTTACTGTGATGTCATTTCAGGAAGACACTGTTCAGTTTAGGGGTTTTCTGTTCAAATTGTGAACCCAAAAATTTGCTCACTGAAAACATTTGTGAGAACAATTTGCTCATTGGCTTACAGCCATGTGGCTAACACAACAGCGAATCACCAAAGCGAAGAACATTTTACGACAGCAAAATATCCAAAATTCCAGCAATTTTTTTTGCGATGATTTAGCTGTAACATTGAGGTTTCTGCCTGGAATGACATCACAGTTTTGCTCATGAATATGGAATTTGCATTAGCATAAAAACCAAAAAGGCATCAAAATACTCTTCAAAATGGCAAATTGAAAATAAGGTTAAATGGGACACCAAGGTGCATTTTACATTGCATGGGCCTTAAGTCCTTTTGCACTGAGGTTTTTTCCATATTTTGAATTGATCTCCACATAATTGTATTTCTTTACCTGTTATTATCATATCGGTGACCTAAAACTGAAATTTGTGAATAGATGTCCCTTGAAGGGAGGTTTCTCAAATTTACGTTTTTAGTTCGGAAATGTTTGAGACTAAAAGTTATAGTTTTGATCTGTGGTTTTAGGCTGTACTATGGACATCACAACCAGTGACCACTCACCGGTGTTTGCTACATTTGAGGCTGGCATAGCAGCCACTGCCGTCATCCCGAAGGGTGAGTGTTAGGCAGAAGAACATTGACAAATCTTGGGTGAAATTCATGCCAACAAAATTTAAAATTTGATCTGTTAATTATGTCCTGTTCCTTTTTTCAGTGTTCTGGTCTTAATTGTTCTTTTTTTTTTTATAAATTATGCAGCAGAGAGTAGGCAGGGTGGGCTCACACAGGAGGGTGAGAACAATGAGCATGTGTGCATTGCAAGATGTGCATTGCATGATGGGATGTGTGCATTGCATGATGGGATGTGTGCATTGTATGATTGGATGTGTGTATTGCATGATGGAATGTGTGGGATACCTGAACCTTTGAAAAGGATAAGCTCAGCCTCGACTCCATGGGCACGTGCGCGTTCCTTCACTCACCCCTGGCCGTGATGTACACGTAAACGATGCTGACTGGCTATTCAGAGCGTACTGCGCGCGCATTTCGAAGAATGCACGCCGGGCGCGCCCATAATGCGCTCGCGTGCTTTGCACATCACGTCACTTACGAATATTCAAAACTGCGCGATGCCTGTACGATATGGATTATGGCAGCCTCGTTTTTCGCTAAAAAAACCCTGTATCTGTGGTTGTAAAGGGACGAAAGGGGTACGTATATGTACATTTATTACAAATCTTCGCTAAATAATGTAACGTCCAAACCTTATGTTTGAAAGCATTGATTCTTCAAAAACACAACTTTCAGCATTTTAAAGATGGCGTCGGCACGTAAAACGGATAAACTGCAGCCTAATTATAATGTGCCATATTTTGACACATTGAATGACACAATTCCAGGGGTTGAGATCGCGCAAGGCATGATGGGAAACAACATGGGGCAGCAAGATCTCGTACAAACGAGGTTGGGATAAGCTGATGAGATATGCAAACCGTGCATTGTGGGACAGTTGCATTGCACAATGGGATATGAGCATTGAATGATGGGATACATTGAAAGGAGTGCCATATACCAGTGCATGATGGGATACGCAAGCAGTGCATTGTGGATTGTTGCATTGCATGATGGGATATGTCAAGTTAGACTCGCAAGTTTAATCCAATTTTAATAAATGTAAAGGAAACCTGAAGTTGTTCTGAACTTAATTTTCTTTGTTGTCTTCTTACATTCAGTGGTGATACTGTCACAATTTAATTTTTTGTAGGCGGGACCACTCAGAATGCAAGGATTGTTTTTGTGTCGGCCAACGCCATTATCAACACCAGCATGTGCGGCATCTTCTACTTAGAGTTCTTTTCCAGTTGTCTTGAAGGTAGCTAATGTTCCTCGCTAATTTTGCTCTAGAACATTCAACCAAGTATTGTTATCTGGGCCCATTGTGAAAAGAGAGGCAATTGGGGCGATTCACAATGCAGTGCGCCACCAAGGGTTTGCCACGGAGAGTCCATTTTTCCAGTTTATGGTCGACAAAACATGGCCCATTTCAGTGTTCTCCAACATGTAGAACAAACCTGGCGCCCCGCCATGCTTTCTGCGGCGCCCGCCATGTTTAAGAAGTCCCCGCCAAGCTTTAAAATCCTGCCGCCAGGTTTAATTTTTTTGACTCTACAGTCTACATTTACAACTAAAATAATTGATTTCAGTTGTTTTTTCACACATTAACAATGTATTTCGATGTCATCCCAGCCCGATCGGGGTTGTCTTAAAATCTCGCTGAATCAATCACACGCACGGCCGGCCGTGCAAACACCAGCGATTCCCCATGCACTGTACGTACTATTAGGTACGCGCGATGTACACACGTACACACTGACAACTGAATCCCAGTTCCGGAGTGTGCCGATACTTCAAGTAGCGACAACCCCGCCGCAAAAATAGATATCTGTATTAGTACACACACACACCAGCAGGAGTACGTACGGCAGATCTTACGTGCAGCCAACCGACTTTCTTTTTCTCAGTGCAATTGCACGCGCGGTACACAATACGCATTGATGTTTTTGTACGAGGCAAACGAGCTCGAAGCCAAAACACGCGTGCACATGGTGTTCCGATCATGCCGCGGCGATAGTCAAAAGTTATAAATGGCGATCGTGTATGGGCCCGGTTCCCTAAGAGAACAAAATCCACTTTTAATTTATTTGACTTACCAAACTAGTTGGCGACATTTAAGAACATACAGGTAGGTCATAAATAGAGGGAAATTTGGGGGAAAATGACTCTGACAACGACAAAACGCAACATGAAAATAAAGATGACGATCGCACGGCACCGGCACCACCCATAAAATCGCGTAAAAAAAACCGTAATTTGTATCCCATTTTGTTTTTCAAAATTACAAAAAGGTGTCATTTGATCTGAGAGAAGTCTGCTTTAGGTTGAAAAGGAAATTTTTGAATGCTAAATAAATCTGGGGGAACTGGCCTGGAGAATCGCCTCAGATTGCACCACAGAGCATCTAGAATCCAAAATTTTCAGGGGCCCTTAAGCGGGCCCCGGACCCCACGCCGTAAGGGCTTCGCGCTTCGCGCTCGCAGGAGTCCCCGCCGACCCCAGCGCCAACCTTTAATTTTCAAAGTTGGAGAACACTGCCATTTGAAAGAGTGTCAGTAGACAATTTGAGCTAATATGTTATATATTGGGGCATAGCATTCTGCCGCCTTACAAAAAACACCATATCGATAACAAGAAACGAAAAGGGCAAACAGATCCTCGAATCATACGCTTTCGAAACTGACTTGGAAAAACTAACGATTTCAAATGTCTCGCGCTGCGAATTTGTCGACCATTTCCCACAATGCACTAAAAATGAACTCTCCGTGGCAAACTCTGGGTGGCGCACTGCATTGTAAATCACCCGAATTGTCGTAAAGTAGGTTGCCCAAGAACAGTTCAGAAATGCTTTGTTTTCTCCTCGTAAAGCTGGTTCTGCAAAGAGTGGCATGAACAAGACCTGCTTGCAAGAACAGATTGGATCTAAAGTCTCCACCATCAAGCCATCATGGTCCAGTGAAGAACTACCAAAGGTACGTAGCCCTAAATGCGCTGCACCGCACTCCAGCACCTACCATTTTGAGCCAGTATATGTATTTGCCTTACCCAAAAAGTTGAGTACCGTTATCAACTTCTCCACTTGAAGTCAAAAGAGGGGGCTCTTCCCTAGTCTGAGTATCACCCGTTATCCACGGAGCCCAGACTCCTGTCTAATGTCTGATAAATCAAAGCATGCAGATTTATGCGATCTTACGCCTCAGCCAATCGGAGTCAACTTTACTAAATTGTGACGTCATTTCATTCCCAAATCAGGACTAAACGTTTGGTTGGTCAATTCGAATGCAGTGTTTTGTAATGCAACAACAGCGGGGCGCGTTATCGCGTAACATGATATACAGAGCGCGTGACGCAGGGCTTTTTTAATCCATTGTCTATAACGCGCAACGGGTGAATGACCGAAGACCCGATATAGAAAGCGCCCGCTGATGGTCAAAATCTAGGCGGTCAAGAGGCGAGGTCTTGACTAATAATCAGCGAATCTGCTCACATATCATAGACGCATGGCATTCCTATTACATAGACTAGCTCTTCCCATGCACAGATAGAGATATTGCTATTGCTTGTTAAAGTCAAGCAAAGGTATAAGACACTCATAATTTGTCTCATTTTTTGTTGATTCATTAGTTGATACCTCTCCTGTCTGACTTTGACTACCTGGAAGAGCAGCACATCCTGGTGGCCATCAAATCCAGCGATAGTGAAGAATCTTACGGTATGATTGCAGTGCTCACATTTTGTCAGATAAATCACTAAAGGAAACTGACTATAGGCAGTGTTGTAGTCGAGTCAACAACGTCGAGTCCGAGTCTCGAGTCACAAGCCTCGAGTCTGAGTCCAAGCCTCGAGTCTGAGTCCCGAGTCACAAGCCTCGAGTCTGAGTCCAAGCCTCGAGTCACAAGCCTCTAGTCCAAGTCCAAGCCTCGAGTCTTAGTCCGAGTCACGAGTCACAAGCCTCGAGTCCGAGTCGCGAGTCACAAGCCTCGAGTCCGAGTCTGAGTCTTGAGTCACAAGCCTCTAGTCCGAGCCCGAGTCTCGAGTCACAAGCCTCGAGTCCGAGTCTCGAGTCGCAAGCCTCGAGTCCGAGTCTGAGTCTTGAGTCACAAGCCTCGAGTCCGAGTCTCGAGTCACAAGCCTCGAGTCCGAGCCCGAGTCTCGAGTCACAAGCCTCGAGTACGAGCCCAAGTCTCGAGTCACAAGCCTCGAGTCCGAGTCCGAGTCTCGAGTCACAAGCCTTGAGTCCGAGTCCGAGTCTTGAGCCTTGAGTCCGAGTCCGAGTCACGAGTCACTTGTCCTTAGTTGTTCACCAAACTAATCAATTTTTTTTTAAATTATTTTTCAATCATCCATTCTGTCTTTTATGTAAATCCCAGTGTATATAGTTTACCTTATGTGTGTACATGTTGTTGTACACTTTTTGGCATGACACTGGGCCCTGGTGCTCGCCGTGCAGGCGCAAGGCGTGCGTGCGTGGCCCCTGGATATGATTTTCCGCGGCGCCGTGTATTTAAATGGAGTAAAAAAAGAATGCTACGTTGTCGCACAAATACGTAACGTTATTTTTAAAAAAAAACTTTTTAAAATACGGGACTCGAGTCACGAGTCACCAAGCTGGAGTCCGAGTCATCATGGTCGAGTCTGAGTCCGAGTCATTTTCCAATGTGACTCGAGTCAAGTCCGAGTCATGAGAAATGTGACTCGAGTCCGTGTCCTGGACTCGAGTCCTACAAAACTGACTATAGGTGCATAATTGAACAAAGATATGACTGGAGCAGGGTTTGAACCTGCAACCTGTGGAATACCGCACCAGTGCTCTACAAAAACAGAAGATACTAAACAAATTTTAGGTGGTAAATAATCGTCTTTAACCCTCCTAGCAAACATACATTCTGTGCCAAGTTGTCCTTGCAAATAATCAAGTGACTGTTTTCAACAGTACAGAGCTCCCAGCCTATATACATGTAAAACAGGATCGACTGGCTGTGACTGTTTATGTAACTTGATACAGCTATGCTTTGACTGTAGGTGATAGGTAAGCCAGCTATGAATACCACTTGCTTGCTTTGTCTGTTGACTGAATTTGAATAGTCACAGTGTTTGCTTGAAATATGATCTGACTGTTATTGATAAGCCTGTGTAGAAGGCATGGCAGGGTATTAAAGAGGATTGATTCTTTTGACTGTCTGTGACTGTTCAGATAGCAGGAGGGTTAGGAATGTGATTAAACATCTTTATGACCTCCTAATGTAATGAAATTTAAGTTTAAATAGTGTCACCTTAGCCTAAAAGATTTTTATATACTGCACTAACCCCTTCTATGACAATCTTAAGTGGAGCGCTGTGGCCTCGTGGTTAAGGGCACTGGATTCGTGCTCTGTGGGTAAAACTGCAAGTTGTGGGTTTGAGTCCAGCCAGGGTCATGGTGCGTGTGCCCTTGAGCAAGGCACTTTGTCACTCATTGCTTCTCTCCACCCAGGAGTAAATGGGTACCTGTGAGGGCAGAGATGGTTATGTGATTGATTTAGCTTGCTTGCGCCTAACAGGCAGCATCGAGCTGTATACTCCCCAGGGAGCTAAGATGGTATTTGGAATGTTTAATGGGCCCAGTGATCAGGGGTAATAATAATATTGTAAGCGCTGGGATTTAGTTTACTAATAAGAGCGTTCGTAAATGCCGATTATCATTATAAAGTGGCTATTTTGTACTGAGTTTATACAATCAATCATTTGTACAGGAGAGTTTGTGTTGTCGTTGAATGATAAAATCAGCTCTACTCCAGTGCCGTTCCATGGCGTACTCACGCACCAGGGACACAAAACCGGAGAAATCAGGTCAGTATTGAAACAAATTCTGATCAATCTAATCTAATGTGTAGTTTGGGCAGTGAGGTCCTTTTGAGGTCTGCAAATAATTCTAACGAACCCAAAAGTACCCGGTTATTGGTGCTGGTTCTAAACCTTAATCCACAGGGACATTTGTATCTGTGATTTGAGCATTATAGACCTTTATCATGCTGCCACCATTTCAGTCATGTTCCCTGTATCCAATAATAGTGCTGAATGATAATGTTTTTTGTGCAAAATGGAACCAGACTATTTTTCCTTTCAGCCTCACTTTGGTCAACCTCGTCCCCAGTGCTTACTTTATTTCCAACCTTGTTTCCAATAGTAAGCCCTGGATAGGAAACTTTCTTCCTGTATCTTGATTCGATACCGTAATTGGCTACATGTAGTAATGGATTTTTATCGTGCACTTGGTGTTGTTATTCACAACGTGCAGTACGTGTTTTCGCGATCATTCGTCCACGCCTTCTCGAAAATTCTCATTTCGTTTCCAATTTGTTCATATTAATATGAAATGTGATACTGTATGTTGTCTCGATAAGATCGTAACAGTTTAATTGAATAAATGGTGTTTTCGTAGTTCACGCCATGCTTGCGTTGCGACGAATTGACTCTGTTTTTACCCCAGACACCGCATACAAAAACAAATGCTAATGTAACGCACATGCAGGCACCAGACTATTCCTCATTTGCATACGTGTTCAAAAATCTTGCACATGCAAATGATCCAATACCAGGGTGAGAGAGCAGGTAGTGATGGGCGCGTACTGCTTGACACCCTGGGGACGAGGTTGCACTTTGGTTACTTGATTTGAAAGGGGAAAAAAATAACGATGGCCGCAACATGATAATGGTCAATGGGCTTCGTGCACTAGTACCCCCTCAACGATTATGATGAGAGAGTTAGGGGAGACCACTGGGAGTATTATTCGAACCAATTGCCAACCACGCCTGACGCTCAAGAGAAGATGCTATGGCCTTGTGCGCATTCAGAACAGTATAAGTCATGGGCAATTCCACGGTTACTCACGTTACGAAAATGTAATGTGAGTAACCGATTTTGTGCGTCTTGTTTATCATACATCACACGTTTTTCTGGATGTCATCTTTGGTGCTTAGGTAGGTCTAGGTCTACTCTATCTACCATGGGGATAACAGTTATTAAACCTGTAAAAAAGTAAAACTGCTGCAAACTGCTTACTGACTTGATGGACCTGAAATATATAAATCTTAAAATTAATGTGGCCTGACGTTGCGAACTTAGCAAGTTCTTCTTCAGAGGCTAAAACAGAAATGACAGAGGTACATACATTAACATTGGGGTGCACACAAACATGCAGGGCTGAAAGAAGAAACACAAAAGGAGGATTAAGTGGGAAAGGTGTAGAAAGATGCAGGGGAGGGTGGATGAGAGAACAAAGAAACAAAGGGAGATGGCAAACCACAAGGGGTCTGGTGTGAACAGGGGAGGGACCAGAAAGGGGAAGGATCAAAGGTCACAGGGAGTGGGAACGGACAAAAGAGTGTGAGAGTGAAGGGATGATGCGGGGGGGGGGGGGGGGGAACAGTATGGAGGTGGAAAGGGATGAAAGGTGGGGGAAGATGGGTAAACACAAACAAGGAAGACCAGATGGATTATCTGTAACAGAAGACAATGGAGGAAAAAAAGGATTAATCATTTCCAAGTTCGATGTTGAGACCATGTGGTTGAATAGTTCGAAGACGATTCATCCACACTTTCTCTCTGCTGAGGCGAACTGAGTCCTTGCGATGGCCAAGAGATTCAATGCCCTGCAAAATCATATCAGAAATGGAGTGGTTAGGCAGGTTGAAGTGATGACCAACAGGGGTGTCTAGTTTCTTGGGCATAGAAACGCTTCTTGAGCGTATTCTTAGTCTCACCTACATACTGCACTCCACAGACCCTGCAAGAAATGAGATATATGACATTAGAGGTGTTACAAGTGATGTTACCAATGGTTCTGTGGGTAGTGACAGAAGAGTGGCCAGAAAAGGAGTCAGACTCCTGGATATGAATCTGGCAGACAACACATCTGGAACTGCACTTGAAAGTACCATGCTGGGTGGGAGGGGATGCATCTAAGGATGGGACTTCAGCTCGAACAATCAAGTCCCGTAGATTTCGAGGACGCCTGTAAGCCAATGTGTGGCCGTTGGGGATGGCGCGGGCAAGGCGATCTGAAGTATGGAGGATATGATGATTGTCATTAGTGATTTTGCGAAGGGGAGGGAGATTGGGGTGAAACGTGGTAACCAAGGGAATCATGGGTTTGGCCATGGCATCAGGGGCCTTTCCCGTGAGAGCTAGATTTCTGGGGATAGCTTTAGCTCTGGCAATGGCACGATGAACTTGGCGAGAGCTGTGACCCCTGGCCACCAAGTTGTTCCTCAGTATCTGTGTATGGCGGGAGAAATCGGAATCATTAGAACAAATTCTTCTGAGTCTGAGTGCCTGGCTAAACGCTATGCCAGTTTTGCATTGCCTTGGGTGACAGCTGGAGGAGTGGAGGTACTGGTGGGTGTCTGTGGGTTTGGAATACAGGTCAGTGGTTAGTGAGTTGCCTTGCTTGCGGACGGTGACATCCAGAAAGTGGGTTTGGTGAGCCGAGAACTCCGATGTGAATTTGATGGTTCTGTGGAAGGAATTGATGTGGTTAGTGAAGGTCAAGAGACTGTCCTCATCACTGGTCCAGATGAAAAAAACATCATCAATATATCTCCACCAGATCCAAGGGCGACATGGGGCCGAGGCAAGAATGCGTTCTTCGAGGTCACCCATGAAGAGGCAAGCCATCGACGGAGCCATGCGAGTGCCCATTGCAGTGCCGTGTACCTGTAGATAGTGTTCACCAAGGAAGGAAAAATTGTTCTTCGTTAGTATAAGTCTCATGAGGGTGCCAACATCACTGATGGGAGGAGTCGTGTGTCCTGCCTTGGCCAGAGCCAAGGAGCAAGCACGAACACCCTCCTCATGTGGGATGTTGGTGTACAGAGATGAGACGTCGAAAGTCCCAATGATGGTTGTGCTGGGAATCTGGTCCTTGATTCCTTCAAGCTTGCGTAGGAAGTCTGGGGTGTCGTGAATGTATGACGAAATCTGTGGGACAAGGGGTTTGAGAAAACTGTCAATGAACAGGGAGATGCGTTCCGTGGGTGAGCCATTACCGGAGATGATGGGTCTACCGGGGTTGCCAGCCTTGTGAATCTTGGGTAGAAGGTAAAATCTGGCAGTCCAGATTTTAAAAGTTATTAAACCTTTTCAGTAAGGTAATTACAGCCCAAGGAAACTCAAAAGTACATCAAAAATGTAACGTTAGTAACCGTGGAATTGCCCTCATGCGTATTTTGTGCAATGCGCGCTTGAATTACTACGCGCACGCAAACTAGTGTTCCATCAACTAAGCTTTTGGAAAGTGCTCAAAAAGTACCATGTTCTATTCGTTTACGGAGCTCATGAGTATTATCAGGTGTGATTCAAACTTTTTTCTTGTTTTCCCTTTTTTGGTTTTAGTGGTACTGTACATGTTAAAGCCAGAGATGAGAGTCTATACGGAGGCTGCCGAAAAACAAAAACCTACGGTAAGAAAAAAAAACTGTTTTGCAATCTAGTTCAATTCTGAAACAGTTTACAGATATTTTAATTACATGTATCACAAGGTCTGGTGGTTAGGGTTCATGACTCATAATCAGGGGGTCAGGGGTTCGAATCCAGGTGCTGGTCATATGTTGTGTTCTTGGGCAAGCTACTTCAGCCCACTTGCCTGTCTCCACCCAGGAGTTTAAATGAGTACCGGCATTAGCTGGGGAGTAACCTGCGATGGACTAGCATCCCATCCAGGGGGAGTAGAAATATTCTCAGTCGTTTCATGCTACTGAAACCGGAGATAAACGCCGGCCTGATGGGCCACATTGGCTCGTGACGGACTTTACTTTTACTTAATACTTACTATCACAAGGTACTCCCATTTGCCTTGCAATTAAGATTGAAATTCCTTCAAGAAAGTGGGTAAACATGGCCACATTTATTTCTCTGTTTATTTCGATGCAAACAATTTCTGCCAATGTTTTTGCCAATTTTTAGAGGGAAAATACAACATTTGCAAACATCAAAAAATTAAACTACCAAATCATTTTGAAATACCTTGTTGGACTGTTAGTTAATGACAGTGTAAAGCATCTTGTAAAATCATGGCACCTGGTATACTGCATTTTCAAGAAAAGTGGTATTTTTGTATCAATTTCCAACGCTGATCGGCCGATCAGCGTTGGAAAAAACTGGCTTTTTTTCAAATACTGGCCCCAGTTGACCATCGCACTTGTTTGCAATCGATTACACACCTATGAACGGGTACAAGCCAGCTAGACTGGTTCCCTGATCTTACAATTCCCCAATATATGTAAACTGCTCTGTTTCTTCTTAAATGGAGTCAGGGAACCAGACTAACGGAAAATGATTGTTTTCCTTGGTTTTTATAGCATTTTCGAACCCAAAACCTCAAAATAGTCAGTGTAACTATATTTGCTATATATTTCCAACCCCCCAATTCCATCTATTTCTGAAAATTACAGCAAAAGCAAATGATGTATATTCCCTTTAAACTCGTTTTATTATGGACAGATACCTCTGACTTGTTTCTGCACTTTTTTGTCTTTTCCCAGAGCTGGTCTTGTTTGAAGAGAAAGAGAAGGAAAAAGTAGATTGTCTTCTCTCACCGGCAGACGCCAAAGGTATTCCTCGGAAGCAATTCCAGCTTCCCAAATATTATTTAGATATCAACAGGGCACAAATAAGCGTTGCACTTCACGTCCAAACATACTTGAGAACTAATCAGCCTATCATAATAATGGGAAGGCAGCATCATCGAGGCACATAGCAGCAACCGAAGCAGGTCGTTTCGTACCCAAGTCGTTTCATACCCAAGTCGTTTCGTACCCAAGTCATTTCGTACCCAAGTTGTTTCGTACCCAGTCAATTATGACGCACAAAGGAGATTAAGCCAGTCATGCAAACCCGCTCCTGTGACGTCACCGACGCGCGGTATCATCATAGAGATGAATCAAGTTCCTAGCTTGAGTAACTCCTGCTGACATGCTCATATTCATTCACATGTAGTGCTGGAGGCATAACCTGTTCGTTAGAATGTGGTAGCAAGAGCCCCTAAAAAAATGGCCTCTCAAAAATTGTTTATTTTCACCTCTAATATCCCACCCCAGATTTCATTTACATACCTCATACATTCAGCAGTCATTTATGAAGCCTAATGATCGACTTGAAACAGACCACACAAAAAAAATGTGAAAAATCTTGACGATCTCGGTGGCTTGTCCGTAAAAAAACGCCAGTTCCAACGGCTGCCGTCTATTTTGTTTTCCTAATTATGTAAATGTATGCATCACGTGATGACATCGAAAAAAAATCTGCGCGCGCGATGTATGTGGGTACCACACCGCTTTCAGGCGCCGCAAGTGAGTTCAGTTTTCGTCTGGTGCGTTGTCGCGGAAAGCAAGACAACGAGAATGCTCTCCACTACAACGCACCAGACGAAACTTCGTCAATCATAACCCAAGCTCAAAAAACCCACAACCGCAGGGTAGATAAAATCTAAGCTCCAAGAAGAACAAAAAACATGCAGTGGCAGGTTAAAAAAAATCAGACAAAACAAACCGCAGCACCGTCAACACAAGTCCCGAGACGGGTACCTGGGTACGAAACGACTTGGGTACGAAACGACCGACATTCAGCAGCAACCACTAGGTTTCAGAAGCTATAAGAGTGTTTCCATTCACATACTAAGGTTCTATTGATGTGTCCCAATACAGGTAAGGGAAAGCTCAAGAGAAATCCATTTGCGAAGTCACCGAATGTAGAAAGCCCGCAGACCGACATCAGCGATGCCTTGCTAAATCCAGTCAGTAGACACCGACGTATTGGTGACGCCTCGACCAAATCTCCGCCAGAGATTGCTTCGATAGCAATAAGCAAAGAGGAGGATGGTTTAGATGGCGCCCCTCCCCCTTTACCCCCACCCAGGAGAGGGGCGAGCCCGGTGACCCCCGACGTTGTCCCGCCCGGGGACATGAGCTCCAGGCAGCTCCAACCTCCCAAACAGCTTTCCCTGGAGTCTATTCTGACATCCAACCGACCGCCACTCAGAGGGTGTTTATCCAGTCCTGGTGATCGCGAGATCAGCCCATCCCGAGCCAAGTCCCCTACGCCAGGCTCCAGGGATGAGCACCTTCATCGGCCGGAGCGCCGGCTACCACAGCCCCCACCGGAGATCCATGATAGCCCGCCGAGAATAGACCCATCCTTATGCAGCCCTCCAGTTGCTGTCCCCACGCAGCCATCCTCGACCAGGGTACCCAGGAAGCCCCAACGTCGGCAATCTCCGGGGAAGGTCCTGGCGCTCCGGGCCCAGTTTGAGAAGTCTAGCTCAACCGAGGACAGCCCGCCGGAGAACGCCAAGATGTTCCCAGAGGATGTCGGGAAGCCTCCCTTGCCTCGACGGACCGTAGAAAGCAGACCCTCAGAGGATGTACTCATTGAGGGGCTACCTCCACCCCTACCGGCCAAGTCTAAGACGCCACCCAAGAATCAGATGGTAGATATGGAGGTGAAGTAGCAATTTAAATTTTCAGAAAGTGTCTCCTGATTTTATTTCTTTGTCAAAAATATTGTCCGGGGTTAAATTTTGTTATGGCCAAGAAGGTGATTGGGGCGGGCAGGGCCAATTGAAGTAGAAACGTGCCGCCGACTAGCGTGTATGATGCGAGAAATACATGTAGTCAGGTCCATTACCTGTCAAATTACAAGGCAGTCACAATTCAGACCCTGACAAGGTACATTGTGCTTGTGTTCTTAGGCAAGACACTTTACTCTTACTATTGCTTCTGTCCATCATGAGGTCCCATTGATTGTAGAGACAATCTGATCTCAAGCTTCTGCAGTAAACTGGTCCCATGTCCTGATAAACAAGGGTAATAGTTCTGAAACACTTTCGAGACTTTGGCATAAAGCATTGCACAAGCATGTTACAAATATTATCCACTCCGTTCACAAGTACCCCCTCACCGGCAAAGAAAGTACAGTTGGGGGTGACCAACCGACGCCATCTTGCCTGACTGCAATTCATTTGCCGCGAAACGCAGCCACTGCGTGTACATAGTACAAATCCCCTGGTGTACGTGCGTCACACACAAGGAACGGTGCGTGTCAACCAGCGAAATGTCCCGTCCATGGGACGTCGTTGCTAGGTAAAAGGGCGCCCTCTTTATTGGCGCACGGAGCCCATTATTGACTACCACTATGTGCATGTTTAACCCAGCTTTCATTTTATCCATCCCCCTAGGAGTACGAGGTTTTACGGCGGCCGTCCACCATCGCGGAATGGCTGATGAACCTTGGTCTGCCCCAGTACAGCCACCAGCTTCTGGCCAACGGTTGGGACAACGTGACGTACCTGGACTCCCTGACCAACCGGGACCTACTAGATTGCCAGATTGATACGGAAGACCACAGACATCGCATGCTGGATAGCGTTAGGTGCATGCCGTCCTTAAAATGAGGTTTTCCTGCAACTGTTTGGATTTTTTTTTTTTGGTGAAGTGTTCTTGAACTGGAAGGTTCGAATCTTACTCCAGTCAATTTTTTTTCCCCCGCCCCTTTTTCTATTAGTGTCCTGGGTTTTCTTTTGCAAAAGTAGCTGAAATCCCTTTTTGCTGCAATTATACTGTTGGTTTTGGTTTTGTTTTTGGTGCTGTGTTCTGGACCTGGAGGGTTCGAATCTATTCCGAGGAGCAGACATTCATGTGGGCAGAGCCACGGTCAAACGTCTGATATATCCTTGCATGCAAAATTTATGCAACCTCGTGTGCCAGCCAATCTGAGTCGACTTTAGAAACTGTGACATCATTTCAATCAGAAGTGTGAAAATGTTTTTTACTCCTTTTACTTTCCTTTAAAAAAAAATGCAACTATTTTTTTATTTTTGTGCAGTGTTCAGTTCAAACCTTTAAACAGTAAAACGATTTTTGTTTTTATAATGATCAAGCTGAAATGTTATAAGCTCCTCATGATATAGACTGATCCGTTTGGCCCCGCCCACTATGTAGATGGGCGCTTCTCCAGTGCCACAATGCATGGCTGTGATTGGTCGAAACATGGCAGGGCGGAGCTTAAACGGATCGGCAATTGAAAGCATGTACAGCATACTCGTTCGGACCTAGCCAAATTGTTTGTTATATCAGAATTTTGTATTAAGAGGAACATCAGTCCCATTCATTATGCATATAAAAGCACAGTCGGGACCATGACTTTATATTTGTTATAACCAGAATTTTGTATTAACAGAGTTTGTACTAACGAGAGTCGACTGTACATGCTCATGTGAGGCTCACTGCACATTGTCTTTACAGTTTCATTTATTTTCATTTTGAACCCCCTCCATTTTTCCTGAAAAAGGACGGCTTATTTTTTGTACTAATGCATAAAAATTAATCCAAACTAACAAAAAAATACTTCAGTTATCGGTTTTTGTTTTTTTCACAAGATTTCTTGGCTTTGTGTACTAAAGCTCTTACTGTTATCGAGAACATGTATGTTCCTTCTTTTTTTCTATGCAAGAAATTGTATTTTTGCCAAAAACAAGCTGAAAATTTGAAAACATGTAATGTTTACTGAATAAAATAGTGGTTTCAATTTTGTTTACTCGTCAGAGGTACTGAATATAATTTCAAAAAAATATGAAAATATTAGTATAATAATGTATAAATTTATAGTCAAGTGCAAGTCGACCAAGTGTACATGTATAATGGGAGTGTACAACATATTTGTACCAACGTATACAAAATGTATATGCATACTCAATTAAAAATTATTATGCGAACCAACATATTGTCAATTTAAACATGCATTTTTTCGTGAATATTTCTAAATTTGATCACGGATCCTAGACACCAGGATTAACGACTCGGCCCAACTCCTGGTTAGACGCGTGATAACGGCCTGTACTGGTGGCAAATACCATGAATACTTTTCAACAAAGACCACTGCGCGCGGTGGCTCTCAGATTTGCAAGGCTCTGCGCCCGATCTGGCCTCGAGGTCTTGTCAAGCCAGCGAATTATATTTTTGAATATTCATGAGTCTACGTTTTTGGTCTTTATTACTGAATTTTGATAAGTGATAACTACATAACCATAGTAATGCCGAGCACAATATCTTTAGCTTTAAGATGAACAATGAAATGTCGCTTTTGTTTCATCGGTTCGGCATCACATCTCTCTACAACTTTTTAATAAAAGCCTCATTAAAAACGAAATTTGGGTAAACGGTGTTCTCCTCGAAATTTGACGTTTATTTCCCGGGTAAATACTTCACCTATGACGACAGAAACTGCACAATACCATCTGTTATATCCTGAAGTATTTATTTCTTAAATAATTTGGAACAATTATATCTTAAATAAGAAGTAGTTTTGCTTACAGTTTTACGAATATTTCTGTTTTAGATGTCATGCAAAAACCCAACACAATGGCACATCTGGAAACTTCGCGATTATGCGCCAACGGGTATTAATGCCTGTTATCACGCGTCTAACCAATTAAGGCAAGTCCGCTCAGTGCATTTTGTACTAGAGCTCAGAACAGTCATTTATCCTGGTGTCTAGGATCCGTGATTTGATGAACATGTACACTTCATTCAACATTTCCAAACACCACTATTGCGTACAATTATAACTGTAACAATAATGCAAAAAGTTTCTCTGAAATTACGGAAACAGGCTGTCCCTTCATACAATGTACATGTACGTAAATGAGGTTAATGTTTAATCTGAAATAAAATACTGCTCTGAAAACATTCTTTTTATTTTCATAACGCATTTCTAGAGTTCCGGACAGAAACATGTACTGTTTACAAAATGTACTCGTACAAAGTAATCATGGCTCTGAATTTTTGGGGGAAATACAAGTTTTGTTCCTTCATTGCCTATTGGAGCATTAACAGATATTATTAGAGTTATGGTTGTGCTACCCGTGAAATATTTAAGGGATGAAACTGGTTTACTATGTAAATGTAAATGTATTAAAAATATCTGAAAATTTCAACTGCAATTCATCACAAATCGATACAGTGGTCAAAAATACTGGTCATTGGACTCAACTCGATTGTAAATTGTAAAAAAAAAAATCTATTAATAAGTCAGTTTCTAGGAAAATTGCCAAACTAACAAGTATTTTTCACTAAAAGGGTAAATTTTGTAGCCTATTTTCTGGGGATAATTTTTATATATCTTTTACACAGATTTTGTTTTGTTTAGTAAAAGTATTTTTGTAATGTAGATATTTGTAAATACATTTTTCCACATTTAGCAGGCTGTGAAATTATGCTGAATACTGGGAATTATAAATTGAAATGAGTCCAAATCCAAGTTTTCTATTTGTCATCTTTTAATGTTTACTAATTCTACAATGGTCTATAACTGAAAATCTCAAACAAACATGTGTCCCCAACCTACAATGTTGGGGTGAAACAATATCAACCTACACACAACGATGTTTGATAAAACCGAAATCACAATATACTAAACATCATATGAAAGTGAACTAAGTTTAATATGACAGTTACAGATTTTTTTTTTCGATTTTTTTACAACTTTGTGAAAATGCTACATTCCAGCTGCTTATTTACTTTTATTTCGGAAGTACATTCATATTTGTTTTGGTCGCACAAAGGATATGCGTAGTCCACAAGTTCTAACTGTTCGTTTCCTAAACACTTTCAACCCCAACACAAATATGCCCTCAATACGGGTAAATCAGCTTTCACTACATGTATGCAAATGTACACATAACATGTTCATTCAAACGCAGGTTCAATATTGATGCTGGATTGCAGGGGTCTCTTAACTACACCATCATCAATCATTGTCTTGTTACAATCAAGCTATTTACCACCTTTTATTACCCCTTGAGTGTGATCCCCTTCCCCTTCCAGAATTATAGGACCTATATCCTTCATTGTAGGAGCCACCCCACGGCCGGAACTGGTTGGGAGGCGGCCTAAACCTTCCTCCGTAATTATCTCTATAGTCGAAGCTGGGCCTTTGGGACGCAAATGAGGCATCCATGAGCGACGGTCGCTTGGCGTTCGGGTCCATGTCCAAGGGTTGAGGGGGTAGTTTGCGCTTCATCACCGGTGCGTTGACTTTCCTGTGCTCCTGCATGGTCGGGTAGAACTCCCCATGGAAGAGGTTTTTGCTGTCCATCGGAAGGGTAGTGAAGTCTTCGAAGGATTCCGTCTCGTTGCGATGGATCTGCGACATGCAGATGTCCCTACGCGAGACTGTGGCACGAGCAACGACACGGGACGCTGCATCTGCGATGGACTCAACACTGCCCTGGATGCCGTCCAGTAAGCTGATCACGTCCCCCTGGCTCGTGCTGGGTGACTTCTCCAGAACGTTGCGTAGCGCGTTCAGCATAAACGCCGTGTGGGACGTAGCCCGGATAGCCATCCGCGCTGACTCGTCGCACTTCTTGAACCCGTTCTCACACGACTGCAGCAACGGGTTGCGGATGGCGTTGCTCTTCTTGACATACGGCCGCCGCCGAGGCGGTCCACCGTGAGACGCTGCCTCCTGCCTCATCAGCTCCTTCTCAACCTGAATGCAGTATTCCCGATCCACGGTTGAAGACTGGCAGTACCTCTTAAAGTCTGTGTCGCTGATCCAGTATCTCTTGTCGTCCAACTTGCGGAACGGAGAGATCTGGCTAGACTCCTGCAGTTCCCTATTGACATCCTCCCATCTTGCTTTCACACAGTCGGCAATCGGCATCATGGGCACCTGGTACTGCATCTTGGTGTTGCCTTCTTTGTGGGTGTTCTCCTCGAGGACCAGTCCCGGGTCACACAACTCTGGCAGCTTGTTGATGAGCTGCGCCCATTTAGGATCAAAGAGTTTCTCTAGCTCTGCCTTCTCCATGATCTTGCTCACATCCTCCAGATCGACACTGGATGTTGTTTCCTCCTCCCGGTTACCCCTACCATCTGCATCTTCAGAGACTCCTTCTCTGACATCACTTCCCGCTTCCTCCCCCAACTGCTCTTGTGAAGATCCACCCCTTTCTTCATCTGTCACTTCTTGAGGCTCTTCTTTCGCGTGCTCCTCACTGTAGTCACCTCCATCAAGACCCTCCAGATTAGTAGCATCTTCCAGCTGACTCATCCCACCTTCATCTCCAAGATCTTGCATCGCCTGGTCGGGCTGACTTTCAGATGAGGTCTCGGCAATCTCTGTCACCCCTGGGATGCTTTCCGCCGACTGGGACTTCACGCTCCTCCTTCGCTTTCCCCTCATTTTGTATGAGTCTTGAGACAGGGATACCTTATCGATGATTCCAATTGGTCAGTTATCTTTGGGAACTCTCAACTGTATCACTGAGAATCTTTCTTCACTTTTTGTCAGTTCAAACTCTCAGCCTTCGCAAATACTCTTGAGCTCGTTCAGTTCACTCTTGAGGTGCTCCTGACGATGAATGGCCATCTGTGCATCCTTCTGGGCCGAGTAGCTAGATCCTTCGTGAGGTTGGCCTGATTTCAAACACAAATTAAAAAATTCATTTTTTTAGGTAAGTACATTCATTGGTGCTACATAAAAAAGTAGGCCTCTTACTTAAGGATTGTTTTTCCTAAAGCAGAATTTTGATCCAATTTGAGATGGAGTCTCGAAATAGTTGGGGGTAATAAACCAAATGCCAAAGCCGGAGACAATGCCACAGTTTCAAGCTGTATGCAAGATATCTCACCAGTTGCAACCTGTGACAAGTAGTTGATTTGTTCAGAGAGGGATTTCTCCACTTTTTCCAGCGTCTTAAAAAACTGCTTGGTGTAGTGTTCGGTCATGTGCTCGTTCAACTTCTCTTCGCTGAGTTCACCAATTGCTTGCCCTTCAAATAAAGAACAAGTGCAACAAAAAAAGGTTATATTTTATTTACTTCCTCCATAGCAGAGTCAGATATTTATATACAAATCTCCCTTTTGCATCCTGGGTCCCAAATATTCTCAACCAACATCTGTCTACAAATAAAGATTTTTGCTTATTATTTGGGGTAAAAAACCCAATTCTGCTGTATTTTTTATAACAACTGAGTTGTTCCAAATCCAAGCTATCGAAGTTCAAACAATATCTTACATCCTGCCCCCCCCCCTCAACCAGTGGCATAGCCCCCCCCCCCCCCCACTGAGATTTTGAGTTTCTAAAAAAATTATTATTGATCTACATGTACATGACGCCACCCCATGAAATGTTCCAGCCCCCCCAGCGCCCCCCCCCCCCCCCCCCCCCCACTGAAAAATTCCTGGCTACGCCACTGCCCCCAACAAAATAAACCATTAATTGCTTAGAACATGGAGCTATGCTTAGAATAAGTTTTGTTGGAATTTTCCTGCAACAGATATCGTCACCCAATTAATTTGTCTGTAATAATCCATCAAAGCCAACTTGCAAGCACTACATACAGTGTGATTTTAGAGGAAGTGATGCAAAATTGTTTTCCCACTTATCCTAAGTGCCAATGGCAATGATTGCCAACCAAATTTGTACCCCAACAAATCACTTTTAGTTCACAGTCTACCCTAATTCAAACTTAAGCAGGTATAACAGCCCATTTGATATATTTAAATGCTAGATTTTTCGGATTTCTGCAAAGATATTAAGCAAAAAACGCAAATGTCCCTCAAATATATTTGCACTTGGCCGGACGGTAAGTAGAAATTTATGTTTGTGCCATTACAAGGTCAAACGGGATCCATCATGGCGAAATTGATTCTGTGGATTTACAAAATGCAATATCTAGCACTCCATTTAGGTCCAAATTTAAGACGATAAAACGAGTTTTCCGTTTCAACAAAGACCACCTTCCTGAGGTGAAATTATATCTTTCAAGCATCGAACACACGTGGTCGTATTTTACCTGCATGTAGCACGACATTAGCGATGTCAATTTCGATGCTTTCAAGTTGTTTCAGCCGGTTCTCCGATGGGGAAGTCATATTCGCCACACGCGAACAACCACCAACAACGCCTGCATATAGAGTTAGCGTTGTATCCCACATGCAGCGCACATTTTAATAACGTACAAGCTTTTTCGGGGGACGGCGGCACGCGCTAGATATGCACACACACAGAAAACAATCAGGGCCGGGGTCGTCGTCTGTAAATATTGGAAGGCCGAACTAATTTGGGGAGGGATGATTGCAAACAATTCATCAATAAATACCATTTTCCTACAAAATAAAAACAGCACAATTTAATTCGAGACATTTCATATCACATCAAAATGTATATATTTTTTATTTTATATGAAGTTTGTGACATATTTTCTCGATTGCATGTTTGTGACGACAAAATAATATTTTCTGTAACCCGCAGCAAAATGGTCCAAACCGCGGGAAAATTGATGGCAACTTGGATGAGACTATTCTATAATTAGGGGGAAATTAGTGATTACAGGTTATACTAGTTCATTTAATGCTTTCCAAACACGTTTTATTTTGGTAGAATATTACTAACAATTATTTTCAATTCAACGAAATATATATTTTTGCTCATGTATTAAAATAAATACTTCTTTAATAAAATATAGTCAAAAGGCTAGATTGATTTTTACCCATAAAATAATGCTGCATTCCATACGAACTGATCAGCTAAGCCAACCACGAGGGACGTAACATAAGCTACTCGGTAAGGTAAATTTGCATGGAAAATAAACCAATCACCTTCAACGTTCCTGAAAGCTGCGGGGCTAAGAAACATCGTTCAAAAAAATCGGAAGTGTAGTACACATTCGTCCGAGAGAATGCCGAAAATCAACCCAACATTTCAGCATCAACAGAGTACTGAAACGTGAAAATAAGTAAGTATTCCGAAAGTCCATGTACAACAGTAGTTACCCTGAGATTTAGGTAAAAATTCCTCCAGTAGAATCTCTTGTAGAGAAGTGGGAAGAAGCCGTAGTTTGCAGAATTAAACTTGAGGCCCAACGCGTTCAATATGCGTTTGCGCTACTACTGGTACTAGGCCTGCACTCGATTTCGACACATGCCTAGTCATTTTTTTCGCATGTCCAGTGTAAAATTATGCGTTGCTATACACTTCATTTTAAACTATTCATGTGTATACAAAGTCATCCTTAGTCATGTTAGTCCTCTATATACTTGAATTGAACTTGCTGGGGTCTTTGCGTTCCATTTTTGAAAACGAAAGCTGGAACTTGGAAGCATGTTGCACCAAAATAAAAACCTTTTCATTTTCGCATGGCACTTTGGCATGTTTGGCCTCGCCTGGCCTTGCAAGTTTGGCCGTGCTCATTCATGTCATTCAAGTTTCAACATGTCTGAACACTAGATGTTTAGGCCTATTTATCCCCACTGGCACTGTGGCTCGCATGTTATTGTGCTAATCCTTCGCCACACATCCCGATTCCACTGTTGAACTTGAGGTGAAATGGTGTATTGGTCTAGGGGCCTATCAGTTTTATTGTGCACCCGGAAAAATGTACAGTTTACTGACCTTCGAAAGTATCACTGTCGGGCATGCAAATTTTCCTCGAATCCGCGGATTTCCTCGTTTTTTATTTCTCATGAATGACATTACAAATTGAAAAATACTGTTCAAATTCTTGTGGGGTTTGGAATTTCCTTGTTTTTTTTTTTTTAATTCCCAGTTGCATGCCTGAAGTTACTCCTAGAACTAGCTGGAGTTACCCAGCCCTCCCCTGAGTTTTATCATTGGGTTGTCTATTAGGGCTGGAGCTAGTTTTTCTCGTAAACGATAGTATAGGCAAAAATTTTTGGAAAATGTTCAATTTTGTCCCCGTTACACACTAATTGCATCTGCAACTCGCCCCAAACTTGCCTGGAATAACCATTACACAGGTCCTTGAAGTAAAAAACGATCCACGATGAAGATTCAGCCTACAATTGCAGTGAAAACAGGAGGAATAACCGCTAACCTGACAACCTTGCTGGCATGGCCAGGACCGCAATTGGTTTGTGCACAAAAAAAAAATTGTGTACAATGAATGGCGGTCGATTATCAGGCACAGAGCGCTGTCAACTACTCGTTTTTGCCGGCTGCGCTGGCTGTTGGCGCATGACGTCACGCACAAACCAATTGCGGTCCTGACCATGCCAGCAAGGTTGTCAGGTTAGCGGTTATTCCTCCTGTTTTCACTGCAATTGTAGGCAGAATCTTCATCGTGGATCGTTTTTTTACTTCAAGGACCTGTGTAATGGTTATTCCAGGCAAGTTTGGGGTGAGTTGAAGTTGCAATTAGTGTGTAACGGGGACAAAATTGAACATTTTCCAAAATTTTTTGCCTATACTACAAGTTACGAGAAAAACTAGCTCCAGCCCTAATAGACAACCCAATGATAAAACTCAGGGCTGGGTAACTCCAGCTACCTAGAACTATGATGCTCCGCGGAGCAGAGCAGTCATAGACAGCTTACCCCGCAAAATTGTTTGCTTCTACAAAACACCAACTAAGTACAAAAATGAAAACCAAGCCATTTCCCACAGAACCGCTGCACAATTTGCCCCTAAACTCCGTACTATACCTCTTGACGTACTCACGTAAATTGCACCCAACAAACGGTGGTGAATTCTGTCAGTTTTTAGGCCAAAATTATGAAAAATATGCCCTTTCTGCACTGAGCCAACCTGACACTTGAAACGTGCACGCACTTAATGATCGATCGATGATTTTGGGTTCACTCGGAGCGCGCCGCGGGGGGTTTGGTACTTGCACTTGTACGCATGCGCATACTATCATTTCGCCTGTACCGTACCCCCGCGGCGCACTCCAAGCGAACCGAAAATCATCGATCGATCATTCTGCGTGCACTTTTCAAGTGTCAGGTTGGCTCAGTGCCGAAAGGCATATTTTTCATCATTTTGGCCTAAAAACAGACAGAATCCACTGATGTTTGATGGGTGCAATTTACGTGAGTATGTCAAGAGGTATAGTACGGAGTTTAGGGACAAACTGTGCAGCGGTTCCGTGGGAAATGGCTTGGTTTTTATGGACGTTTTTGTACTAAGTTGGTGTTTTGTAGAAGAAAACAATTTTGCGGGGTAAGCTGTCTATGAGGCTCCGCTCCGCGGAGCATCATAGTTCTAGGAGTAGCCTGAAGTATGGTTGTATTCAATGATCTCTCCACTTTTTCGTTTCGGGTTGATTAGGTAGGCTAGTCTTACCTCCAATTTTTCCGAGAAATTTAGGCATCTTTCTGGATTCCATATGCACACGTACAATGTTTGCCGATTGCAGCCGTGTTGTATGTCAGAACCCAAGTCTGTGACGTAGTGTTATGGAAATCAATCTTGTCGCTCCGGCAGCACGAGTTGCGATGCAAAGCTGAGGTATCATGGAGTACAACCATACTTTCAAAGGGCAGTAAACTGTTCATTTTCCCAGGCGCAGGAAAGGTTGACCATTTCACTTTACTGTGGGAATCGGGATGTGTGTCGAAGGATACACAGGGGTGTGAAATCTCAGCTTTAAAGCTGATTTCAGCTTTTTTTTGTTTTGGATTTCAGCTTTTTTTCCCCTCACTTGTTGTGTACAAAAGTATAGGAGACTTCCAAAGTTCATCTTTTTTACACCGTTTTCAGCTGTTTTCAGCTACATTTGTATTTTTATCAGTGGTCACTCACACCCCTGGATACAGCAAAGCAACATCCGAGCCACACGAGTGGGGCTAGGCCCAACTTAGTTACAATAAAAAAGGCAGTGGCTATTCGGCCGGCGCCTGATCCCGTTTGAGACTGTTTTCCCACTTGATATTCACCATGGAAGATACTTTACTTATAGTACCTGGTTTAAGACCAGAAAAAAATCAATTTCCCTACCTTTAGACGTAAAGTCTTTAGGGACTAATGGTTATTCTGTGTAATATATTCTTCAGTCATTTCCAACATGCTTTCTCAAAAATTTTCCCTCACATTACAACATAAGTCTGGCTGTAGAGCAAACATGCCTTTGTTTATGACAAATATGGCAAGTGGTTAGAAATTGTCCGACGCTGATTTCACTGTTTGCCCAATGACTCTTTTTCAGGACTGAAAATGATAATTGATATCCTTTCCAGATCAGTTCCGTTGAAATGAGCACCCAGCCTGCCCCACTCGCCAGCAGTGGGACCCCCACCACCGGCCAGGCCGGCACCCCCGTCCCCCCGACGCCGTTGAACAGCACCGACCCTAAGCCCGGCAGTAAGAGCCCAGCCAAAGCTGGTAATCCTAAGGTCGTCGTCCAGCCGGTCAACCCTCCCATCAGTATTTCCCTGCCAGTTGAGCAACCCATGTTTACCATCACGCAGCACAAGCACACTGTAGAGGCGGGCAAGATCCCAACAACCATCTCCATAGCTGCTACTGTAAGTCCAGCAGTGAATTGCTTGTCTACAGCTAGTAACATACACAGACACGCATTCTTGTTCCGTAATTGTGGGGACTTACACTCGTTGCCACGAGGTATTTGTGGGGGCCGAAAAATGCTATGGGGACAGCAGAAAGTCCCCATAACTCTGTCCTAATTTGCCTAACAATAAAAAACTTCCGCATAACGCGGTGTATGCCTACCCACATTTGTTGATGGTGTAAATCGAGAATTTTCTGTTGTTCCTCTTCCCTTTTCCTTTGTTTGTACTTAAACTTTTTTGCAACAGCGCTCATTGGTTTTGTACACGTTTTCTAATCGAGGTCGTCCTCGATTTGGTTCCTGTCCTCGATTCACCGATGATGTTGCACGTGTGTGTCCTCGATTTACACCATAAACACACACACACTAGTGTTCATTTGCCTGCAATCAGGGACCCCCTATTGTCCCTCTTTTGTTTGAACTTTTTAGGAAGACCTCCCATATGTTTTGTACATAAATCCAAATTGGGACCTCTCGGGAATTGGGGACCCTATTGTCCTCTATTGTTCTCTATTGTTCAACATCCCCTATTGAATGCAGAAACAAACTCACACACACACAACTATGGGAAGGGGCTTCTTCAGGCGCATGTGTAATTGTAAGACACTGCCAAGTAATAGAGACATGGTCTGCATGTCGAACAGCAGGATTGCTGTTCAAATCCTGACCTTGTTTATAGTGATCAAATGATTAACAAGGCCACAAAAAATAATAGTTCTGCTTCCGGTTACCCTACCTACCCTATTTTGACAGCCCCTACCCTAATTTGTTTTAGGGAAAAATGAGGAAAAAATCCTGAAAACCTTCAATTACTACCTTTACCCTTGACTACACACAGACACCTCCATTGTGATCGTACCCAAAACAAAATTGCCCCCCCCCCCAAAAAAAATTCCCTACCTACCTACCCTATTTTCAAATGCTTTGTAATCAGAAGCAGAACTTTTTTTGGGGGGGGGGCCAAAAACATGTATTTGATATCACGACAGTCTCACAATGGATTGGAAAAGTTGGCCTGAATTCCTAGCATAAAAAAGATTTGCACAATAAGTGAGACAATTCCAAGTGTCTTGTGTACTTTTTTACCCAAGGTGTGTAAAATGCCATTTTATGTTTTACACAAACATGAATTTTAACCCTTACATTCCAAAATCCTGTTTGCAAAACAAAGGATTTTATAGGATTGAGGGTATTTGGCAAAAAGCTGCGGCTCATTTTGGAGGATGCACTGTTTCAAGGTCTTGGGCCAGACCTTGTGTTGTTCATGCTCAGCCATGCATAAAGTTCAGGCCTAGGTTCTACTCGAGATCCTCCGCACTGCTCCAGGATGTCACTGGCTCTGCCTCAACATATCGACAGTGACTGATGGAGGATTTTGCAGGATTGAGGCGGTGGTCACCCCTCCAAGGGCCATATTCAAGAAATAACAGGATTTGCAGGATTGAGGCTGTATGCAATATTTTACATGGAGGCAGTTGGAGAATTTTGCAGAATTGAGGTTGTATCTTAGCAAAAATGCCTAAGGAGTTAAGGTTAATGCAGTTTTTCAAGATAACCTTGGTGTCAGTTGATAAAGATTAATAGGTATTGGTACACTCTTTTTTCTTTATGCAGCCCACTGGCAAACCCTCTCAAACCGTTGCCCGGACAGTCGTCTCAAAGATGGTCGCAACCACCCACCAACAACCCACTACCTATATGGTACCCAGCTCCCAGGCCCCTCTGGGTACACACCCGGCACCCGGTACCCAGTCAACCCCCAGCACCTACCCGGTCCTCGGTACCCATATCATGCAAAGCGCCCCTGTGGCGGTACCCAGCACCCATCTGTTGGCTGCTGCGCTCCCGGTACCCAGCGCCCAGGCCCAGGTGCGCCTTTCCACAGCAGGGTCGCCCGTTGTCACCTCTGCCGGGGGTGACGCCCATAAGGTGAAGGTCAGCGCCACGCCCGTTCAAACGGTCACAACTGGTACCCAACCGGGTACAGTGGGCGGTCTCGCAGGCCACTCGATGCAGCAGTATGTCAGGGGGATATCCATGCACCCAAGCATGATCGCTGGTACCCATGTCGCAGCCGGACAAGTTCAGCAGCATGCGTTTCCGTCGCACTTACCAAGAGGTGAGTCCAGGGCAATACAAAAAAAAATTTGGTATTGAATTAATAATCAAACCTGTATCCAAAAAAGGGATTCATTAACCCTTACTCTCTGAGGGTAGTTTACTGCATGTCAGTTGGTTATGCCAATGCCCTCCAGCTGCAGTTTATTGGCAGATAGTTTGTCTTAACAGTGAAGGCTCCAATTGGCAGGAGTTGGAGGCCCTGGAGGGTGCCTGATACTGACCAGCTGGGGGCACTCACTTTGTTATCAGAGGACTCTCATTGTTCTCTGTGGCATGTATTGGAGTGCCTGTCCAGTTACCCTTGAAATGACATGGCAGATATTGGAGGGCCATGCAAAAAACATAGGAGATTTTCTTGAGGCACATATTGGCATGCGTTGGAGGGTCTAGTAGGGTAAGGGTTAATCAATCAAGACAATTATTGTTTTCCTACTGCAAACTTTTTCATTGATTACATTTTTTTAACGATTATAGAATCTTTCCGTTACCTTAAAGACTTAAAAAAAAAAATTCTATCACATCAGGAGCTGCTGCTGCAGCTGCCATGTCTGCTCCGAAAAGCGGCATGACGACAGCAATCTTGAGGACCACCACGCCAGTGTCACAGACGCAATTTCCCAACACCGCGACAACTGTGGCTGCCTCCGCGGTACAATCAACCAACATCACCGGACAGCAACTACAGGTATTAAAAACTTTTGACAGGTCGTTTCTTATTTATTTTTTTTTACTATTTTTTTTTTCTGCGAAAAAAATGACATGCAGTTACATTAACATCAAAGAAAAGAATTGAATTACTGTATGAAAAGTTTGAAATGTTACTACAGTGAAATCTCGATATGCCAAACCTCAAGGGAACAGGTTCAAAATTTGACTTAAGCAGAGTTTTGAGTTAAGCAGGGTTGTATATCATTGTTATACTACTGAAGGGAATGGATTCTTTGTTTGACTTAACAGTTGTTTTGAGTTATCAGAGTTTTGACTTATCAAGATTTCACTGTATTACAAATATTAGAATTGAGGATCTTAATATCAGACAACATACAGATGAAGTTGATCCACCTTCCTTATTTGCAGCGGCACCACCAACCGCCCCAGGTTCACCTCCCGGTCCAGCACCACCTACCAGGCCGCTTGCACTCCCCAGCAGGCCTGGCCGGGGTGGGTATGGCGCCCACGGCTCCACCAGGCATCACCAGGGCTAGCTCCCCTGGCGCTGCTGCAGCCAGCATGCCTGGGCATCATGCCAGCACCTCCGAAGCCCACAGGTAAGCCAGATTGATCAGGGTTCCTGACTATAAAAGGACTAAAGTAGACTCAAAAGAAGTTCTCAGATTACCCAATGTGCAAGCTTTCCTGCGAGACATCATAAATAAAATTTGGCCCAAGTAGCAGACCAAATAAGTGCCTAATTTATATTATGTGCGACGGATTGGCAATGAAACATTTCCAAATTTTAAATGTGGTTTCTAAATTTACCTCCTTTTTGTAAGGACCCTGCCCCATGCATCCATGCCCCAGCCCCACACCCAGACTGCGGGCCACCCCTTCCGCCCAGACATCAAGCAGCTCCCAAAGTCCGCCGACAAGCCAAAACCCGACGGTAAACCCGACCCCAACAAACCCATGGACCCGACCAAGCCCGAGGTCAAACTCGTGGACCCGCGGGCTGCATACAGCTGGGTGACCGTCACGCAACAGCAACAGCAAGGGGGAGGAGTCCAGAAAGTGGGAGGGGCCAAGCATGCTTATATCTCCTCCCAGGGGCTGGGCATGCAGCGGATGGCCCATCCTGCGCCCCAGGCCATCCCTGCCAGTAACATCAACAACCAGGCGTCAAGTAGTCTGGTAACTGCCACCACACTGTCGCATCATACAGTACCATCTCAAAGTAAGCAAATATGACATGGATCAATTTTTCTTTTTTTTCGATTATGAAATTAATTTGCTCAAATTCCTGATACTGCTAAGTACACTATCTGGTGTTGGGGCCGGCATCCTTTTCACGGAAGCAGTATTAAGCAAAGCAAAGAACAAGCCGTCGCGTCAGTGCAACAAGGTCGTATCTCCTAAAATGGCATGAACGATGCAAAACGCGAGTTTGAGAATGTCAAAAGGTCGTATCTCGCTTATTAGACCCGGATGTACACGCAAAGTGGCATGAACGACGCAAAACGCGAGTTTGAGAATGTCAAAAGGTCGTATCTCGCTTTAAATAACCCGGATGTACACGCAAAGTGGCATGAACGACGCAAAACGCGAGTTTGAGAATGTCAAAAGGTCGTATCTCGCTTTAAATAACCCGGATGTACGCGCAAAGTCAATGGACGTCGAGATACAACCTTGTTGCACGGAGCGTTTTCGCGCGAGATACGACTTTGTTGCAGAAAGGAGTTACGACCTTGTTGCACTGACGCGACGAAGCAAACTTCAGAAACAAGATTGACAAATCTTCCCTGCATGAGCGAATTTGGAGGATCTTTTAGAATTCAGGAAGGCCTCTTGCGAAAAATATTGTTGTAGCTAGGGTTACAGAGACCAATTTGTTTTCAACTCTTTCTTTGTGTGTGTGTGGTTGTATCACAGGTATAATTCACAGCAGTATTCGTACGTCGGCGATAACGGTGACAACGTTAAGCAATCAACCTCAGTCCAACACAACCACAATACCAGTTGGTAAGTAAAACTGGAATGACCATCTTGCATTCACAGTTATCCTTGAACCCTTACCCCCTGGAGTGATTTAATAGGAACCTTCCTCACTAAACTCTACACCCAAACCGTTGAACTCTGATTATGGTGCTTTATGCCTGATCCCATGTGAAGCATCATCAATTTACTAGTGCAGTACTCACTCCAACAGATTCCAACAAAACCTGGGGTTGGAGTTTGACTGGATGGGGGTTGCTAGGGTTAATACTCAATATTCTTTCTCCTTTCTTAAATCCCCAGTTACGGTGCCGTTTGTTAAACCGAAAACTTTCCAAATTGAAGTTGAACTTTTCATTTAGAATTAAAAATTGTAAATTAGACTGGAACTTTTCAGACAGAACTAGAACTTTCCATCAAGAACTAGAACTTTCCAAAGGTATCTGAAGTTTGCAAATGGAACTAGAATTTTCCAAACAGAACTGGAACTTTCCAAAAAAGAATTGGAATTTTCAAACTAGAACTGGAATTATCCAAAGGGAATAGAACTTTTTGAAAAAAAGAACCGGAACTTCCAAAAGAGAACTGGAATTTTCCTTAAAGAACTGGGTCTTTGAAATAGAACTGAATCTTCCAAAATAGAACTGGAACTTGTCAAGCATTGAGACCTTTTCTGATCTGTGTCCGTCCTATCATGTACCCACAGCCAAGGTCTACCCCCGTCAGATGGCCCATCCTCCTAGGCCCAGCACACCTTACTCTGAGGGCGGACCCTCCTACGTCTCTGCCCACAGCAGGAACTCCCCGAACACCTCGGCTGTCACAACGGTCACCGCACTGCCCCCTACGGTGACCATGAGTGACGGACGGGTTGAGAGACCTCCCCACCCTGGGGCCATGAGCCACGGGTATCCGGCCTCAATGCCTCCATACTTCTTCGACTCAATGAGTAAGTACCATCAGTAACTAAAAATAAAAATCATTCAAAAAAAAATTTGGAAAACTCATCTGTCACTGTTCAGAAGACAATTACAGTATCCTGAATTTCATATCCACTTCTTGTCAGAAAATTGGATGCAACTGTTACAGTTGTGCAATGAAAGTCAAACGTGGAAGATTATATTTGTGATATACATTGTTTTTTTTCGTTTAGACTATCGCCATCATATGATGCCCTCCTATGGTACAAACCACTCCTTTGCATCAATGTCAGCTGCTGGAGTCCGATCCACATTGGGTAGGTCACACCAAATCAATCACATGTCAACCACATGTCAATCACATGTCAACCACATGTCAATCACATGTCAGTCACATGTCAGTCACAAGTCAATGTTTATAAGATGGAAGTTGCATCGGGGTGATGTGTTGCATCACCCCGACGTAAATTCCACCTTATGAATAGTCTGGTTGCGGTACCAGCTTGTATATCAGGTTTGAACCAGCCATCCGACCCCAGTAAGCTTGTTGGTCGAGTGGTAAGACGTCTGCACTAGTAAGTAGAAGGTCGTGGGTTTGAGTCCCACCCAAGTGATTTTTTCTCACAATCACCCGTGACAACACTGAGTGTACAGGGTTTATAGAAAATTGAAGTCAGTGTTTGAATTAAGTTATGAATTCTGTTTAATACCTTCAAGAAAAGAAAATACCCATAATTCTCAATGTCAATATATTAATATTGATGTTCTCATTAACATAATCTGAATATTCATGATGATCTGAATAATTTTCTCCCTACCAGCAGATTCCCACATCAGGCATACGATGCACCCGACGACGCCCCAGAACAGTTCGGTCGCGGCGGCCGTTGTCGCGGCAGCACATGCTGCCACCGTGGGGGGTCCAGTCCGGCTGAACCCAGTCAGTATGATGATCGACTCGCGGCGACAGGTACCCGTGCACAACACCATGGGGATGGCACCGTCATTAGAAGGTGGGTTACCGGTGAAGGAATCGTGCAGTAATGTTTGTTGGACTAACCCTCACCTGCTTCGCACAAATCTAACGGCTGCAAAGTTTAAAGCAAGAGTCCAAATATCTCTTGTTTGTTGGTGATTGAAAACTCATCGGAGAGAATGTTGCATCCTGACGCCACTATTTTCATTATATATTATCTCAATTGAGGTCAGTCATTGCAAAAAATGTTGAAAAGACATGAATCTGGGACCGAGAAACATTTTTTCCAATTTTGTTAGTAAATACTTTGAAAATAATCTTGACTCTCTGTAGACATTGTGCACAACCACTGAAGTGGCGTCTTAGATACTGCATTCTTTCCAACTCATCAAATAGTTGATAAGCTTTTTTATGCCCAGCGGCGAAGCCGAAGGGGCATATTGTTTCCGCCTTGTCCTTCCGTGGGTGGGTGTGTGGGTGGGTGTGTGGGTGGGTGAGCTTGTCTTACATACGCAGTGTGGACTTCCGAACAAAAGACGTCCACATAATGTAGGTAGCACCGACGTTGTGTGGACTTGCCCCACGTCCACACAGTGTTTCCCCATTTCTGGAAAACAGGTTTAGAGGCATTTTTGGGTTAGGTTTATCTGTAGCAGAATGAAGAGAAACACTAAAGGGAATCATAGAAAAAAAATTGGGTTGAAAGAGTTTTCACAGTTTGAGAAAAATGAGTTTTTTCACTGGTTTTTCTTAACTACACGAAAGCAATGGAAAGTCCACACTAGTCATGTGAAACAAGTATGGGTGGGTGGGTGTGTGTGTGTGTGTCCGGACAAATCTTGTCAGCGCGATAACTTGAGAAATACTTAACATATAAACTTCAAATTTGGTTTGTGGATTGTTCTTGGTAATCCTAAGAAGCCTTTTGCATTTGGGGCCAAAAGGCCAAAGGTCAAGTTCACAGTGGCTAAAACAATAGAAATCTTGTCAGCGCGATAACTTGAGAAATACTTAACATATGAACTTCAAATTTGGTTTGTGGATTGTTCTTGGTAATCCTAAGAAGCCTTTTGCATTTGGGGCCAAAAGGTCAAAGGTCAAGTTCACAGTGGCTAAAACAATAGAAATCTTGTCAGCGCGATAACTTGAGAAATAATTAACATATGAACTTCAAATTTGGTTTGTGGATTTTTCTTGGTAATCCTAAGAAGCCTTTTGCATTTGGGGCCAAAAGGCCAAAGGTCAAGTTCACAGTGGCTAAAACAATAGAAATCTTGTCAGCGCGATAACTTGAGAAATACTTTACATGTGAACTTCAAATTTGGTTTGTGGATTGTTTTTGGCAATCCTAAGAAGCCTTTTGCATTTGGGGCCAAAAGGCCTAAGGTCAAGTTCACAGTGGCTAAAACAATAGAAATCTTGTCAGCGCGATAACTTGAGAAATACTTTACATGTGAACTTCAAATTTGGTTTGTGGATTGTTCTTGGCAATCCTAAGAAGCCTTTTTCATTTGGGGCCAAAAGGTCAAGGGTCAAGTTCACAGTGGCTAAAACAATAGAAATCTTGTCAGCGCGATAACTTGAGAAATACTTAACATATGAACTTCAAATTTGGTTTGTGGATTGTTCTTGGTAATCCTAAGAAGCCTATTGAATTTGGGGCCAAAAGGTCGAGGGTCAAGTTCACAGTGGCTAAAACAATAGAAATCATGTATTTATTCTGAGATTATAGGGATTAGGGATTAATTCATATAAAACCTACAGAAGACACTAATGCTGTCAATGAATGTTCCATGTGACCAAGGTACATGTAAGTTAATGTTAAAAGAGTGGTGTTATGTCATGGGAACTGTCACCGTTGCGGGGCATTTGTGTTTGTAAACACACCTGACTTGTTTAATTTTGTTTCTTGTAGGAGGTGGGGTCAATACAAGTACATCTGTGTCAATTGGTTCGACGCAGTCATCGAGTAACTCGCCAAATCCAAACGCTTCGCCGAGGCCCAGCATCCTCAAGAGGAGAATAAACAATGATAGGTGAGCCACACACCCACAGGCAACCCCTACCACACCCCAATACCTGCCGCCTGTCTCCCCCCCCCCCCCCCCAAAAAAAGTGCCAATTGAACTCTCGTATACACCCCTTGTAATGCCCTAACAAAGTGAGAATTATGCTCTTTGCCAAAGTGGAGGAATTTGGAGGATTGAGGTTATATGGCAAAAGTGCATTACTGATTTTGTAGGAGGCACTTTGTCAAGGTCTTGGGCCCGACATTGTGTTGTTTTTGCTCAGCCATGCATAAAGATAGGCCTGGATTATGCTTGAAATCCTCCGCACTGCTCCAGGATGTCACTGGCCAAGCCTCAACATATTGACAGTCACTGCCGCAGGATTTTGCAGGATTCAGGCAGTGGTCACCCCTCCACGGACCATATTCAAGAAATACTGGAGGAATTTGCAGGATTGAGGCTATATACAATGTATGCTACTTTTTCATGAGGCCAATTGGAGGATTTTGCAGGATTGAGGCTACATCCTAGCAAAAAGGCCTAGGGAGTTAGGGTTAAGGAATAATTCTTGACACTGTCTCCCTGACGTTTGTGCAAGAAACTTTCTTCTGTCGACGTCTTATGAAATAACAGCTACTTTAGAAAATGCTGACATTAGCCGTAGCTCTGGAAGCCTGTTTCCGACAGCCAAAATGGAGTTTATGAAATGAATGAGATTTCAAATTTCTAATCTCCTGGCTATCACGGTCTGATTTTTAATTTTTTTTCCACTCAGTAATGTGATCAGGAAGTTGATACCAACCACGCAGTCCAACAGCCAGCCCAGCAGTCCCAAGACGGAGCTAGCCCGGTCCACCTCAAGCTCACCAAAACACAGGTACAACAACAAAAAAACACTCTCCTTCCTTAAATGGAATGTACAACATTTGCTTTTTCTGCAAGTTTCAAAATTAATGGATTTGGAGGATCAGTAACATAGCAAATATTGTTAAAATGACTTCTTTCACGTTTTTGGCTTGTAGATGCTGGAAAAACTAAGAAAACCAATCATGTTCTTATAGTCTGGTTCCCTGACCCAAACGGAGCAATTTATAGACTTTGGGGAATTATAAGGTCAGAGAATCAGTCTAGCAGGCTTGTACCCCTTCACAGGTGTGTAATCAATTGCAAAAAAAAAACGGAATCACTAATTATAAAAAATTAAGAACACTTTTTGAAAAAAGTCAGTTTTTCTCCAACGCTGGTCAGCTGACCAGCGTTGGAAAAATACAGTTTTTCTTGAAAATGTCAGCACACCAGGAGCCATGATTTTAAAGGATGCTTTAGACTGTCATTCCCTAACAATTCAGTAAGGTATTTTGTGATAATTTGATCATTTCGTTTTGTGATGTTTACAAATGTATCTTCCCTTTAAGAGTATTATTGGAAAGAGTTCCATACCTGGACATCACTTGACACCCTGTGCACAAACCCAGTGAGACTGGTCTGAAAAAAAGTGTTTTTTCAGTAAATGCTTCAGTATTTTCCCTGCTAAATATGACTTTTAGGACATCGCTTTCTGATGGCTGATAGGTCACTGCAGGGAAAAATGAGTGATGTCCATGTATGGAATTCTTCACGTGTTATTTATCTTAACCTGTTTCAGACTGGCATTTCAGTCATATCAACCCCAAAAATGTGACAATCAACCCAGGTCAACACAAATAAATGTTGGTTTCAGACATTCAAACGGTTTGTACTAATGTCGAATTACTAGATTTAGGGGTCTTTCTATATGACTGCCACAGTCAATCTTTTGGAGAAGTCGTTTCTGTTTCTGTAACTCGCTTCAAATCTTATAGAATAATTCAGTTCAGCAAGACTCCAGAATGCCTGTCAGAAAATAGCGTAAAATCAAGAAATTGGAGTCTGAAGCAATAGTGAAGACAAAACCAAGGTTTTTTTTGTTTAGCCGTTGTAGTCTTTATTAGTTTCTGTTGCAGGGGTGTAAAATCTCAGCTTTAAAGCTGACTTCAGCTTTTTTTGTTTTGGATTTCATCTTTTTTTCCCTCACTTGCTGTGTACAAAAGTATAGGAGATTTCCAAAGTTCAGCTTTTTACACCTTTTCAGCTGTTTTCAGCTATTTATATCAGTGGTCACTCACACCCCTGCTGTTGTCACATAATCCTTGTTTCATTTTTTGTATTTCAGTGATTCGTTAGCCAGCAGCCAACACTCCCTGGACAGCAATGCCTCAGAGGCTAGCCTGGACGCGCTGCCGTCTGCCATCAAAATCAAGCAGGAGCTTGAGACCATCCACTCGGAGTCAGGCACCCAGGCTAGCATCCCTCGTGACCTGAGTCTGACCAACTCCGTCGGGGAGTGTAGCCCCTCGCCGAGAAAGAAACCTCGCAAGCAGCAACACAAGTAAACTTTCTTTCGTCTTCAAAAAACGTTTTTCAAATGAGGTCTGTCCATGCTTAAAAGCACCATTGCACCACTGAGTTCATGGTGCTTGTGTTCTTGGGCAAGACACTTTACTACAATTGCTTCTCTCCTCCATGGAGTATTAATTGATACCATTGAGGCCATGATACACATGCAGCAGTATGGGCAACAGAGTCACAGTGTTATGGTTTTCAATAAATGTGATGTTCTTGAGCAAGATACTTTACTACAATTGCCTTCCCTTCTCCATATGTAGTTTAAATCGTTGCGTCAGTGCAACAAGGTCGTAACTCCATTCTGCAACAAAGTCGTATCTCGCGCAAATACGCTCCGTGCAACAAGGTCGTATCTCAACGTCCATTGACTTTGCGTGTACATCCGGGTTATTTTAAGCGAGATACGTCCTTTTGTCATTTTAAAACTCGCGTTTTGTGTTCATGCCATTTTAGGAGATATGACCTTGTTGCACTGACGCGACGAAATTGGTTCTTGTGAGGCCATGATACACGCGAAGCAGTGTACACAACAAAGCCGCACTTCGTGATTTAATTTTTTTTCTTCCCTTTTTTTGCAATGATGCAGGGTTGCCACGGAGCATCACGATATCCTCGACGACCAGTCCACTGACGAGGAGACAGAAACCAAACACAAACACTTCCGAGTCAAGAAGGAGAAGAAAGAGAAGAAACCAACAGGTCAGTAGCCAAAAAAAAATAGAAGAAAACAAAAAAAAGTGCCCGTTTTGTTGACATTCAGCAAGCTTTACTGTATTTTTGTGTCCTTTTTTTTTTATTTGTAGTTTCGGATGTTGACCACATTAACGTCGTGCACTACTTCCGAAGGCCGTGCATCCGGCTGATCGACACCTATCGCCAATCCTGGAAACCAACTCACAACCACTTTGAGAGGTACTCGGATGTCCGGCCAAAAGGTGAGTCTCGTCACAAGAAAATGCTGGATTCGAACCTGCCACCAACAGAATACTGCTACAGTGCTCTACCAAGTGAGCTATGCCGACCTATCAATTTGTATGTTCGTTGAAAGCCATTCAGAAGTACCCTGACGTGCTTTGTAGCTGAGGGTCGAGCCACCAAAAAAAAATAATTGCAGGTGGATCAGAACCTGGAACCTCTTAAATAACGCACTGCTGGTCTCATTTTTCTGGAATGTGCTCACTTTGTATTATTATTCATAGTTTGCTTTATGAATTGATAGCAATAAATGAGTTGCTTTTCCTTCACAGAGGAGAAGAAGACCACAATTCACGAGATTGCCAATCAGCGAGGAATCGTCAAGAAGACGGACGGATGGAAGGTCAGGCACATCACCTATCAGTTTGAGGACCTGGTGAGTTCAACCAAAGCAGCGTAATCGGTCATTTTTAGATAGGTTTTGCCCTTCATAGACTTTACTTGTGTGCTGTATTACTCCCTGCCATCTGAGCGTTTGAAAAAAGCTTGCAATCTTGGGTGGGACTTGAACCCAGGACTTGTTGCTTAAAACCCTCGGAGAAGCCACGTGGTGATAAAATTCTCCACATTTTCCAAATAAGGTCATAACTTTTTTTTTCAATGGGCCAATAAGGCCAAGATTCCATGTAATCCTCACCCCTGGTATACACCACAAGCCTGTAGACTCCCATTGGCCAGACCCTAACCACTGCAGAGTAAGGAGTGTTGAAAGACAGCAGCCCCAAGAGGCACCTGATGCCTTTGTGCAGTAATTGGATAACTTAGTGGCCAACCCCTTTGTGCTGCTGATCTCTCTGTGTCAACCCCTCGATCTCTCTGTGTCAACCGCTCGTGCCGCCCAGAGCTCAGACAGGTCGTAAACAATCCTGGCCCATACAAAGGCCATGTGACCTGCCTATATCTTGTGCATGAGGGGGTTATTGACCAAGACACTTCAGTGTGGTGATAAAATACTCCATGTGGTTTCACGGTGTGATTTTTTGGGTCACTCTGCTCCGAGGGTTAATAATGCGTGTCTGAAATGCTCAATTGATATAACATGCGATGCTTTCCTTTTTTTTTGGTCTGAATAAAAACAGATATGCTCTGCCAAATTTTGTATTGTAATTGGATTCTAAGTGACAAAACTCACACTCAGAATTTAGTATTTTCACATTCTCGTGTGGTATTGTGAAAGAGAATTGTTTATATCCTACTCTAGTGAAAAGTTACGTTCAAGAAAAGTTTGATATTTTTTTTTTTCTCTTTCAGAGTGGGTTGGAATTAGACGTCTTCAATGAAATGAAAGAGATCAAGGAAGGCATGGCCCCCTGGCAGACCCCTGGGAAGGAGAGCGACACATCCAAGATCTATGAACTCATACAGGTGAGCAACCTCCATCCCAGCAGGAAGATTTGTGCTAGCCCATCACAAGCCCTGCCAACCACAAACCCCACCCACCACAAGCCCCGCCCACCACAAAGTACACCAACCACAAGCCACGCCCATCACAAGTCCTGCCCACCACAAGCCCTGCCCACCACAAAGTACACCAACCACAAGCCCCGCCCACCACAAACTACACCAACCACAAGCCACGCCCATCACGAGTCCTGCCCACCACAAGCCCCGCCCACTACAAACCACAAGTCCTGCCCACCCTCCACAAGTGCCGCCCACTGCAATCCTTGCCCATCACTAGCCCTAGCCACCAAAGCTCTCCCCACCACAAGCCCCGCCCACCACAAGCCCCGCCCACCACAAGCCCCTCCCACTTTTCTCGCACTGCTTGTAACGAAGTTGGATGAAGCTACCGCAGGTTCAGAAAAAAAGGTCTAACTGGTCATTATGCATGATTTGATAGTCAGGAAGGGTCCCTTGCATCTCTTCTCAAAACGTAAGATGTAACTGTCTTAAATTCATCCTCCAGAGGTATTTTTTTTTTGGTTTTTCTTTTCAGGGCAACATCCAGAGATCGCAGTACGTGATGGAGCACTTGGAGGAAGCCAAGAACACGATGCTGAAACTCCTGGAGCATAAACCCAAGGTGATGTCCATCATCAAGAACCATGCCAACAAGAGGCACGCCAAGAAGAAACACAGCCCTTGAATAAGATCTATGAAGAACCATGCTCCGAAACACTGCTTCATGAAGAAACACAGCAACATAACACGGCCGGTCATGTAACCAAGATCAGCCCACTAAATCTTGGTCAGATGAAAAGATTTTGGTGAATGTGGTTCAACTCCTCATATGTTGATCGAGTCGGAAGAATTGTGTGTTTAGTGCGGTTTTGAAGTTTCTCTCTGTATTCAGATGGTTTTAGATGAACTGGAGACATCATTTGAACAATGAGCATTTCTGTCTTTACTGCATAGTAAAAATGTAGTTCATTTTCTTCCACTGCACCAAGTAGAAACGTCTGATTGATTCTGCATACATATTTTATTGGTTTACTGCAAAAAGGGTCCTTCACGCCGACAAAAAAATCTGGGAAATTTCACATGATGAACATGAGAAAGATATTGTTGACATCGACTTCCAAAATATTTAAATTTACTTAAAAGACAAATCCTGGCAGAATAATATGCAGCCAGTTATCGTCCACCTAATTTGGTTTTTAGGTCATTTATTTCGAGAAGGACCTTTTAAGAAATGTACCAGTATTTTTGTGTTTTTCTGGTCGACATTCACATTGCAGTTTTGTTTCGGCATTGGGATTTTCATGTTTTATTTTTACCATAGCGTAAGTTATGGACCAGAATAATATATATATACTGTAAATATATAAATGTACATTTTCATTTTTGTGTTTTTTGAAGTGGAACGAAAACTCAGGAGTTTGAGAAGGTCGAGTCCCTTGGTCCTACGATTTGCAAATTTGGAGGAAAAAAATATTATTTTATAACATCATTTGGACACGAACCTAACTTTGGAGCAAAACATTATTTTTTGTACCTTTAACCGACAAAAAAATAAATGAAATGAGAAGTGTTCCGTTTGAATTCCCCAACCAAGAAACTTTCCGACTGAAATAACGGGGGAAAAATAATATATAAAAATTTGACCTCCTGAAAATCTGAAACAAAAGTATTTCTTCAAATTTAGAACAATTTACTTTCAGTTCATTTGTGCCAATTTTTTTCCCCCGAGTTCAACAGAGATATTTTAAAATCAGTTATAACTACCACTGGCATTTTAAAGATTAAAAAGAAAATGTCTACAGCATTGTACACTGTTCGTAGGAATCAAATGTGAACAAAATTGAAATAATCTACCTTTTTGAAATTCAAGTGATGAGAGTTGAAAGGGTAAATTTGTCTTAAAAGAAATGTGAAATATCCCTTCGATATCTTTTTTTTTAGAATTGGTCAGTGATATTCAGCTAATTTTTTTCCCCTTATTTTCAAATTTCAGATCAAGATATAATTTTTGATATATTTTCCAGTACATGTTACTCCACAAGAGTATCATAAAGGCTGACACAGTGGACTCTGATTTCTTTTTTATTATTGAAAATTCTATTTGAACGAAGCTTGATATTCCAGAAAATTGGCATTGATCGTCCTTATCAAGTCAGGTGTATTTTGTATACAAATCTTGAGTTAGGACCCACAAACAGGTGTTGTATATTATACAGGACAAAGATAATGTGCATGTGTCTATTATGTGAGAACTGTAATTTTAATACTGATACGAAATAAATATGTGTACAGTGCTTTATATGATGTATTTTGTTGATTTTATTTCTCTTTTTTTGTTAGGAAATTGCTGGCCATAATTCAAACACATTTTGAAGGTTTGACAGATTTGTTGATTCTCCACAATACTATACGCAACACGAGCATCAATCAATATTCAAACAACCAAAATACTGATGGTTTTGGAATAGCACATCTGTCCAGCAGTCCAGTCGCAATGTGTTCTAGGGTTTCTTTAGGCATCTTCCCTTCAACTTTCAAGCAATTTCATTTTTTGGCCAAAATTGAAAAGAAAAAAAAGTAAGGGGTTAGCCTTACATTTTTCATCAAATTTGGCCAAAAATTCACTTTTCTCCAAACACCTCAGAAATACCACCAGATGCAAGAGGAGCATCAATCAGTATTCAAACAACCAAAATATTGAAGATTTTGGCCAAATTCATCAATTTTTGTAGAAAGAATAAAATCACATTTTTGGCTGGTTTTAGCCCAAATTTGTGCCAATTTTTGTTTGGAATAGCACATCTGTTCAGAAATCCAGTTGGATTGTGTTCTAGGGTTCTTTAGGCATCTTTCCAGCAAGTTTCAAGCAATTTCATATTTTGGCCAAAATTGAAAAAAATTACAAGGGGTTAGCCTTACATTTTTCATCAAATTTGGCCAATAATTGACTTTTCTCCAAACACCTCAGAAATTCAACTGGATGCAAGAGGAGCATCAATCAGTATTCAAACACTCAAAATATTGAAGATTTGGGCCAAATTCAGCAATTTTTGTAGAGAAAAAAAATCACATTTTTGACTGATTTTAGCAAAATTATTTGCCGATTTTTGTTTGGAATAGCACATCTGTTCAGAAATGCAGTTGGAATGTGTTCAAGGTTTCTTTAGGCATCTTTCCAGCAAGTTTCAAGCAATTTCATTTTTTGGCCAAAATTGAAAAAAAATACAAGGGGTTAGCCTTACATTTTTTATCAAATTTTGCCAAAAATTGACTTTTTTCCAAACACCTCAGAAATTCCACCAGATGCAAGAAGAGCATCAATCAGTATTCAAACGCCCAAAGTATTGAAGATTTGGGCCATATTCAGCAATTTTTGTAGAGAAAAAAAATCACATTTTTGACTGATTTTAGCAAAAAAAATTGCGGATTTTTGTTTGGAAAGCACATTTGTTCAGAAATGCAGTTGGAATGTGTTCTAGGGTTCTTTAGGCATCTTTCCAGCAAGTATCAAGCAATTTCATTTTTTGGCCAAAATTGAAAAAAACTACAAGGGGTTAGCCTTAATACCTTTGTCATCAAATTTGGCCAAAAATTGACTTTTCTCCAAACACCTCAGAGATTCCACCAGACGCAAGAAGAGCATCAATTAGTATTCAAACACTCAAAATATTGAAGATTTGGGCCAAATTCATCAATCACATTTTTGACTGATTTTAGCCCAAATTTTAGCCGATTTTTGTTTGGAATAGCACATCTGTTCAAACATTTAGTTGGAAGGGTTTTTAGGCATCTTTCCAGCAAGTTTTAAGCAATTTCATTTTTTGGCCAAAATTGAAAAAATGCCGTACATTTTTCATCAAATTTGGCCAAAAAATTCCACCAGACGCAAGAAGAGCATCAATCAGTATTCAAACACCCAAAATATTGAGGATTTGGGCCAAATTCATCAATTTTTGTAGAAAAACAAATCACATTTTTGACTGATTTTAGCCCAACTTTGTGCCGATTTTTGTTTGGAATAGCACATCTGTTCAGAAATCCAGTTTGAATGTGTTCTAGGGTCTTTCAGGCATCTTTCCAGCAAGTTTCAAGCAATTTCATTTTTTGGCCAAAATTGAAAAAATTACAAGGGAGTTAGCCTTACATTTTTCTTCAAATTTGGCCAAAAATTGACTTTTCTCCAAACACCTCAGAAATACCACCAGATGCAAGAGGAGCATCAATCAGTATTCAAACACCAAAATATTGAAGATTTGGGCCAAATTCATCAATTTTTGTAGAAAGAATATAATCACATTTTTGGCTGATTTTAGCCCAAATGTTTGCCGATTTTTGTTTAGAATAGCATATCTGTTCAAAAATCTAAGTGAAATGTGTTCTATGGTGCTTTAGGCATCTTTCCAGCAAGTTTCAAGCAATTTCATTTTTTGGCCAAAATTGAAAAAAATGCAAGGGGTTAGCCTTACATTTTTCATCAAATTTGGCCAAAAATCCACTTATCTCCAAACACCTCAGAAATACCACCGGATGCAAGAGGAGCATCAATCAGTATTCAAACACCCAAAGTATTGAAGATTTGGGCCAAATGAATCAATTTTTGTAGAGAAAAAAAAATCACATTTTTGACTGATTTTAGCCCAAATTTTTGCCGGTTTTTGTTTGGAATAGCACATCTGTTCAGAAATCCAGTTGGAATGTGTTCTAGGGTTCTTTAGGCATCTTTCCAGCAAGTTTCAAGCAATTTCATTTTTTGGCCAAAATTGAAAAAAATGCAAGGGGTTAGCCTTACATTTTTCATCAAATTTGGCCAAAAATTGACTTTTCTCCAAACACCTCAGAAATTCCACAGGATGCAAGAAGAGCATCAATCAGTATTCAAACACCCAAAATATTGAAGTTTTGGCCCAATTCATCAATCGTTAAGAGAAAAATTAACATTTTCGACCACCTTACCCCCCCCCTTTGGTTTTACGCAATTTTCCTTTTAAATAGCACATCTTTCCAGAAGTGTACAAAACAAACAATAAAACTGTGAACAATGGAAACTGATTCCACCAACAACAAATATATTTTTATTTAATGGACACATATCCACAACATTAAACATATATTAATATAAATGTAGCTGTCAAGCACAATGTTCCGAAGTATCCTACACACAAAGGTGTCTTCACAAATATTACATCTTGTGGGGCAAGCCAGCAAAGAAAATTATGTTACTCTCCAATTTACTAAAATGTTGACATTTTACACAGGCATTAGTTTTTGTCCTTCATCCGTATGTCAAGGTTACTCATTCCACAAAATAAATCTGCAATAAATATAACTCCACATGTTGTTTCCAAACTGGACAAATTTGAAATGTACAGCTCAGAAACCTGCATTGGCAAGGTTTAAGAAGTCGTATCTTTCTTTTTACGTCAGAAGCAGATGGCACCTAAAACAGAAACTCTGTGTCCCCTTGGCAACAGTTTGACAAATCGATGCACAAAACAGCACAAATTGTAGCTGAGCAGTATTTCATGCTGGGCAGCAGGCACTGCCAAAGCCACGGACTCACACAAGGACTTTGCCATCGAATTCCAGAGCCAAACGCCCTGCCCTAATTTTCAAAAACGCGAGGCTTCAAACACGCAATGGAGCCAAAATTGAGACCTAAGTTTCAAAAATTGCCTACAGCGCTTTTAAAATGGCAGCCCCCTGTCTTCAACATTTGCATGTGATTTGCCAAAATGCCATCAGCTACCCTCATGAAGTTCCCTAGCTGAAAGGACACATTTCGATCTAAATGTATAGTCTCAAATACTCAGAAGCTGCCTTAGTACAAGAAAGCTTACGTCACAAGACAGTCCAATATACACTGTTTTTTTTATCACTGTACAATATACATTATTCAAGTGTTTCAATCTAAATACCCATAGCCGTAGGAGTACATTATTATTTCTCCTTTGTGCAAGAAATAGTGAATTCAAAATAGATAATTTGATACAATTATTGTACCTTTTTATTCTATTTAATGACACATCTAGGCATAGGGAAAGGTTCATTTCAATGTTGCAGACTCCTAAAATGGCAGTCAGTATTTATTTACTGTGTAAACGCTTACAATTTCTACTGCAAAATACAAGTGCCAAAATGAAGAACTTAAAACAAACATTTCTTAAAAAATGAACATTGGTGCTACAATAACCCCAAATGTAAAAACAGATATATTTCACCAATCAAGATTGTGCTTACTGTACGTTTCAGAGGAGGTTGTAGAAAGTGTCAAGGTTTTGATAAATTGAAGCAAGGTGAACATGGGCAAAAGCTTACCTTCATAAAAACAAACAAAATTCTTCAATTTACTGAGATGAGGTTAGTTGTGGTTTTTGGTGGTTTTTTTTGGGGGGGGGTGGGGGTGGGGGAAGAGGTGCATCATTTAAAAGTCCGCAGAGACCATTATGTACTTTCTTAAAGCTGTTTCCAATTCCAGTATTTTCAGAACAAACACAGAAAATATATTTCAGCCTTTTTACCCCTTTTTTTGGGACGGTACCCAATTTTAAAAAAGGGTGCACACAAAAACAAAGCTTTGAAATTATTGACTTATTGAAATTATTATGATCGATGAAATTATGGCCAAAAATGTCTTAAAATTATAAGGTAACTATTTCTCATTACTTAGACTGACATCTGCAAGGTGCAACACTGACAAAATTGAAGGCATTCAATTCTATGCCTCTTCAAAAAAAATAATACTAAATATTTGAAATTTCAAACAAAGCTTTTCTTCTTCTTATTTTTTCAACAACCTGTGTTGATAGCTGTTACATGAACCAGCCTTATAATCACCAGGCACCAATCTACACAAATATTTCTTACCTAATAAAATACTCATCACACATCGTGAATATTTATTATTAACAAGGCAATAAGTTTTTTCTTTTTTTCTTTTTGCATTTACGCTTACGGTCTGGGCACTGCTACATGAATGATATGCTTTTATAGATCCATGTATGTACATGTTCTTATTTTTATTTTGTTAAACCCTGCTTACACAATGCGCTTAATGTACATTTTTCATATTATTTTAAAAAGCTATGTATTATAGATGTAGACTGATGTACACGAATATTAAATTTTCTATTATTATTTTTTTTTACTGTGGCAGTCTTGGATGGGGCTTACATTGTTTGACGTTAATAATCAATCTAAGACCATCAGCAAAGACTCATTTTTTTTAAATCAAATTTTGTACTAAGCATAAATAGGGCAGCCTGTGTTGCTCTTCCAGTGTAAGGTTACTTACATACATGTACTGCTTCAATAACTACTTACGCCCCATTTCTCAAAAAAATGCTAAGCGCAATTCCAGCAACTCTTATCCGCTTACAGAAATCCTTTTACTGTAATTCCATTGGTGCATCAGTTTTATAAAAAGCACTGCATCATTTGAATCACAATTACACAGCACATGGCATTTTGTGTCTGGCAGTTAAGCTCAAATTAATCCCGATTTCTCCCAAAATGCTTAGCAGAAGCTCAGCAAGCAGTGTCTCTTTTCCGCTTCTTGAAATAGCAGTGATTACAAAACAAATGGCAAAACAACATCTTCCGTTTATACATGGTCTTACTCGTTTCAAATCGCAACAAGTAGACTCCTCTTCATCAAATGGCAAGTTTATGATTTTCTGTATCTCTGAATACCACTCGCAACCTTCAACAAGTATTACGAGTTACTACGTTGTTATGGTAACCCCCATACGCAGCACCTATTACGTGTCACATGACCTAAGACAATGAAAGCAAACTGGAGATAAGCCGCAACTTCAGTTTCAGCTAAGCTGGATTGTGAGCAAATGTGCTTCTTGAATAATTGCGCATACCAAACTCAGAATGTAAGCCCACAACCCTATTTCACAAAAATCTAAATTATTCTTCTTTTACATAATCAACCTGTCTTCATCTCTGACCCTTTAACTCATTCCTCAAACGTTTACCAGAACACTTTTCAAAATCAAGAACACCTGCCCACATAAGCTGCCAAAATATTAGATTAATTCCCATGACATTTGACCTCAGGTCAATGAGGTCATTCTAAACCTACTGTGATTGGTCCACGTCTTACCTTTTCTGTCTCTGCAACTTTCATCGATATACAAAACGATACCTTATAATCTGCTTTAAAATCTACAAACTACGGAACCATGGTTCGTTTAAGTAAAAAATAAAAAAAAATTTAAAAGGAGAAAAGAAAAAAAAAGATCCGTGCAGACAAATTCCGACCAGCACATCTCTTTCAGTGCGACATTTCAGTGCAAGTTAGACAAATATATGGATATAGTACATACATGAATATTTTATTGTTTATTTTTTTTTTATTATCTCTGTATGTTTTGTTAATGTTCTAAATCTAGACGACTTATTTATACATTTATTTTACACGAAAACAAAATATACCGGTATAATGCCCCCTAGCTGGGTTGACCACTTAAAGCACCTCTCCAATTTATGCCAAGCTAGGCAGTCTTTCCAAAACAAACGAACCAAAGTGGTGGGCAGTAGTCCAAAACTTGAAAGACCAAGGTTTTGCCATGTCTGTCACACTGACTTGAACACTTACCCAAATATATCGTGTAATTGCAAATCTGAACAATATATTTGGAACTGCCGAATCTATCTGTTTCTGAGTTTTCATTGGTCAGTGTCAACAGAATCTCCATGGCAACCATGTCAAAGTAATACTGCATAATGCCACCTGACTGGAAAGAAAAAATTGGTTTTTTTCTGAATGCTGATAAAATAATGGAAAAAAACCCCAAAATGGCAAGGACAGAAAATATTGAGGAATATTTTTTTTATGATTTCTGAAACCTTACTGTTCGATCACTCAAAGAACCTTGTAAAATAATGTACATGTAGGTTGAAACTGAGCAACACAACCATTCTCCAGAAATTTTGATTTTATACAAGGAGCACAACTTCAGAGTTGTAGGAGAAAAAAAACCAGAAAATAAAAAAATTCATTGTCTTCGAATATTCCATACTTTCAAGGTAGCTTGTGTTGGTCATAAAATGAAGGTAATTTATATTGAACAATAAATTTCCATTCTACAACATCAATTTTTTCAAAACTCTCGCATGGCATATATTTCTTTCTTCTTGCCAATTCTTAAAAAGGTTTACTCTCTGCAAACTTGTCAAGCCCAGCTTCTCTTGGCTAAAACAACAACAAAAATTGAGTGCTATGTGTTACCATGACGATAAATTGTCAACCAATCAGGCCTCGGTGCCTTCGCCCTCCGCTCCCTGCAGACGAAGCCGGGCAAAGTCCTCAAAGATGAGGTCGTCATCGTTGGGCGTGGCTGGTTCCACTCCGCTAAAGGGGGGGGGGGGGGAGAAACATGGTATTAAAGAAGATGAAACGAAATGTTTGCAATCCTCAATTTGTCATAGTCGATTCACTGTTACAGTTAAATTGGTCTGTGTGAAACAGTGACATGAAGCTTGGATTTATAATAAGGTTCTTTCACTTTGCAAACATTCAGACCTGTTCTATCAAAACGAGGAATACAGTCACTATCATAAACCTAGCAATTGAACTTCGAAGCATAAATCCTTGAATTACCTCATTTTGTTTCTCATACAAGTATAGTTACTGAATGAATATCTTGAAAGTGACTTTTGTTTTCAATTTTACAACCACTGAAAGTCACCTTCCGATATTCCATTATGAGATGCTTCAAATCGAAATTTGTGAGAGAATTTCATTTTTGTTCTTCTTCAAGATTCATTTCAGCAATGCAAGGACTTGCCATTGTGCATTTAACAACAGTGCTAATGAACATACGTGTAGTGTGGGTGAGTACTTAATATGCATTTATGCAAATCCACATTCATCATGCAAGGTCATGCAAATGTGCATCTGGATAGATTGTGTTAAATATTAGCTACTTTCGGTCTATGGCTAGGGATTATCACAGCACAAATGAATGGCAATCATACGAGCCATAGACACAAAAGAAGCCCACATCTGGCTCAGACCTCATGCTCACAGCAGTCTGGTGCCTATAAGCAGGGTGACCTACTCTATAGCAAACCTCAGCATGCACTCAGGGAACGTGACAACAATGGTGGAAATGTGAAAAAAAATCAGGGTGGTGGTGGAATTATTATTTTCTAGCAAATGTCAGGCAAATTGAAGGTTTAAAACATGATTTTTTTCACACTTTTATCAAGTGATGACTTTAAAAAATAAAAGTGTCACTGCTTCCAATTTTTTTTAAGACTGACTTTGTGAAAATGTTGCCATGCACATTTTGAACATCTGCTTCCACCATTTATTATACAAAAAATATGTACAGAAAGGAACGGAAAGAAGTTGAACTCCACCCGTCCAAATTTAAACACTGAATAACACTGAATTTTACACCAACTTTGCCGTGAATATCTTATTGCATGCATCACATTTCAGTGATACAGTCATTACATAATAAATATCAATCCTAATTCTCACTATTTCTCATTATTTCATAACATACAAGTAAACCGAAATTGCCCAAAACAGGAGTCGAACCCATGATGTCTGCAAAACGATGGCAGCACTCTACCAATGGAGCTATCCGGTTCCACAGTGTGCTAATACAACCAATGCTCCTCTGATACAGCACTGGTACCACACTCAAGAGATTTGTGGTTCGAATCCAGCTTCAATCAACTTTCTCATTTGATTTGTTTTGTTTTAGTAGCATGCAGTGAGTACATGTGAGTGCTGTTCTTCACGCCTGAGTATTGCAAAATTCATGCGACAGCCAGCACACAGGATTAAAAGTTAAATAAATATTTCAAACTCAGTTTTAAAAAAAAATGCATAATACTTGATGCTTTTTTTGGCAATCCAAAATGATGAGCATTTGAAAATCGCCACTTGTGGGGCTGGCAGGGGTGGGAAGGCAGGGGTGGGGGCTGGACGAAGTGGGAGGGGGATTCATTTTACCATTGTGATCATGAATTTATAAACATCTACTGGATATTTTTTTTCTTAGCATAAGTTCATATGTAGGATTCATATTCATTCATTGAAGCACGATGACGTTGATTTGGCATCATCTTCATCCTTACTCATCCTAAGTTATTGGAAAAACAATTTCTGCAACGTTAGCCTCACTTTCAATTAAAGATGGCCGACTCATGGCCAGCGTACAATTACAGCGTAAAATCCATCACCCTAGAAATGTCCTGCAGTAAATAATTACAAAGCTGTTCCGTATTTTTTTAATTTTTTTTTTAAATTTTGGTGGCATTTTTTACATATCGAGGCAATTGAGGTTAAGAAATCAAACAGAAAAGTCACTGTAGTCCTGCATTATATTTCTGGTTGGTTCTCAGTGAAGGTCACATGATCTCATTTCCTCAAGTCAATAGAGGGCGCTTTAACCCAGACCCTTAACAAATTCTAACCCCTCCCCCATCCCCCTTAAAAAAAAAAATTCCGTGCACCCAATTTCCAATGCTTCCGCATCAGTAAACCCTTCTCATGACGCAGCGCTACGTGACAAACCAATTACACACCCACTACATCACAAACTGGATTTCGGTGTGTTGTGTGTCAGTAGTGCTGGTGAATCGAGAAATAAATTGATCTGTGTCCCATGCTCTGTGCAAGTGGGTCGGGGGAAAACAAAGTGGCAAAGCAGATTCCGGCATGGCAAACGTGAAAAGAATAGGCTGCATTCCCACGAGTTTTCGGTGAGAATTTTTCAAGCATAAAACAATTTCCTCCTTTATTTTCTTCCTTGTATGGCTGTCTGGAAGGTTTTTTTGACAACGATAGAAAAGGAGATGATACAAGATTCAATGAAAGTTTTCCTCAACCAGTGCATGCGGACTTGCAAATAATAATAATTATTGGGAAATCACAGAATTTGAATTGGCCAAGCAGAGATTTGCTAAGTTGGCAAAACGATCCAAAACAAATATAGTTAATGTTTTTTTCTTCGAATTTGGAATTTCTTCCATTTGTGAAATGCAAACATTTTGAATTTTCAAATTCTTGGATTGAAAGTATACAGGGCAAGTTCAAAAAAATTTCGAAATTTTGGAGTGGAAAATTTCCAGAATTCATGATTATTTAACAGAAAACTTTTTTCAGTTGAATTTTGGAATATGGGATCAATTTGAGTTAGAAAAAAAATTGCCAGCGCCAAGGACTGAGCATACTTTCCACTTTTTTGTTTTCCCCGACCCCTAGTTGAATATAATTGTGTCTGAAGTGCCGATTAGTATTAATTGTGCATCACCAACTGCGGGTTTAATTGTGCATCACGAACTGCGAGTTAGTAATTAGTACCTGTGATCTAGCATGCTGGGCATGTAGATCGTGCCCATACACTATTATACTTAGCTGTGCAGCATGAACTGCGAGTTAGTAATTACTACCTGGGATTTTGCATGCTGGGCATGTAGGTCGTGCCCACACAATATTTCCCGGCTCGTCTGTTTGGATCATTCCTGGCGGGGAGGGGGCGGGGAAAAGGCAGTTGTTGAGGAGAGGGGGAGGTGCATAAATTAAAGCACATGCCCAGCACAGGGGAGGGGGAAAAAGGGGGAAAATAATAATGCAAAAATGTTAATTCAGGTTAGAAAACGATGAAAAAAATAAAAAATAAATAAAAGGCCTACAAAGAAATTTGGGTTAAAAGATCAAAGTAAAATTGAAAAAAAATTTGAAGGTTATGTTTTATTTGTCTCTATTAAACAAGCAATGCTTTAGATAGGGGTGTTAAGCAATTGAAAGAAACTTGCGCTTGAAACTTAAATTTTGATTGAAAATTATTTTTTTGAAAATTAGTCAAAACATTTGATAATTTTTCTTTGAAAACGGAGGGCAGATTTCTGGCCACAATCATTCATAATCAGACAAATATTTTGGATAATTGTGGTTAAAGATCAACATAAACATGCGATCGCAAAAGTGGTATGTTATTAAGCACCCTAATTACCACAAATTGACCCAATATATTAGAAATAATTTTGATTAAAGGAAAAGGCTTCTTTAAAAAGTCTCCTTTTTTTTTAATTGAAAACACATCTCGAGGGAACTGGAAATTATATATATTTGAAAGGACAAATTCCAGAAAAAACAAAATTTGTACCTTAATTAATACAATTATTTTTATGTTAATATCACAAATAGCAGCATGCGAAAATGTTAGTAAAAAAAAATCATCAAAAAATTGCATCAAAACAGGCCGTGGCAAATAATAATATTTATCATATTAGTAAATAAATGCGAAGATGGCGTCTGAGACATTGGCATATTATTCACCTCCCACCCCAGCCTACAAGCCACGCCCCTTTCGTTCCACCCCTCTCCATAACGCCACCCATGTGTAATGTGTCCAACACCCCGATTTATGAATCAAAACGATGTTGAGAATTTATCCTACGCTTTGATAAATACCCAAGCCAACATATAAAACCAGTACTCGGCATGGAGCTAGTTATTTAATAAGCAAGAAAATATTGTTTAGCAAATTCACATGCTCAGCTAAAAACAGCCGAGAACCAGCCAAAGTAAGTGACATCCCATTGCATTTTGGCTGGTAACCTGAAATCCATCATGAATAATCATATCATGCTGATGAGAAAGGCAACTCCACAACCAATAAAAACCTGGCAGTAGCCAAGCCAGTTAATGGTATGCAAATATCAAATAGCCAGTCACCACCAACCAGCCAATGACAGGGCAGCAGATGAAGGGGCAAAATCCAACAAGCCAATAAAACTTGATTCCACAGCGAGGCAAGCTAATGAGATGCGCATAGTAAGCAGCCAGTGACTGCCAAGCAGCCAATCAGGACAGAGCAGGCACCAGGCACAAACAATGCATCATTGACCAAAGTGAAGCATTCTCAATAATGTATATTCAAGTATGCAATCAATTCATGAGTTCAGCCTTCAGGACAAAATGAGAAAATTGCTTTTCCAAACCGTATAACAAGGCTACAATTAGTAAATGCAATGTTAGCTCAGCTACATGCATCATCACACTAATTTTCACGATGCTATGCTTTATGCCACATTCAAGGTACATCAATTTGTCTGTTTCTTCCATTTATTCCACTTTGTAAAAGGAATTTCTATTGGAAGGACACAAAACCACTTACTTGGTGTCAAAGTTGATCAGGTTGGTGTCAAGGGCTTCTGGAGGCTCGTCCACTGAAAAAAAAAAAAAAAATGGAATAAAGTAAACTGCGTTTATGCGGTAGCCAATCAAATTACATGAAGCTGGTTATCCTCCCAGGGTTCACTGTTGAGACCAAGGTTGGCGCAGACCTGGAAAGGAGGTTGCAATAACAACGCCGCCGCACTCGTCAATATAAAGAAAACACACTACAAGGTTACCGGCTATCTGCCGACTACCGGCTGCGTGTTCTAGGATGCACAATCACTGTTCACCGGTCCCCGACTCATCATTAATTTACCATGATGCGTAGGTAGCCAGGACACTGGCGCCCGCAGCTTTTGTTGTGTACACGGGCACGCTATCAGTCGAAACCATCTCTAAAAAGGTTCTTTTATCGGGATTATGGCTCGGCGTTTGCCACCTGTGCACCTGGCGATGGTTCATTGAGGTTTTGATTTCAAACACCTGGTGCCTGTTAATTGATCACCTCGCCATCCGTGCTCTAAGGAACGCTCTTGACGCCAACGTACAAATTTATATTTCATTAACTTTGTGGAAAAATTGAAATCTTGTCAAATTCATAAATCATCAACTTATGGACAAAATTTACGCTGAATAATTCACATCACGGCATATTTATATTTCAAAGACTTTCAAGACAGAATTTGGTTCAATGATTTCATTCTTGGCAAACGTTTTTTTCAATGCCTCAGCGGACGACTTTTCGTTGAATAATTCCATTGTCTGTGAAATTATATTACACTGACTCAGTGGGCAAATTCCACTCAATATTTCAATTCCTTGCAAATTCACATTTCATTAATTTTACGAACACTAATCTTGACAAAGGCTTCAATTCTTAGCAAATATAAATTGGCGATGGAATTTTTAAACAAGTATTTCCAGGGCAATGTGCATGATAAGAGCAAATGTCAGACATTCAGTGGAGATTTGAAGGACCATGTGGGAAAGCGTCACCATAGCAACCGACAAGAGAGCTCGATCGATCAAGGCACTTACTGTTGATTAAACATTTACATGTAGAGCACACTGATGCACAGCCACTGAGTATAGCAAAAGAATGAGGTAGACTTTTGTCCGCTACAAGGCTACTTTCAAATTAAATAATTGATATTCAGTAAAGAGGAAAGAAAACGATGTCATTCTATAAATTTAGGGTCCTAATTTGCCATTGAAAAATCATGAAGACTTCAAACAATTTTTTAGTAGTTGGGTAGGTAGTTTGCTATTCATAATCAATCTTGCAGGATGAGTGCATTAAAGGGAACATGTAATATGATTTTTATGAATTAAATACATTTAAAACAGCTTTCTTGCCATGTAACTATGACTTTACACCTCCTTTCTAGCAGTAAAAGTGAGAAATTTCAACATTTTAGTTCTTATGCTAATGAGAATTTCCATATTCATGAGCAAAAGCGTGATGTCATTCAAGGCAGAACAGTAGTGTCTCCATAGCTTTGTGTACAAATATATATCAAACTTTTCTTCATTTTTTTGGAGTGATTTCCTCTGTATACTTGTTTACCATGTTAAACAGCTTGTTTGGACAATAGTAGTGGCCAATATTTCTTCAAAACTTGTTTGTGTGCACTTTTGACAAGGAGTACCTTGTGTGACAAAAGCAAAATAGCGCCCTCTTATATGTATTCATGAAAGGATTTGCTAATAATTGAAAATCTACCACTTTCTTGTCACTTCCAATGAAAACAAGTATTAAGATCTTGTATATATTGTTGCAACACATAGTAATTTGCATAAAAACAAGATGAGCAGACTTTTCACTGCATGTCTCCTTTAACCACTTGGCGCCGGGATTATTTTGACATTGACCGGACCCAGGCGCGGGATTGTTTTTCACAAACCTCGATGCCAAGACGGGTTCATCAGGCCGCAATCTGCGGGTAGCACACCCTGATATTTCCGGCCTCGCTCGCTGCGAGCGGGTCACTGACCGATATTTCCGACCTCGCTCGTTGCGTGTTTATCCGTCATCTGTTCCAAATACCACGAAACCTTTGCGTGTATAGCGCATCAGAATTATTAAATCGTAGATGTTGTAGATTCAACAGGGAGACGTCAAATTTATTGAATGACTTGTATCTATACATAAATGATCACTATCTGCATTTTGCATTTGCAGTCACCGTTTCAAAATCAGAATGTTTCAAGAGAATCTGCGAGAATAAAGCATCGTATCCCTAAGTCCAGTCAGTAACCAGTTTGCGTACCGGCCTGTTATTAATTACACGTACATGGATATTTTTATATGCTCATTATTTCTGTTATTTCAAACCGTCATTAAATTCTGCTCTGGCAAAATGCCAAGTGCGAATGGCGTGAGCACTATGCGGTGCAATTAAATTACGTGCTTAGATAAATGTAAAGATAAACTTCGTAAACCTTTCAGTGATGGTGACTCAACTAAACTCAATTAGTTTGACCTTTTGCAAGAAGATAAAATAGATGTCTTTTACAATTAAGCAACTCTTCTCAAATGCAAGAGGCTTCACTATGCATACATGTACATGTTAGATCTGTGGTGAGACTTTTGTTAATGTCAAAATGTGAAGGCCATTTTATTTTTTTGACTTTGAAAAGGTCAGCCGCATTAGACAATTAGGATGTCCGGGGGAACATTTTGGAGTAGGCACCAAGGCTGAGTTGTGGGTAACGTAAGCAATTTCCTATTTCGCTTTCGCGTACCTTGATGTTCAAATATGCATATTTGCACATTTGCATATATGACATTTGCATTCTTTTGCATATTTGCACATTTGACATTTGCATATTTTTGCGTATATTTGCATGATTGTTTTTCCTTCTAAGGGATACCACTTACTGGCTTCTTGTTTCTGCTGTGTCTGCTCGGGGTTGGGCGGCAGGGGGTAGGGGTCCGCGGGTAGCTCTGGCTTAGGATGCGTCAGGACGAACGGCAGTAGGACTGACAACGGTCTGAACATACAAGAAGAGAGGAGGAAAAGTAAGGACAGGTCTACAAGTCGGAGAAATATCTTACTAATTACAATGACTATCTTAAATCCATATTAAAAAGGGTCGTACCGGTATGACTGGTGGCACATGAAATTTGGACTTCGATGAAATCTGGTCCATTTTATCCTACATATGAATTCCAACCCTCGCAGGAGAGCTGTGACTGTCCTACCGGTATAATCTTAACTTAAAGCATGTACCTACAAAATGAGTCTTAAAACCCTCGGCCAGTCCACCGTGCTCTAAAATCAAGTCATGTTTGCTTCATTTTGTTATTACCCTGAAATGTTTCGGTCAAAATCTTTTTATACAGGATGGTTAAAAAAAAAAGGACACCCACATTTGACAGCAATTTTCACCTATTCTAAAAAATTATTTTTAACCGTCGATTAGTAGCTATTAAAGTACTGGCCTTTAAGCAAATGTGACGAAAAAAATCGTTGCATATGCACAATTTGTTGTTGAGCTATGCTAATTTGAACATTTCATGTGCGAAACCTGTTTGTCCACAGATGTATACATTCCCTTCGCTTGACTGAGCTCAGCTATCGGAGCTTTATTTGACAGGCTTTATTTCGGAGCTTTATGCAACAACGAAATTATGCCGACAGCTCATTGAGAAGATGATCTCAACACTGACATGAATAATTGGACAGCTTCCATTAAAAATACCAGCTCAAAATATACATGTATTTTGGTGGGAAGGTTTTTACATTTTTATGAACTACGAAAACGTCCAATTTACATAGAATAACCTGTGGACAAGACTGATTTTGGTGACTTGTATTCAAATTATCATAATATCACTATTATTGCAACTTTTACTAAGCTTTTTTCACCATGCATGGTTAAAGGCCTATACTTTACTACTATGAGAACAAATATTTTAAAATAAGTTCATTAAGTAGGTGAAAATTGCTGTCAAAAGTGGGTGTCCTTTTTTTTTAACCAACTTGTACCGTATGTCACAAGTTCTTCATTCAACCATAGCCAAATGACACTGTGAGTGCCCCTTTAGAGTAGCCTGAACTAGTGACCCTGAAAATCCTAACCAAACACCATCCCTCTGACAAGAACCACATGTTTTTGAATAAGATCCTTTGTAGTGAGTCTAGCCGCCTCGCCATTGTTGAAGTGTATTTGGACTTTATTCAAACGTGTACTACGCTGTAGTTTATAGTACAACCGTTGGACTGTGGGTGTATAAAACAGGACATTTCTTCACTGAGTAGTCTTTCATGTTCTGTACTGTAAACTATGGTTATGGGTTGTATATTTTGGTGGTTGGTATGGAAACGTTGGACCATCGTCTTACTTTGAGAATGCCACCTCCAAGGAGCATTTGACCTTGTACTGGACCACGATGCCGTGGATGTTCTCTGCCTCCTCCTTGCCCTTCTTGCCCTCCTTGCTATCCTTGCCCTCCTTCCCGTTCACCTTAAACCTGTTGGAAATGGAAAAGTGATAGCATAGCTGGCAACTTTTCAAAATCCAAATTAGTAATCAACCTGTGCGGTCATTTTCAACTGCGCGTACACTAACAGTGTATGTACCAGCTTTACCAACATCGAGTACAGGTACATGGTTTACATGAACATACATGTGCATACCTTTCTTGTTGTGATTAATAATGTACTGTAGGCCATAGCATAATTTTTTTTTTAAATACAAAAAAAAATTGATTAAAATTTTTTTTAATAATAATTAATTTTTTTAATAAACTTTTTTTTACTGTCTGTATTTGTTTCTTGAAGTCAAATAAATAAAAACAATAATTAACATATACGCATATTTTTCTGAGATGCATGCTATCGATGTTGAGTTTCGAGTTTGTATGTTTTTACACACATTGATTAAGGGCCCGCCAACATACCTTGCAAACGCATGCTGATTTATCTTTTCTAGACGTTGTGATAAACTCTATTACCACTTCTTCCAACCATACTCTTAAATTCCATGATCAAAATCTCGTACTGATGGGTCTCATCCCGGCAATAAGCGACCAATTGTGATCACGATCGTCACTGAAAAGTAGTACACACATCCACACATCCACGAGATGCACACAAATGACACACCATTGAAAAATATTTTTAGTCTGGTCCTCAAGTACTCCACTGCGCACACCGCATTGATGTCTATCAGGTACTTGACCGCATTGCTTATTAGACTTATCACCAGTCCATCCATGATCGTAACATTTCGCCAGAAGTTTTCGGGCAAAAACGATACTCTACAAGTATTTTTTTTTCGTTAGATAGAAAATGGGAAATTCGTAATTTTTTATGTGGCAATTCGTATTTTCATAATTTAACAAAAATTCATAATAATTACGAAAAATTTGTAATAGTTGGCAGCTATGTGATAGTATTGGAAAAGTAACGGAGCAAGATAATTGGAAAAGTAATGGCTTTTCCACTGCTTTTCCACGACTATGGAAATCCAGAGCAATCCATGTCTGTTACATGGGAAACCTAAGGCACTAATGGAAATTCAATCCATAGAACTGGTAATGGGTTTTTCCAAGGTTGTCCATGACTGTGGCAACCCAGAGGAATTCAGTTGCACTATCATTGTGGATTAATTTGTGTTCTCCGGTTTGATGTTCCCACCCAAAGTCATGTGATGGAAAATGTCATGGAAAATGTAAGGCTTTTCCCGGTTTTTCTTTCCATGACCATGGAAACTCAAAGGAACTCACATTGTGGAGGTGGTCAAATTTGTGTCCTTGTATTTTGAGCTTGCCGTCCAGGGCCAGGCCTCCAACACCATGGAAAACACCATGGGAAATATACGGAAAAGATACGGTTTTCCCGTGGTTTTCCATGATTACGGAAACCCTGAGGAATCACTTCCGTTACTCACATTGTGGAGGTGGTCGATTTGTGTCCTCGTATTTTGAGCTTGCCGTCCAGAGCCAAGCCTCTAACACCATTGAAAAACACCATGGGAAATGTACGGACAAGTTACGGCTTTTCCATGGTTTTCCATGATTACGGAAACCCTGAGGAATCACTTCCATTACTCACATTGTGGAGGTGGCCAGATTTGTGTCTTCGTGTTTGAGTTTGCCGTCCAGGGCCAGGCCTCCAACACCATGGAAAAAAACCATGGGAAGTGTACGGACAAGTTACGGCTTTTCCGTGGTTTTCCAGGATTACGGAAAACCTGAGGAATCACTTCCATTACTCACATTGTGGAGGTGGTCAGATTTGTGTCTTGGTGTTTGAGCTTGCCGTCCAGGGCCAGGCCTCCAATACCATGGGAAATGTACGGACAAGTTACGGCTTTTCCATGGTTTTCCTATGATTACGGAAACCCTGAGGAATCACTTCCGTTACTCACATTGTGGAGGTGGCCAGTTTTGTGTCCTCGTGTTTGAGCTTACCGTCCAGGGCCAGGCCTCCAACACCATGGGAAATATACAGACAAGTTACGGTTTTCCTGTGGCTTTCCACAATTACAGAAACCCTGAGGAATGACTTCCGTTACTCACATTGTGGAGGTGGCCAGATTTGTGTCCTCGTGTTTGAGCTTGCCGTCCAGGGCCAGGCCTCGTTTGTGCTTGTTGTTGCTCAGCAACGGGGTAACATAAAAGACTTTAGACAGAGTGTGGCTGGGTAAGACTGGCAAACCGTCGGACGCCCTGGCAAAATAAAGGGGGAAAATGGACAAATATTTAATTAAAATTAAAAAAAAAATAATAAATGTAAGGCCCAATAAAGAAGCCTCCAGTTTCTGGTATGGAGCTTGCCCCCAAAGTGGTGCGACGACGCGCATTCTTTTTTTTTTCCCCAAACTTTTTTTTTTCTTCAAATATTGGCTGATGTTGCACTCTCAAAAATAGAGTGGAGCTTGAGGTGACCTCAGCTCAGTAAGGCCATAAGGTTTGACAATTCTGCACCCACTTACGATCTTGACCGATTTATTTTTTTGAAATTTGGATAGTCCAGACAAAAATCGGAGAAAACGGTAACGTCAGACCATAAAGCGACATTGACATCGTGCATGAGCTGCCAGGCTGGTCATTAGTCTGCTCCCTTACATATGGCGCTAATTAAAATGCGTTTACAGGTTCCAGATACACGACCATCGCTCCCTCAGTGTGGCTTCCAGACGCACAATTACAAAACTGCAACACCGTCTGCAAATGGTGCCCGACTTAATTTAGTGCAAAATATGTGGGAGCCCAGAGGCCACATAAAGCTTATGCTCGATCGTACCCCCATCTAAAACCACGTTAAAATTGTGCAGCAGCAGGATTCCAGTCAAACCAGTGAGTTTGGCGTTTTGAGACATCATCTTACATTGAAATTTTTTTTTTTATAATTTTGCCGACGCGCATGGCTACGGCGACAAGCGCGCAGACCAGAAACTGGAGACTTTTTGGGGGGCCTAACAAAAAAACTATAATAAATTTACTGCCTGAAAAAAAAATTGTAGAGTATTTGAATTACGCTGATATTGCAAACCACTGTGTGTGATATTAGTGTACAAAAATAATATTGCCAAACACATGTACATGTAAAATTATTGAAAGGGTGAAACAGTAGGAATGAACCTGGGGGCGGAGTTGTGCAGGCAGGTTGGGGAGGGGGTTAGGGGTAGAGGTGGGGGATTGGGGTGGCAGGTTAGGGTAAGGGTGGGTGTGGCATGTTGTGTGTGGAGTGGGGTTGGGGTGGCAGGTAGGAGGTAGGAATTGGGATGGGGGGGTGGTGGCAGGCTGGGGGTGACAGGTTGGGGTGGGGGTGACAGGTTGGGGGTGGGGCGGCAGTGGCAGGGTGGTGATGGGGTAGGGGTTGGATGGAAATGAAGATGGGGATGGGAATTGCGGTAGGGATGGGGTGGGAGTTGCAGATTTGGAGGGGGGGTTTGCAGATTTGGGGGGGGGGGGGGGCGCAATGAGCACCTACTTGTCTGTTTCAAAGTAGACGACACAACACTTGTAGTTGGCCTTATTGAAGAGGCAGATGTCAGCGTACTGCTTGACCAGAATTTTGATCTTCTTGACTTCCCGCTTGGAGTTGTTGGTGATTTGGATGTTGACAGCTATCTTCTCTCCATGATAGTACATCTGTAGAGGAAATGGGAGGCCAACATTAACCCATTAGTACATTGTATTACATGTACATTGTATTACATTGTATTACATTGTAGTACATTGTATTACATTGTATTACACTGTATTGCATTGTATAGCATTATATTACAATGTCTTACATTGTTTTACACTTTATTTATTTCCTAATATGAATCAATAAAACCATACAGCGCTCAAGTACTTTCGGAAACTGCAGGGAATAACAGACAAGGTGGTTTTGGCCAGTACAGCAGCCAATGGGTTAAAGGTCTATACATAAGAATTGTTTTTATACAATCCGTGAAATGTATTGACATCACAGCAACAGCGCCCTCGGTTGCCTCAGAAATGGCACGGAACATTTTAAACATTGATAATTAAGTGCACATCAAAAAAAAATTAAAAACTTAATTTATTATTTCTCCAGTCATGAGGAACGTATATTTGCACAAAATGTGTTTCAGTGTATTAAAGGGAATATACAACATTTGCAAACATCGAAAAAAAAAACTACCAAGTTTTTGCGAAATACCTTAATAGGATGTTGGTAAATGACAGCCTGAAGCATCCTGTAAAATTATGGCACCTGGTATACTGTCATTTTCAAGAAAAGTGGTATTTTTGTATCAATTTCCAACGCTGATCGGCCGATCAGCGTTGGAAAAAACTGGCTTTTTTTCAAATACTGGCTCCAATTGACCATTGCCCTTGTTTGCAATCGATTACAAACCTATGAACGGGTACGAGCCAGCTAGACTGGTTCCCTGACCTTACAATTCCCCAATGTATGTAAACTGCTCTGTTTCTTCTTATATGGAGTCGGGGAACCAGACTACAGGAAAATGATCGTTTTTCTTGGTTTTTATAGCATTTTCGAACCCAAAACCTCCAAAAAGTCAGTGTAACTATATTTGCTATATATTTCCAACGCCCCAATTCCATCCATTTCTGAAAATTACAGCAAAAGCAAATGATGTATATTCCCTTTAAGTATGGTAAAAATGCAAACTGGTACTTGTGAAACTTTCCCTTGACACGATACAATCAAACAAACAAACAAACAAACAAACAAAAACTGTGAGAAAGACAATCACCCCTTTGTCCAGCGATGCCTCCAAGTGTAACGGGGAGTTGGCGCTCATTAAAAACGTCTTTTTGTCCTCCTGGCTGGGCTGGGCGATGGGCTGTTCAGGGTTGGCATAGGTCACCTTGCGGATGGCCAGGTTGACTGAGTTCCTCTTGTGGGGCTTCTCATCAATGGAGTCTGGGGACAAGATACGGAAAAACAGTTGCAAACTGCAGGTAAATTTAATTTATATTCAATGTTGGGTTTTGTCATTCACGGACAATCTTATAAGCAGTGTTCATACTGCTCCTCGAATAAATTCGTTTCGTATCGGTACTGTCATATATTCATATTTGTCTTTGTTTTCTTTTCTGTTACTTCATTTCTAACAATTTTATAAAGTCAATATTAGGTTTAGCCCTCACCGACGTTTAAACACTGTATACTCATTGTGTTACCTCCCGAGTGGAAGTTAGAAAAAATCACTCGGGTGGGACTCGAACCCGCGACATCCTGCTTTCTAGTGCAGACGTCTAACTACTCAACCACCAAGCTTGCGGGATCAGTTGGTTGGTTCGAATCTGTACATGTATCGGTAGCAGCGAGTACCGCAATGACACTTCATGTCGGTGAAGGGCAAAACCTAGTATCAATTTACATCAGCCTGACGAAAATTCCATCTTATGATCAATTTTATAAAAGACACTGAAAATGCAAGCTCAAGAAAATATGTACATGAAAAGTGTGTACACGTACGGTACCTTGCTCATTTACAGATAATTTTTTGTTAACCATAATATAATTTCCTAATTGTACTGAAAGCACATTTCCCTTTTTTTTTTTGGGGGGGGGGGTTAATTGGTACATTATTTATATTAATAACCCTCCTGCTGTCTGAACAATCACAGACAGTAAAACAAAATCAATCCTCTTCCCCTGCCATGCCTTTTACACAGGCTAGTCACCAACAGTCAGATCGTATTTACAGCAAGCACTGTGACTAGTCAAATTCCATCAACAGACAAAAGCAAGTAACTGGTAGGCACAGCTGGCTTACTGATCAGCTACTGTCAAGGTAAAGCTGTATCAAGTTACATAAACAGTCACAGCCAGTCAATCCTGCTTCATGTAGCCTGGGAGCTCTTAACTGTTAAAAAGAGTTCCTTGATTGATTTTGACTGCTGGGATAGCTGTGTAGAATTTGACAGGAGAGGGAGGGTTTTAATGCCCGCTTTTAACATTAATTAATAAATGAGGTTGGTCGAAATTGAAGCAGGAAATGCCACTTAAAGGTATAGTCCATCATTTGTAATTTGTGCGTTTTGTTCGTTTGAAGCACACACACTGACTTTTCACTGACCGGCGCCTTTGAATGACAATTATTGTCAGATACTGTGCGCCTTACAAATGCTTTGTTATTATTATTATTATTATTATTAACAAAAGTGCTCAATATCTGAAGAAGGATGCTGAACAACCAATCTGATGAAGTTTCAGCTTAGCTTCAGCTGCATTTTTCGAGAAAAACAACATTCTAGGATCTCAATTTCAAATCAAAAGTTGCTGAATCATGTTTTGAATTGGGCATGAATCCAGCGTCCGAGACACGTTCTCACTAGCCGATTGCAGCTACGCGATGTCGCGCACTGATCCGACGAATTATAGCAACCGCGCGCGTGTGTGCATCGTGCCAATGCTAGACGCGCTTCGCCGAATAACGAACTACTAATATGAATTTCCTACGGTGCTTCTTAAGAAGCACCGTTGAAAAGGCCTTCTTTCGTTGATTTCTTCAAAATGACAGCTTGCCAGAAAAATTAACTTCAGGGGGAGTTTAGTCCCCTTACTATCTTTCAACCAAGTAGGTTTTTCAACAATAATTACGCCAGTCACTTTTTGGATAGCTGCAAATGATGGACTCTGGCTTTAAAAACACATGTATGGTGAGTCATCTCCCTTGAAAAAAAAACCTCTCTTGTTACTAGAGCGACCAAGGAGATGTATACATGATATATGTATACACAATTAGGTTATGGCCGCAACAATAGAAAGTAGGGTTTCCATTTTTTTATTTGGAAAAAATTCTGATCAATAAACAGATACCCTTTCTTCTCAAAATGTTGAACTGAAATGTTTCATTATACACTATTACTCACTCACAATTCTTTCTACAAATTTATATCAAAAACGCAGCGTAATACAGAATATCTGAATTTATTTTTGTTTGAGCGCCCCAACGTCAGACAAACGTATCCAGCTATGGACATTTTTGTCTTCATGCCAGGGGAACCAGCCTTTAAGCATCTGCAAATACTCGACGGCCGCGCACGTACCCAGCGCATTGATTCAGCTGGGCTGCCTCTCAATGTAATTACTACTCCTGATCAATGGAACCGGTGGAAGAAAGCGGGGAACCTGGGAAATCTGACCTGCCTGATTTGACCGTCTTCACTACACACAGGTGCGGCTATTGTATTTAAAAAGAAGAAAGCCCGGAGGAAAACGGCCATTTTAAATCAAATGACCACTCTGGGTTCTTTTGTATTGATTTTTTTTTTAAAGGGATGCACAATGAAGTGAACTTGGTTCGACAACAGGCTTGAGTCAGCCCAAGAAAACTGGTGCAAATTGCAAGCGTTTGAAACTGAGTCTACAGGTGATCGGCAAAACCAAATATTGAAATTTGAGCAATTCCAGCTTCACAGACATTACCGTACATACCAGACAGTTTTTGTCCACTAGGAGCTTTGTGAATACACGTAAACCTGAGTAGTTTTGGACCATTTCTCTGAATCATTCATTATTTGGATATTGACGGTAAATTGGCTCTGTAAGGCCAAAAAAAAAAAGTCTCTGGTTTCTGGTATGCGCGCGCGTCGCCGTAGCCATGTGCCTCGGCAAAATGAAAAAGGTTTTTTTTCAATGAAAGATGATGTCTCAAACCGCCAAACTCACTGGTTTGACTGGAATCCTGCTGCTGCACAATTTTAACGTGTTTTTAGATTGGGTTATGGTCGAGAATAAGCTTTATGTGGCCTCTCTGGACTCCCATATATTTGCACTAAGTTTAGTCGGGCACCATTTGCAGTCATCAGCCAACATTTGAAGCAAAAAAATCAGGTAAAAAAAACAAAAAAGCCCATCGCCGCAACACTTTTTGGGCAAGCTCCATACCGGAAACCGGAAATTTTTTTTGTTGGCCTAATGGACATTTCATTTTCTTCCGTGATGCTGGAATTGCACGTTTCCTTCCCCCATGCAAAATTCCATTCATTGGATGTAGGTTACATGTGTATCCTCATATACAGGTACCATGGACACAGTAAAAGCAAGTTCATAGGAATGAATGACATTTATCGAATTTCATATCAACTTCAGTAAAAAACAAATATTCAAAAACAGATTCATTACTCTTATTATTGTGACGATGACACAAATGGCATAACAGCTGGTTCATATAGGGTGTCGGTCGCATCAATTGGAGAACAGGGGAAACTATTAGAAGAGTAAACAGCTGAAATTGTACAGGACAGGCCCAGATGACATGAAACGTTACTATGGTTTAAAGGGAATATACATCATTTGCTTTTGCTGTAATTTTCAGAAATGGATGGAATTGGGGGGTTGGAAATATATAGCAAATATAGTTACACTGACTTTATTTAGGTTTTGGGTTCGAAAATGCTATAAAAACCAAGAAAAACGATCATTTTCCTGTAGTCTGGTTCCCTGACTCCATATAAGAAGAAACAGAGCAGTTTACATACATTGGGGAATTGTAAGGTCAGGGAACCAGTCTAGCTGGCTCGTACCCATTCATAGGTTTGTAATCGATTGCAATCAAGTGCGATGGTCAATTGGGGCCAGTATTTGAAAAAAAAGCCAGTTGTTTCCAACGCTGATCGGCCGATCAGCGTTGGAAATTGATACAAAAATACCACTTTTCTTGAAAATGACAGTATACCAGGTGCCATGATTTTACAGGATGCTTTACACTGTCATTCACTAACAGTCCAGCAAGGTATTTCAAAATGATTTGGTAGTTTTATTTTTTGATGTTTGCAAATGTTGTATTTTCCCTTTAAACTTAAGGAAATATACAACATTTGCTTTTGCTGCAATTTCCAGAAATAAATGTATTTGGAGGATTAGCGTGCTATGAAAAATATTGCTAAACTCGCTTGTTTCACGTTTCGGGTTCGGAGATGCTGGAAAATCTAAGAAAACCAACCATATTCTTGTAGTCTGGTTCCCTGACCCCACTTAAGATGAGACGTTGCAATTTATAGACTTTGGGGATTGTAAGGTTTACAGAATCAGTCTAGCAGGCTTGCACCCCTGCACAGATACATATGAAAAATTAGGAGCAGTTTTTAAAAAAAGCCAGTATTCTCCAACGATGGTCGGCCGACCAGCGTAGGAAAAATACAAGTTTTCTTGAAAATGTCAGCACACCAGGAGCCAAGATTTTACAGGACGCTTAAGATTGCCATTCACTAACAGTCAAGTAAGATATTTTGTTATCGTTTGATCTTTTCATTTTTTGATGATTGCAAATGTTGTATCTTCCCTTTAAGGATTAACCCAGGCCTCACGTCTCACTGTCGGGGAATCTCACTGTCGGGGAATCGGCTGCATTTACTGTCAATGACAGACGCATCTGGACTTTGGCCTGCCTAGCAGGCCTAGTGGGAAGGGGGTGCCCCATTTTCGGCTCATTTTGGCCCAGTTATTTCCACGACAGTTAGAGTCCATATGGTTGCAAACAGCCATTAATCTGGGTCACGACGACAAGTGGCATTTTATTTGATTTCCGTTCGTTCCCGTAAATGAAACCCACTTTCTTTCTGGCTTGGATGGAGGCCGACAGAGAGAAGCTAATGAAGTGATGTTCAATTTCAGACGCGGGAGGAAAGTCCTGGGGTTATATTTTAGGGAAAGCCCACGCAATCAGACAGGGACTTCATGTTAAACTCAATTCGCATGTTGACCTGAAAGGAGGGGGGGGGGGATTCGAACCCGGTGTCACATGAAATATGGACACTAATGAAATCTGGCCTCTTCTACCTTGTATGGACTCGAACCTCACACGTGAGCTGTCACTGCCCTAGTTATCTTCATTAGCAATTACTTGAAGGGGAGTATGGGGAGTGTGGCCTAGTGGTTAGGGTTTGTGACTCCTGATCAGAGGGTCAGGGGTTCGAATCCAGTTGCTGGTCATATGTTGTGTCCTTGGGCAAGCCGCTTCACCCCACTTGCCTCTCTCCACCCAGGAGTGTAAATGTGACCCACTCCACAAAAAAAGGGTATTATGTCGCAAAAAAGTGAAATTGAGTTATGTACATGTACATGGTTGGAAAGCCCACAATGTAAGCTTTCATTTGGTATATAATAGAGCTCCATAGCCCCTCCCGTTCTGGAGATATGACATATTTGCATATTAATTACTTCCTTGGAGTTCAAATTACACAACTGTGAAAACAGGCTTTGAAATAGCTGGATTTGTTGTAGAACAACAGAACGATGCACACAGAATGGTTGTTTTTTCCACTTTGTTCATCAAATCAACATTTCTGTGAATGAAACCTGAAACTGTAGGTATTAAAGATGTCATTCATGACAAAAAATGAAAATCACATTTTGACAAAATTTTCACCCTCTCAATGTTGAGCGGGCCATTACACAATAATGCTCAGGGCGACTTAATACCCTTTTTTGTGGAGCTGGTCACAAATGGGTACCGGCATTAGCTGGGGAGTAACCTGTGATGGACTAGCATCCCGTCCAGGGGTACTAGAAATATTATCTATATATATAAGAGAGAGTTTAACTCGGCCTCCGAGACGATGTTTGCTCATGAAAGGATCCCAGACCGCGGGCTCCCGCTGCGCGAAAATCGCTCCACGTCCGTGGAAAAATGCGGAGGGTGTCTTCCGCCAGGTCGGACACTTCGGGTCGTCCTGATTTTCCCGTACGGACCGGCGATCCTTTTCGTCGATTTTTCGTGACTGCGTTTTTCGCAGGAATTTGCCGTCGTGTGCGCTTTCACGTTGACTGCCTGGCCGCCCCCTGTGCTGGCTTCTCTGCGTGTCTAGACTGTGCGAGGTCAGCGAGGTCAACGTAGGGGTTCCGTTTACGTGTTCTACTCAGCCCTTCTGCAGAAGCGTTCACCAAATTGTGTTATGGGGTGACCTTGGTAAAATATTTTTTCTCCATGGTGCGTGGCCACCAAGTGCCCCTATTCTTTCATATGCTTCGCTTGCCGCCCCTGCGCCGAGTGCAACGAATACTCAGAAGGACTTCACATTAAGTATGCCTTGCGCGGTCTGACCAATCGAAAGTCTACACTGCGTAGTATTTCCGGGCTATGCAAAACTGTCGATGGCAACGCGTACTGCAGCCTCCTCCACACCCTGGAAACGAGGTTGAGTCTACGGTGCTCGCTATTTGCATGATTTGAAGCACAAGCATGTGAGTGACGTGTATAGTGCTCTGTTGCTTCCATCATGTGTTTACAGCTCCATGCATCCACCAAGGCTGACCGTTGTGAGTTCGCTGCCCGCCACGTATAATTCAGTGTCGCGTTGTAATGGGGGCCTGTTTTGGATCAACGAAGGATCGATGCATTGCTTCAAATACCGCGATCTTAAACGCTGTCACAAAAAATCGACAAAATAGTGTCCGACCCGGTGGAACACACCCTCCACATTTTTCCACGGACGTGAAGCCGCGGTCTCGGATCCTTTCAGGAGCAAACATTTCTCGGAGGCCGAGTAAAACTTGGTTGAACCAACTTGAATAAAAGTTGACTCGACTTTTTCCTCGCAGACGGTCTCGCAAATTGTAAGAAGTTCAAGTTTACGTTTGTTGAAGAAAACAATACTGAAACTTAATTATGACCTTCCTCCATGATTCAGACCGTTTTCATTTTCATTTCAAATGACACCTTCACACGTTTCATTGCATTATGATTTATTGTCAAAACTGTACAATCAGCCTTCGCCTGTGTACTACAGTAACCTTTTCACTACGTTTTCCAAATGCGACTGCCTCACAAATGCGACTGATTCTATTGCTCAGAATACATGTAGCTGATTCAATTACTCCAAACTCAAAACTTTAAAAGATGATCTTCTGCTCAAATTGGTTTCAGTTTAACATTTAACTCCCCACATTTTCATCCCCAACACTACGCCCTACCCGATCTATGATCGGGTAAATCAGCTTGTCAGAGATAAACGCCAGCCTGATGGGCCACACTGGCTCGCGACAGACTTGACTTTTCTCTACAATTACATGTAGGCATGAGCAATACAACCGACGCGTCCGTATGTCATCGAGTCAAGCTTTACACTATGACAGGTCACAAGGGCGGAAAGCCAGGCAAGAATTATTTGTTGTTGCGTTTGGTTTTTTTTCTTCCCTCTGTTTAAATCAATTTTTTTTTTTTTTAAGGTAGAGTCCATCATTTGTAATGTTTGCATTGTGTTTGCTTGAAGAAACCAAAGTGCTCAAAATCTAAAGAAGGGTGCTGAACAACCTGATGGAGTCTGAGATCAGTAAATGCTGTAATATTCCGAGAAAACAATTTAGTCTAGGATATCAATTTCAAATCAAAGCTGTCGAGTCGTGTTTCGAATTGCGCCCACATTCAGCATCCAGGACACGTTCTCATTCAGCCAATTGCAGCTACGCGATATTGCACACTTAACCTACAAATTATAGCAACCGCGCGCATGTGTGCATCGTGTCAACGCTTGCGCACGATTCGCCAAATTAATAACAAACTACTAACAGAAATTTCCAAGAATGTGTCTTTAGACGCATCGTTGGAATGGCCTTCTTTCATTGATTTCTTCAAAATGACAGCATGCCAGAACAAATAATTTCTCAGGGAGTTTAGTCCCCTTACTATCTTTCAACCAAGTATGTTTTCAACAATAATTACGTGAGTTACTTTTCTGATAGCTGCAAATGATGGACTGTAGCTATGAATTTTCTTGGTTTAACCGAAAAATTGACTGAAAAATTTCAAAGATTTGAACTTCTCAGGTATCATTTGCCAACTGCACATTGTGTAAGCCCCTTCACTCCACCTGCTTCTTTCAAATCCCACGAACAATTCCTCGAAAACAGACTCCAGAAAAACAACAACGTATGAGTAACCTACCACGGACTGGCATCCCATCAAGTGGGAATTCAAATATTATCAAAAACTTCGCTTTAAATCTAAAAAAAAAAAAAACCTAAAGTTCAATTGCAAGCTGGAAGGCAGTGTGTTATTCCACAGAGACGTTTCACTTTAAAACTCAAATAAACACTTTCCTGGGGATTGTCTATCAATATGTCAGCATTTGCACAAATTCCAATTTAAAACCATCTGCTTGGCGAGCGTGCAAGGAACGCTGGCCTACATGTACTTAGAAACATTATCCCAGCTGCAACAAAACAAACAATAAACTCCCTGACTCACTCAAGTCCGAGAAAAAAACCCTTCCACTATTTTTCCTAAATTTTGAAGAGGGTCAACATCACATTGACGACTCTCCTGGACAGCATTTTCCAAACACTATCGTAAACCCATTTTCATCTTGGCGTGAAACTTTCAAAGTTCAAGACCCCTACTAGTGTGTTATTGGTTCCTGTGAAGAAAAACACTTGTTTCAGTAGCGCGGGACTTGAAATATTCCATAGACTACCGAATAGCCCTTGGAGAGTTTAACATCGGTCAAGTGTCTTCAACAGTTTTGCAATTTCGGTAAATTTGAAAATCGTCTTTTACAATTAATCTTTGCTACACTTTACATACTGTGGTCAGGCCCGTCACCAGCCCTGAGCATCAGGAGGGGCCATAGTACCAACTAGGGGGCCCAATACCATAAAAAAATACATAAATACACATGTAGGCCTATGGCTTTTGCTGTTGGGGGGCCAATTGCTCGCCAAGGGGGGCGCGGCCCCACCAGGCTCCCCCCCCCCCCCTCCCCCCCCTGACTGTGATACAGAAGAAAATTGCCTGTGATTCCATGTATAATGGAATTTTGAGTTGAAGAGACGTAAATATAAAGATTCTCCCATAAGTGAAGCTAGAGTAAAAGGTTTATAAAATTTCTTATAATTTTTTATAAATCCACATGAAGTCTAACCCATGACCCAAATGTGCTAGTAATAAAAAATAATAATAAATTGACAAGAAACAATGAAGTAACTAGCAAAAATCCTGCATATTTTCCAGCAGATAGCCCCTAAAAAGGGGGAAAATTACCCTTTGGGGCCCCCACAAAAAAATACTACTGACTACACCCATTGTGCACTAACAGCTTTTTATTCAGAGATCGGCACGGGAGATTTTTTTTTCTTTGCACCTGATGCCAACTCAACTGTCATTAAGTTGTTTTCTATCGTTTTTATCGGAGCGGCGGTTTGACAAGACGCGAGGCGCGATACGAGGTGGCAGTAATCACAGGTGCAGAGGGGCACTTGTTTTGACGCTTGAATTCCGAGCGGGGATGGAGAATAGGAGTAAGGAATAAGTGAAGCTAGTCTGTGATGATCAGAAAATGTGTCAGAAAATGATATTTTTCTTTTTCTTTTTTTTTGGGGGGGGGGGGAGAGAAATACGATGTACATGTATTTCAGCGAATTATTTCTATTTATGTAAGTAGTGGTTGAACATGTACCTTCCAGAATAAAAACAAAACCACGGATGCCCTATTTTGGTGGATTTTTTGCGGGGGTCTGAAAACCTACAAACTGAAAACCTGCTGAAATCCTACAAACTCTATTAATTCCCTAAGTATTTGTAGGAATCTTCTCAATCTTACAAAATCCTCCGCTGTGAAGGAAACATTTATAAAAATATTTTGAAGGGGTCATATTAAAGCCCCCCGTAAATTAAAGGTGGCTTGAATCTACCTTCCTCAATCCTGCAAAATCTGTCAAAACCTGCTGGTGGATTTTGATGGAATTCATTGGGTTTGGGATAAGTACAAAATGAACTGACCTGCCACGTAGGTCCGTAATTCGTAGTCCACACCGCATGGCTTGCCTTCCCTGTCTTCTGGCGACGGCTGTAGCGTGACGGATGCTGGCGAATTCTCTGGCAACTGTGGTAAAAATAATACAGGGCTGACCATTGCAAAACTTAAAACCAACTTTTCAGGGTGGTACAATTACCAACAAAACGCTCTCGAATTTCAAGCAATGGTGAAATTTTGTTCGATTCCAGTCATGGTCTCAGTGTGCCATTATGTAGATTGGTTCTCTTTGTTCCATCATGAAGATGCAGGTTTTCATAGTTTTCTTCCCCTGCAGCTTAAGGATGGCCCTGACGAAGGGTGGAGGCCATAGAAAAGAGGCTGGAGGGGGATCGGAAGAAAGAGAAGGGTGAAGGGGAATCATGGGGTTGAAAGTAATGTTGGAGGCGGTGGAGGTAGGTTGAAGGAGTTGGAGGAGGGTGAAGGGGGGTTTCAGAGGGAGGTTCAGGGGTATGAAGAGGAAGTCAGGAAGGGTAGGGAGGGAGGGGGTGAGTGAAGGGGATGGAGGGGGTTAGAGGAGCAGTGGAGGAGGATTGGTGGACTGGAAGTCGAAGTGTTTGAGGCTTGCAAGGGGACTGGGAGCTGTTGTCCAATTGGGAGGTTGTGGGATCAGGGGTTGGGTATTTGGAGGGTGGAAGGGAGTCAGGATCAACGGAAGGGTGCATTCATGTACCTGAAAGAGGAACGGGTATGCATTGCTTCCAAGCTTCTTGATGAGTCTCTCCTGCAGACGGGTCAGCGGTTTCTGCTCCTCAGGGATGGGTGGATACACCTGTGGGTATTAAACCCCCAAAAAAGCAAAACAGGCAGAAGGTTATTGACTCTGTGCAATCCCCATCGAGGGCACTCTTTGGATAGGTTATTTTATAAAACCTATAGGCCTAAGGAGTGACTCAGTAAAAGAAATTTATAAATTTGATAATATCAGAAATGACTGTGTCAATTTAGCTCTTAATCATTGCCGAAAATGTTCCACTGCCTGGGGCGCTTAAATGTCATTGTGTTTGGCCAGAAAAACCGATATTGTGTACTCCTCTGCAGAAATGTTGCGAACATGTCCAGAAAACATGGTCACTGTTTCTAAGATTGGGTTGAAAAAAATCTTTGAAATTACCGGTGAATCTGAACAGTATATTTGGCTTGAAGTATTTTAAAATATCGATAGTTGCTTCTCTTAACCCTAACTCCCTAGGCCTTTTTGTTAGGATGTAGCCTCAATCCTGCAAAATCCTCCAATTGGCCTCATGGAAAAATTGCATATAGCCTCAATCCTGCAAATTCCTCCGTTGTTTCTTGAATATGGTCCATGGAGGGGTGACCACTGCCTGAATCCTGCAAAATCCTCCGGCTATGACTGTCAATAGGCTGAGGCAGAGGCAGTGACATCCTGGAGCAGTACGGAGGATGTCAAGTATAATCAAGGACTAAATTTATGCATGGCTGAGCATACACAACACAAGGTCCGGCCCAAGACCTTGACACAGTGCGTACTCCGAAATCAGCAACGCACTTTTGCCATGTAACCTCAATCCTGCAAATTCCTCCAATTTGCAAAAAGGATTTTGGAGGATTCAGGGCGGTTAGGGTTAATCAACGTACCTGCATGGACGCCAGGTACAGGTCTTTGCGGAACGTGAGGCCGAGAACGTCCAGGTCCTCCCGTCCGTAGCGGAACGCAGCCAGGACGTGGACAAAGACCTTGCGATTCTTCACGTACTCCGTGTCAACCAGGACGACACCATCTGCGCGTTACAAGAGAGAGCATAACTGTTTAGACTGGGTGCAACCTTGCATGCCTAACTGTTTGCAGAAACGTTGTGATAACCATTTCAGAAAAAGTGTACTTGCAAAACCTTACCCCTTTGTACAGTCTATGCGTGCTTATACTTCTACTTGTAGTTGCGCAAAGGTTTTAGCATTACTACTTTGGATATTTGGCATTCCTACAGCATCGGAAAGCATGTGTAGAAATCAAATCTTTATGTAAAGAATCTGGGCAAATTTCAATTCTTTTTTTTTATGGCCAATTTTTTTATGCTGATTGAATGGGGTATTCAATTATGCGCAGTTTTAGCCTGAACTATGTTCATTGCAGGCCTAAAAATAGGGTAACCAGACGCAGAAGTAATTTTTGGGGGCCTTACGGTTAGCGTATTTCATGGGTTAGTGAGGAATTTTGGCTCACATAACGCTTGCGTACATCCATTAACTAAGGATTCTGTGCTTACTTGGTAAGCCCAAAATTTTCTGCTAGCACTGTAAGCACAGAATGGTGATCGTAAGCCCAACTTACAATCTGCATTTTGTATTAGGGATTACATTGTAAGCAGCTTATAGAAACCCACCTTGAAAAAAAAACCTCAATAAAAAAGTGAAGCAACGACATTTGTTATAGCGTCTTAACAAATATGTTGTCCTTCACTTTCCGACAGGGCATTTTTCAAAGCAAAATTTTTACGCCAACAAAAAAAATAAGATGATCAGCTGATGCATAATGAAGGGCCTTAATTAACTCCTCAAAGTTGAGCAGACTATTAATAAAAGGGTTTATTTGACAAGTCCAGTGACCAGATAATTGATTCACGGTCAGCGCGCCAGCCTGTTGAAGAGAAGATATCCAATTGTACTTGTTGCCTGGCAACGGAGAATTCAATCAAGCGTTGAAAATTGGCGGCGCTTTGGGGTGAGCACATTATTTGCAATATCAACGACAAATATGATCGCAACAAACACCTTGGCTGTTGCATTTTGTGACAGCAAAAGATATGAGGGATCCTGTCAATTTTTTTTTTTTTTTTTGACATAATGGGTTTTGAAAAATTGCGAAGGACTGTATTGTCATTTCTCATTTAAGTGCCAAATTGATACATGTACCGGTAGCCTTTTTTTTTTAATGGAGGGGTCAGAGATACAACTTTCGATATTTTTTTTACCAGACTCGTGGAACCCTGACAAATCCATCAAGATTAAAGGGAATGTACATTGTACATCATTGGCTTTTGCTGTAATTTTCAGAAATGAACTATTTGAGGGGTTAGTATATAATAGATCAAATACTGTTACATGTACACTGACAAGTTTGAAGTTTTGTGTTCGAAAATGCTGGAAAAACCAAGAAAAACAAAAATGTTCAAGTAGTCTGGTTCCCTGACTCCACTAGAGATGAAATGAATCAATTTATTGATGCCGGAAAATAAGGAAACCAGTCTAGCTGGCCTGCACCCGTTCATGAACATGTAACCAATAGCAAACAAAACTTAGACTGGAAAAAAAAGATGGTAAATTTGGAGCAGTAAGGGAAAAATAGTTAGGTTTTTCCAACGGTGGTCGGCCGACCACCGTTGGAAATTTATTCAAAATATCACTTTTCTTGAAAATGACTTCACACCAGGTGCCACAATTTTACAGGAATCTTTAGACTTTTATTTACCAACATCCTAGTAAGGTATTTCGTAAAAATTTGGTAGTTTTGTTTTTCGATGTTTGCAAATGTTGTATATTCCCTTTAAGTATAAAGAAAAATGCACCAATCATTTTCCAACTGGAAGGTTTAACTTGTGGGGAAAAAAGAAGACAGTTTAGGATTGAAAAGTTGAAGGTTAAGCATTAACAAAATTAGGGTTTCATGAGCGTAATGTAGGAATTGCCACACTGTTGATTGATCACTACTGATATGCTTGGTATCCGTTTTCATCTCGATACAAGCCAGGCAAAGTGCCCAAAAAGCTTTCTGTCAATTTACACCAGTCTGTCTGCAGCTGCCACGAGGCAGTCTGATTTTTTTTTCTCCCCAGACTTTCAGCGAGGCTGTCAAATTGAGCCCATCCCAAGGCACTTCAGATGCTCACGTATTTGCGGAATTAAATCAAGTGTACCGGTAGATATTCAAAGTGGGTTAACCCCCATTGGGGCCTAGAATAAGTGCTCACATTTCAAACACAGTACCTGTACATGTACATGTAGCTAGGAGCCTTTCAGATACCGGTTATATATGCTAAAATCATTTAAATTGTATAGTTATGCAGATTATCAGTGAGTGGCTACAAGTACAAATATGCTGGTACGGTAGGAAATATGCAAATCACATAATCAAAATGCGTTTTTATTCATTAATATGCACATCTGTATACATGTACATGTACACGTATGTAAATTGGTACCGACAGAAGGATGCGCAGGAATTTATGAGAACACACATGCTGGTAGCCAATATGCAAATTCAATCATCAAAATGCACCCTGTCTCATGAACATACCGGTACATGTAAATGGGGATCTTAAGGTGGTTACTTATGTGATCACTGTGACTCCTACACACGCATACATGTGTCTGGGTGTACGCGGGGATACATTGTTCATGCGGAAATTATGCAAATGAACTCACCTATGGGGTCGATGTGTGTCATGTGATCCAGGAAGTCTCGCTTGCCCAGGTACGTCGTAATCTGCAAGGTGGAAAGGGGAGACAATGTAAATACATGTCCACGCAATCCAGCGACACCCCAATGTATGCAGGGATTCCGCCGGCGCGGAAAGATTCCGCGTCTGGGTGCCTGGTCCGGAGACGAAAACAAAAAAAAACGTCTTCAAATCAATACAGAGACCCGTCGATCTTAATGGCTTAAAAACAACCGCTTGTCTTGATGTCACGGGAATTACACATGGGTGGAAATGCCACATTGCCTCGTTAGAAGAACGAAGGAGGAAAAACACATGTTAATGGCCGTGTCAACATGCACCTGGGCCACTAGACAAATAGAAATGTTTAATAAACGGGGACAATCAGTGTTTTCTCTGAAAGCAGCCAATACGGCCAAGTAAATAAAAAACATGTTTAGCGTCCGTGTTTTTGAATAAAAAGGAGGAGGTGGGACTTTTGTTTTTCTTTTCTTTTTTCTTTCAAGATAGGCGACAACCGTTGGTTTTCACAGTATTCAAAGATACCAAAAATTAAACAGACATGCAGTTTTCCAGCACGGTTTTACAAGAATTCAAAAACACTGCCGCGCGGGCATTCTTGTCCACGTCGAGGCTGGTTTGGAGATGGCAGGGGTCGACTGCATGCATGATGTGGGAAGTGACCAATAGAGTCTAGAATTAGAAGTTCCGACTTGCAAGTATTTGATTTACGATGGATCAGTCGACATTTTTGCTTTTTTTTTCAACAACAACAACAACAAAAAGGAGGCAGCCTCCAAAAAGGAAGTGGGCGGAACATGTTTGTTTTTTGGCTTAAATCTATTAAATGTGTCTATACCAGGTCACACACTATTGTACTGTACATAATAAATATTGTACCCGTTTTGTTGAAATTTCAATCAAATTATGATATGAGGCCTACATGTCCAATGTATGTCAAACATGTAAACAGCATAAAGAATACTTATCCACAGAAAGGCACTATTCTTACATGTTAGTACCGTATTTGTACCATTCTCATGACATACCGTAATTGTTGCATGCCGGTAGCTTAACCTATGACAATATAACATCTTTAAGTTCTCTTGCAAATTGCGACTTAAAACTCAATGCCAGCCAATGACAAGTACCGTACAGAGAATACTTAATTCAATAACAGTTCCGCAACAGGAAATTTGGGGCCAGGCCTTTAATCAATGAAGGCCGCTCATTTAATTTGGGAGAAGACGTTAGCAGACTTTCGCAGTATTTCAGCGCTAGAGCATTCCATTCTATTGTATTTACACAGACAGTCTGCATGTACCGGTACGTACATGTACATGAGACTGTGCAAATTTGCCAAGCCCTATAGTGGTCCATAGCTAACCGTTCAAATCGCGTCTTCCGTATTTAGATTTTTTAATGGCCTACACAGCCATAAAAAAAAGGTATCGCATTACTGAGAGTAAGGTAAAAGGGTTGTCGTCCTTGCCCTTTTTCATTAATTTCATCAAAACCGTAAATTTTTAAAGCTCTGTTCCGGCCAAATTACAAAAATTGGGACTGCAACACAATAAATAGACGTATCCAATGAAAACAAGAAAAAAAAACTGGGAGCCATTTAGGTGGTGCTAGGCGCTCAATTCACACTTTAAAGATCCATCCTAAGCTTCGTACAGTCCATCGTTCACCATTTTTTTTTCCATTTTCGCAAAGAGGAACCACAAAAATACCCCCCCCCCCCATTTCCCTTCATTCCCTGGCAGTCTTGTTTATTGAGTTGTCTTATTCATTTCCGCTTTCGCAAACCTTTACTAAGCCGTGTGGATACTCTGCGACTTTAAAACCACTTGTTTGTGCATTTTTTTTAGCTTTCTTTATTACGGGAGCCTGGGGCATTCTATATAGTTTGGCCAGTGCACTCCTTCTGTCAGAAAGACAGAATGCAATATCTTCCAAAAAAAAAAAAAAATTCTCCATTTGCCATTCTACAGCACAACGGGATCGAATTGCATCAGGGGGCAAGTCAAACCGGGAGAGGACTGCCCGGTCGTCTTTTGGATTATTTTGACCGTCGGGACGAAAGAGAAGACGGAAGGTGGATGCAGAATGCGGATTTAAATCTTAAGACCTTTTCCCTTTCTTTGCAACTTGCTGAACAGTTGCTATTCCTCAATGCCTCAAGACAGTTTTGGCCGTTTGACTAGCTCAAGCACTGGCACGTTACACATATATATGTACATGTACAGTTGTAAGTACATAATGGCACACACATATACGGTGCAGAGAAAAATATTTTTCCAATCTGAAAACATCTCAAAAAGAAATTCATGTTTCCGAGATGGTGTTTCACTCGTAATGAAAAGTTACAAAGATACAAAATATTTGTTTCATTTTTAGCCGCAATGATGACACGTGCAATGATGACACAGGGGAATGACAAAGACTGCCCCTTTAAGATGTCTAGTATCCCATCCCCTAATGAGGCTATTAAAGTGCCTCACAGGCGGGGTCGCCAGGCATGTAGCAAGGCAACAATGCGAAATGCCAAGACTGATTGATGCGGCCGTGAATTTGATTATCTTTTAAAGGCGGAGACCGAGTGGCATTGCAATCATCATGGAAAGCTGGTGATTACAACCCAACTTTAATTACATTTTGAGCGAAGACCGCGATAAAAACAGCTATAAATTTTCACTCTTCACTTTAAAATTAGATTACACTTGTTCATTGTGAAATCAATCATTTTTGTACCTTCTGATACCGATATGTTGAGTGGAGGGGAAATGGTCTCGCAGCAGATGCATGTACTCAGGGTGAGTCAAAAAGAAAGTGACTGGATTAATGGGTTTTTTTTCTTATCCCTAACCGCCCTGAATCCTTCAAAATCCTCTTTGCCAGAGTGGAGGAATTTGGAGGATTGAGGTTAGTGGCGAAAGTACATGTACGTTACTGATTTCGTAGGTTGCACTTTGTCAAGGTCTTGGGCCAGACCTTGGGTTGTTTTTGCTCAGCCATGCATAAATATAGGACGGGATTATGCTACTGCCGCAGGATTTTGCGGGATTCAGGCAGTGGTCACCCCTCCATGGACCATATTTAAGAAATAATGGAGGAATTTGCAGGATTGAGGCTATAAGCTATTTTTCCCCAGGCCAATTGGAGGACTTTGCAGGATTGAGGCTACCGTACATGTACATCCTAGCAAAAAGGCCTAGAGAGTTAGGGTTCAAAGCAATTAAATTGGACACACCAACGAAGCCTATTAATCGAACATGTTCTTCCACTCATTTGAAAAAAGCAATTACTGAAATTGATCCATGCTACAAGAAGTTTTGCATATTTTACCGAAAGAATCCATTTTTACAGCTGTCCATGGAATGCCATTTGAAGTTACTGAGCTGAATGAGAACCAGAGATTACACACAGGCAATCAGATACATTTGAGATTTTATAATTTTTTGTCAAGACTGACACATTATTTTTACTGTCAGACTTTGTGTTTTGAATATGAGGAAACTTTTTTCACAAATAACGATGGTGATTTTCGTGTACGGTTTTCCTGTGCCAAGTTTCGTTCATTCGTCATGTCCATGAAGGCAGGAAAATTGTTTCATTATATTTAAACAGTAAATGATCATTGGTGGACAGCTGAGTTTTGTGATGTTAAAAAAGGGTAAAGGGGACGAACCTGTGTTCACAGGAGCGGAGTGTTCATCTCTCTTTCATTTGCATTTGGGCCAGACTCATATGCTGCTGTGGGGGGATTGACACACCTCCTCCACATCGAGTCTGTTACCTTCCCAGCATTGAATAATGCCGGTACCCATTTAACACCTGGGTTGAGAGGAGTAATTGAGGTAAAGCGCCTTACTCAAGGGCACAACACGCATGGCCATGGAGGGGCTCGAACCCACAACCTCACGCTCATGAATCCTGTGCTCCACCGCTAGACCACACGTGCCCACTGTGATGTTGGTATTAAAATAAACATAACTTGTGAAAGTATAGTATGCAAATCACATGTAATTTTCGCAGTTACAAACTGTACTAGTCAATAATAATTATATGTACTTTATCCCTATGTTAGTTTTATTAATTACAGCAAGCCACATTTTTTTTTTAAATTCTCATTAGGTCACTTTCTTTTTGACTGCACCCTGTTTGCTGTAATGTACATAATTGACCAGTCACATGATGATGACAAAATGGCAGCCGTCAAGTTTGAATATGTGACTTCCTTCGTGAATCTGATTGGTTAACATAAATGTTGCCACCGATGAAATTGGAGTGGAATCGGATGCAAAACAAATTTTAAAATGTTTGATTTCATCCAGTCGCCCGGTGTACGGTCAGATTGGTCCGATTTTTTCAACAAACACCTCCGTGCGATGGCCTGATGATCCGCTGAACCTGTAAAATCGGCAAGGTGAGTGGCGGGCTTAAAGCATCCCAATTAATATCTGTCCAGATCTGTGCACACTCAAGGTCGTTTTGGAACTTTCCCAAATTGGTTTTGGGAGGATAGATTCCAGCCATTTACTTGTTTATCCGAGCACAGAATTTCTAATCATTTCTAGAGAGGCTTGTTTACAGCGATCGTGCAATCGTGTGTAATTATCCACACATTAGCAGCAGAGCAGGCAGCATGAGCTTCATTTCCATCCCCGACAAAAAAAACCCCGACATACATGTAGAGGGGGGGGGGGGGGGGGCCTGTTCAAAACACATATCATGGTTAATGTTAGACAATAAGTACCGCTGTTGGCTTTCCACGCAGACGTAAAAATAAACAGCCACTCGTGAAAAGAAAGGGTTTTGGTAAAAAAAATTCGCACAAAATCGCGGAAATGGGACTTTATGTTCTTCCAGCTAATCATGGTACGGTACATACAGCTGTGCTTTTCTCCGGATTCCAAAATTCTTGCCGGGGGTGGGGGGTGCAACTGGGGGGTGGCGCAAACTTTTTATGGGGGAGTGTGCCCCCTCCCACACCCCCAGTAGCTACGCCACGCTCTCCTTGTGTTATTTTAAACATGTATTTGAA